GCTGTCTACATGGACTGGAGTCTATCTACTTTTGATACACCAAATGTGTTGTGATTTTATACATTGTTATTATTGTAATATGCATTTTGTTGTTTTTTTATTTGTTATTATTCTACTGTATTGTATATACGATCAGTTTGTGTTAAAATTAGTTGACATCAATAATTCAATATTAATTTTCAGATTCTGCAAATTGCATGAGTGCCACGCCTCTCAAGCCACGCCCTAGCCCAGTGCCTAGCTAGCTAGCTCCAATGAAGGACGCTGTCGTTGCTGGAGCAGTCTCTGGAGTTACTGCCCGTATCATCACCACTCCTTTGGATGTCATCAAAATAAGATTTCAACTACAATTAGAGCCAATTAGACTCAGTGTAAGTGCTAGCTAGTCTGGAGAGATTGTTCAGAGGGAGGAAGTGTTAACATGACATTTTGAGCTTGGAGCATCAGGCAAAATTTTGATCTTGATTATAGGTAGTATTCTCAATCCATCTCACTTATTAGGTCCACCATGTATCAAAGTATAGAGGAATCACACAAGCAATTTATAAAATTATAGCTGAAGAAGGAATTCAAGCATTATGGTAAGAAAACATGTAGCTAATTATTATTATTATTATTATAGTGATTCTGTTTTTTTTTCTTTTATCCAAATAAGGAAGGGAACAATTCCGGGACTGTTAATGTATGCAGTATATGGTAGTGTTCAGGTAAACCATGATTATAATAATTTAAAATTGTGGCGGTATTAATAATTATAGTTCAGTTGTTTCGACAGAGCAGCTATAGTTTTAAAAGACCAAATGGGCATAGATAACAATATTGGTATGCTGACTTGCAACCATGCTATGATAGTTATCTTTTTTTATAGTCAGAGATTTTGTTAGTGGTTTTATCGGTGGTAGCATTGCTAGTTTTGTAGTGCAGCCACTGGACGTAATAAGAACAAGACTAGCTGGTCAAGGTGAACCAAAAGTATGTGTTTATGCTAGTTGAAGAAGAGCTGGTAAATTTTGTTTGTGTAGCATTATAAAAATATTAGAAGTGCTATTTCTCTGATGTATAAAGAAAGAGGCTTGAGAACATTTTACAGAGGTAATTGAAAGTACATATAATGTTAGATTACTATTGTTTTATGATTATAGGCTTAACCCCAGCAATATTGTTGATTGGCCCTCAAGCTGGTCTGCATTTTGGCTTTTATTCACTTTATAATCACTTATGGAGAAGATACAAAAGTAGCAATAAGGAGAAAAAGGTGCAAGTATCAAAGAACAATGTATCATTATGTTACTATTAATAGGACGAAGGGCTATTGCATGGTAATGCAGGAATGCAATCAATAGTGTGTGGAGCATTAGCTGGAGTCAGTAGTAAAACTATATGCCTACCACTTGATGTAGTAAAAAAGAGACTAGAGGTAACGGAATAATCCTGTAGTGTTTTGGATCTGGTTCTTTTTAGGTGAGAGGTTTTGAGAAAGCCCGTGCCTCTTTTGGTCGCGTTGGCCAATACAAAGGAATGAGTGACATATTTGTCAAGATATGGAGAGAAGAGAAAGTGTTTGGTTTCTACAAAGGAGCACTTCCGAGCTTAATAAAGGTCAGTAATTATTGGGACACTTTCATTATAGGAGCTTTTACATTAGAATAAGTGAGTACTTGCGATCTCTTTATAGACTGGAGTGTCCACTGCTGTGTTATTCACTGTGTACGATTGTGTACTTGTTTCACTACAATAAGTGCAAATATTGATACCATGTCAATAATAATTACTGTGAGTGTTTTGCTGTAGCTAATGATAACAGTAGCATTAGCAGGTAGATTTTTGTCCATCAAAGCAGATATTTTCTGAATAACATATAAATGATTTCCCTCTGTATTGTTTGTTAGCTAGAAAGACCATTTACATTACGAATTTTTTTTATTGTTAACAGAATTGATTATTTTTCATTTTTTATTGTAGGCATCTTTGACAGTTTCTGTTAGCTTCTATGTGTACGAGTTAGTGATGTCTAAATTTGATGTCGCAAAGATTTAACTGTTTTAATAAAGCAAACTCATCACTTTCAGTTTATTTATAAACATAAAAAGCTCTATTATTTGTATATACAAAATAGTTTTATTGTTTTTTATTATAACTAATAACTTATTCTTCACCTTTGATCAGGAAATTTTAAACAAAAATTACGCGGGAAAGTACTAAGAGGTGTGGTTTTAGTAAGTTTCTATGTCAACAAGGAAACCTACTAGCAGTGCTAGAAACCCAACACCAGGCTTTGAGCACTATGTACCTCAAAGAGAACTGCCAGACGAAATAAAAGAGCTACCAGTGGACGAGACTAGATGTAAATTTTGTGGAGTGAGCTACCTTGTGCATCATGAAGTGAAGAGACTCGAAGGTCTGCTTGACGAATTAAAAGGACAAATTGATGAGTCCTCTGCTCGTTGTAATGAGCTATTGGAGACAGTAGAGAAGGAGCAGAGGAGAGGAGAGAAACTTGAAAATGAGTTGATGGCTATTAAAGACAAGTGAGTCCAGAAAGTTTTAGTGATTTAGTCCCATGCCAAAAATTGCTACTAAAAGTTTAGTTTCTCAATTTATATTGATGCTCTCAAGGCTATCCCACAAAAAGCATATTTTATGCATAAATTTTGATTTAAAAATTATACATGTACATGTATATGTATCTCTACGTACTATAGATTAAGCAGCAAAGAATCGCATGTAAAACTCTGTCACACATTGCTGCAATCAGCATCAGAAACCACTGGTCAATGCAACTCAATGATCAAGGATACTAAAGCTAAATTGTCTTTAGCGTTTAAGACAATGCTTGTTGACTTTCAGACGATTAGTCATCATTATGAGCTATTTGTGTTTTCTACGATGGAGGAAAAAGAGACTATGGAATCAAAGATTGCTTCAACTGTTCACAAATGGAAGGAGACAGTATCTTTGAAAGAGGCTGATATACAAAATTTGATGAAGGAACTTGAAAAGAAGGATGCTACACTAGCTCAATCTACTGTTGATAAGAATGGTGAGTAAATTACAAACTACAAACATATCCAAATTCTTTTTCACACTGGCACTGTTTTTAAAGCGCTTTAATGCACTTTGTTGATACAGCTGAATTAATACAGCTGAAATAATACTGTACATTCATACAGCTGAAATAATACTGTTGATACAGCTGAAATAATACTGTTGATGCAGCTGAAATAATGTGCATTGATCTTGTTCACACTAGCAGCTGAATTATGTATCAGTTTGTGTTCTTTTTGCCATTGGTTTACATTGATCACATCGCATCACTTCACATCAATCATATCAGGAGGCGAAGTGAGAGTGATGCGTAAAACCTTAGATAGTATGGTAAAACCGGTCAAACCACTCTAGTGTGAACAAGATAAGTGTGAAAAGGCCTTAAAACTCTTATCAGAATTAGCTCAAACTAATCAGTTCTTGTGTATAGAAATGAAAAGACACTGTGAAGAGATTGAGGCTGAGCTCTCAAAGACAAGTAATCAATTACAGGTCTCCATTAAAGAAACTGAGAGGCTATCAGAACAGCAAATGAGACTCCAAAAAGAGAAAAGGTACTATAGTACATGTACTTAGTAAAGTTTTTATTCTCGTTGTAACACCAGAGATTATGAAGAACTTTTAAAAAAAGAAAATACTTTTCAAGCAAAAGAGATATTAGAATTAAAGGACAAGTGATTACTTTTATATGTCATGAATATAGTACATGCACACACACCTTTTCAGGTGATAAAATTATCACTTCTGTTTTATATAGGGTAATGGTGACGGAGAATAGTTTTATGTTGGCTCTAGCAGAGAGGGAGAAGCTGGAGAAATACAGTAAAGAGAAAGAGATTACAATTGAGAAATTTCACAAACAATTAATGGAAAAAGAGAAAACAATTGAATCACTCAAATTGGAAATACAGAGAAATAAGCAAGTTAGTTAGGTATTTTGTTGACGATGATTATTAATTATTCTATTTACAGAGCTCTTCTATAAAAATATTTAACCTTGAGGCGCAATTAACTCAAAACAATGATGAGTTGTCTCTTCGTGTTTCTGAAAGTGATGTAAAACTAAATAATGTACATCATAATCTCCATGCATATACATGACAACCTCATTACTTACAGATAATAAAATTATTGAAACTTGAGCATCAACAAGCACTACTGAAACTACAAGGAGAGAAAGACAGAGAATTAACTGCCGTAAGTAACAGATTTAACAGTAATACATGTACTGGTACATTAACAGATTTAACAGTAATATATGTACTGGTACATGTATGTAATAATTCCAAGAGAAATTTTTTTAATCATTTATAGAAGGTTAACTCTTTAAAATTGGAGCATGAAAGAAAATTGGAAGAACATAAACTAAGCTCTGATAGAATGGTATTCAGTGGTTATGCACTTGCAGCATTTATTGCATCAATTGATATTAGTTACAGAAGGCTATTCAAGAAGTAGAGGACAAATATAAACCAAGAATTAAAGAGTTGGAAAAGTCACTTTCAAAGGAGAAAGTACATACACATACATGTACATGCATATAATTATTGGTATGCGCACACAACTAGCAAACACTAGATGCTGAATTATCAAGACATGCGTTAGAGATCAAGGACTTGACAGTAGCAATAAATCAGTATCAAGATGAACTGGATCAGAAAGCTGCCCTCTTAAAAGAATTTGAGAGGAAAGCTTGTGCTTACCAAGAGAATGAGAAGAAGAAAGAAGCAGAACTGGTACAAAGCCTTAGGAAAGAAATTTCAAAATTGGAAGCCAAACTTGCAGAGAAAGGAGCTAAAGTACAGGAAGCTTATGCTGAGGTACTGTGAGCTAGTACTGCACGTTATTATATACTGGGTAATTTTTTCTTCTTAAAATAGATAATAGATCTTCAGTCCCTAGTTGAGAAACAAATATGTGAAAGACAAGAGCTCATGAAGCGTTATAAGACAAAAACTCATTAAGCATTATCGTACTATAAGTAGTCAGCATAGATATTAGAGTAAATCTCATTTACTCTATTATGTATGGTAGCCAGTAAGTGTAATTAACTTTGAGACAACTTTATCACTAACTATTAATCATATGATTATTTTATCAACTAAACTTGATACATGTATACAGCCATGAACTTTCTTAATTGATACAGCATAAAATATTATTATTTTAAGCTTTTTGCTTTTTCTTTTTGTCCCTTTTCTTTACGACAGACTTTCCCTTTGACTTTTCTTGTGATTTATGACTCCGATCTTTAACATCCCTTTCTGCTGATTTCACCACCTATAAAATGGAAACATCTTTACTGTACTTGGAAATCAACTGACATTATCGTCATTATCTTCTTTCTCTTCATCATCATCATCTTGCACAGCTCCAGTTGGATCAGTTACTGATTCTGGTACAGAAAGGCCTCTCTCTTTGCACTTTTTATATACTAAGAAAAAAATTAATTTTCTGGGAAAAAATTAATAAATTTAATAAATTTTTAGTCAAAAATAGCTAAATGGTGTAAATCCTTCTTGCTTACAAGGTGGTTGTGTGAGGACATTCATAACTTGAAAACCGTTGGTCTGTCCACCAACTGATAATATATATGGATTGTCTGTACAAAAATTTGAGCAGAGTACAGCTACCTAATGACAAAGCAAGACTTTAAAATTAAAATAACTATCACACAATCCCCACCATATGCATGGGGCGACTATAAAGAAAAACTGGGGATTTCTCCTATAAAAGAATAACACAATAAGTTACTTCTCAGTCTCTATCTTCTCACGTGTATATCCCAAAACTTTATAGTGTCATCAGAGCTTGAGGTGACCAATAGTCCTGGAATTTGACAGCTGAGACTAATATCTATCGAAAAACAAATCATGTATCAAAAAAAAGGGAATTCTCTTGAAGCCATTTTTGACAAAATACCCTGTACTATAGTACAGGGTCTTTAGTCAAATTTTGGACCAACTTTAAAAATTTATAAAAAATTCAAACTTGATCAGAATCAGCTCAAATTTTCAAAAAACAACATTAAAAATGTATACGAATGAAAATATCAGCATTATTAATTCTTTACCAGTCACAGCTTCAGTATGTGCATTGATGGTGAAAACAAGTTGTCCTGTATTTCTTTCCAGGCAATATATTTGACTCTTCTCTGTACTGACCTATTAGAGTATAATACAAGGAACAATTGTAGCTGCGTTATTACCAGCAATTGGTTGGGCTGAAAATGATTCCATAGCACCTTTTCTATTTCGCCACTTAGTTTCCAATGCATCAAAAGTGACTAAAAAGACGTTTAAAAATATAATCATTTTGTACGGCCACATTTTAGGCCACATTTTAGTCACAAACAACATAGTTTCACTTACTCCATCTTCACAACTGAAAAGTCTCACAATCCTATACACATACCATAAAATAACAATACATTCCACAGTGCATACCCATCATAACATCCACTGGCAAGCAGTGATAGCTCCTTTGGATGCCACTGGATGGTCTGTACCTTACAAATGGACAAAAACAAAAAAGCACACCACAGTCACATTCACATCCTTGCATTATAAAGTTTGCTGTGGTATATGCTGCTTACTTTGTCAGGATGATCTAATGTAAGTAAAGTTTTCCCTTCCGATAGATCCCATATCTTGACAGTATTGTCAGCACTTGCGCTGGCCAATAGACTCCTATAAATCATGACAAATATATTTCACTGCCATATTTATAACTTTCTTACCTCACCGTTCTATTCCAGGCTAGCCCCATGACAGCATCAAGATGACTATCCAATTCACCAGTGCTAAGCATTGCAGCAGCAGCCTCTGCTTCACTCTCATCATACTCCATAGCCTCCTCATTATCATCTGATGACTATAAACAAACAATTCAAAAATAATCAAGAAGATAAGTACTTGAATAAATACCTCATTCTTCTTATGCTTCTTCTTTTTCTTTTTATCCTTTTTCTTTTTATCCTTTTTCTTTTTATCCTTTTTCTTTTTTGATTTACTCTTTGCTAGTTTCATCATCTCTGTCATTGTCTCAATGCTAGTCCCCAGGACAACAAGGGGCTCCACGGCATCAACTAGGTCCAGGTCCCAAATCTCAATTGCTGGAGACATACTACCAACAGCAACAAAACTACCTACAAGTAAGAGACATAAGAAGGTAGAGGAGAAGGAAAAAAGAAGAAGGTAAAATTACTGAATACATATTAACGATCCAAATCACTCACCTTCTTCCTCAGGCTGTCCAGGGTCATAGTTTAGCCATTCCAATGCCAGTGGGTAAGCATTAATTAATACTTCATGATGGCAGTATAAGTGATTGTCCTTTTCATTGAATACTAGTAAAGCGTCAGAGATGGAGAGGGAATAAAACAAAAGCCACTTACCGTGAACTTCTACTGAACTAAATTCATCTTCAGCTTTTCCAACAAGCAATAGATTATCATCTTCTTGGATCATGAAGTCCTGCTCTTCATCATCCTACAACAAAATAATCAGTCTCACATTCCCCATCCTAATATTACTCTCTTTGTGATGCTTACCATTACTTTCAAAGTAATGTATGGATCATCTTCATTATTAGAATAATACATTAAACCAGATAATCCTCCAACTGTTGTCTTTTCTACATTCGAAATATAAAAGACGTACAATTACTACACCACCATTGCATGTGTGGACACTAACTATGTGTATCCCTGTCATTCTTCCCTTCTTTCTAAAAGTACTAACCTCCAGGTAATTCTTCATCAGACTCATACTTATCAAGCTGATATAACTGATCTATGTCTTCCTCTCCCTCCTCATTCTCTTCTGTTTGTTTTTGCCCTCCACTACTGTCTTCCATAGCCTCTGATGTCTCATCATCATCATCATCATCTCTAGTCAAACATGATATAAATACCATACTTTTAAACTCCTTTGTACTTTTTTCCTTGAATTAATGTATCTAATTCCTCTTTATCTAACGTAACCTAACCATAAACAATCATTCAGATTAATTCCCATTATATAAATGGCATGCTGATTCTTTACCGATACATTTTTCACACAATAAACAAATTACCGTAGAAAATTACGAAAAAATACTGATATATTTATTATTACAATGAGGAAAATGGTAAACTAACATAAATTGTGCTGATACTGTTGAAACAGACACAATTTACAGAAATGACCCAGTTAGCAAATGACTATTGATCAACCCCAAAATTTACCTTCTCTGGAATAGCACGAGCTTTTCCTTTTTCTACCCAGCATAAGCATGATACTATGGTCGGCATTTTGTTCTAAAACAAACAGAAAGCACTTTTACTGTAACATGTGTGTAAACTACTAAACTAATTAGATTTTCACTAATGTCCAGCCCAAAGCACCGCCCATTTTGTCTTAGACAAACAATTTGAAACAGACCAAAAATGGGCTCAAGCAAAGTGAAAACTATGCTAGGATTTGTCCTGTTCCTTCTGTGGCTCACATTTATGATGCTACTAGTCTCTATATCCAAAAAGAGACAAACTGTCACTGGGGTACATCAAGATCTACACCAAATAGAACTACCAACTGTACCTAAAGAGTTTAGCTCGATAACACAACACTCTCCTCGACCTAGTAGCGAACCTAGTGTCTCAAGTAGCATTAAAACTACACCAGTAACGAGTAATCCAACGTCCAAAGCTACAATAGCTACTACTGTGTATCATAATGCACTACCAGATGTCTCTTGGGTTCCACTTTGGTCAGAGAATACCAGTCAATTATGGGGAGAGAGAGCATATATTGATGACAGAGCCGCTGTTCACAAGAATCCTGTTGTTGTATTGATTGGGTTTAAGGAATCAAGAGCTGAAAGAGTCAGAAATGGCTATCGATGGTTTTGTCACATCACATATTCAAAGAATGTGACTCCGATATGTACTGGATTGGTTAACATTGATCAACTCGAGTATCAATTTGCCAACAATCATGGCTGGTCTCTCCCTTCTTTCTTTATTTGTCCTCTTACAGCATCCATTGATGATCATCCCTTGAAGGTTGCTCTAACTGCTAATAGCTGTAAATCAAGACTACATTCTCATTTAATTCCAATTACAGGTACATCAAAGAGTAAACCACTCAAGACAGTCGGAATATGTCTCCACAAAGCGCTCTTTGGACTAACTGACCCACAACTAATAATTCAATTTATTGAGACTCACAAGTTGTTCGGTGTCAGTTTGTTCACCATATACATTCAAGAGGTCTCCAATGGGGTCCGTGACATATTGTACAGGTACTCACAGGAAGGCATTGTGGATGTGGTTGAGTGGAGGATCAATATAACAATGGATGTAAGAGATTATGGACAGGTAGGGGTGATCCATGATTGTTTATACAGGAACAAAAATCGTGTCAAGTTTTTAGGATTTTTAGACATTGACGAGCTATTTGTTCCAAAGAATCAAAGAAAGCAGCTTCCAGAGGTACTTGAAGGAGCAGACAAACCTCATCTTGGCTCATTTAGATTCAGCCACGTCTTCATGCACAACGGTAGCTATGAGAGCTCATTGCAAGAACCAGTATGTTCAAAAGTCCACGTCCCAGTCTACTTTCAAAGATACAAGAGATCAAATTACGATGAGAGTGTAGGAGTATACGATAAACTCGGCTCAAAGACAAAAATATTTGTGAAACCCAATGCAATAGTTAGAATGGGTAGGCACAGCATGCGTCTACGACCTATACACAAATTTGCTCCTGGTTTCAATGAGTTTGCAATCCCTGGTCATATGGGGCTCCTATTTCACTACAGACACATTATTGATGGAAAGTACGAGCGAAGACCGCTTGTGAAGGATCTCACTATGTCACAGTTTAGAGACGATTTGATGGATACCATTAATTCGAAGCTCTGCGTTACCTAGAATGCATATTTTTTATCATATTTATAAAATGAACTTATTGCAATTGTATGTTCCCATGATATATACAATGATATGGTATACCACACCTTTCGTTAAATTTTAATTAGCCATCGATATGATGAAACATGCATTAGCAATTTTTTTTAGCTATGCACTTCATAACTCTTATGCACTAGTTGTTTGCATTCCCACTTATCATAGACATCAAGTGATTTTGAGGCGTTGTCAGAAAACCATCATTTGTTATCATAATAATTTTTAGTCTGACTACATAATAATAATTATTATTGTGAAAACATTAAATTAGTCTTTATTTAGTTGGAGGCTTCTTCTGCTGTCTCTCTTCTTCGGCTTTCTGTTTTGCTCTCTTCTCACGGACACCAACGAGACGAGAGTCTGCCTTTGCCTTCCTAAGAGCCTCAAAAACACTTTCTTTCCTTTCCTCGTCAGTTATGGCTCGGAACTCAAAGACCTTACGAGGCTGTCTGATGGGAAGAACTGGACCTTTGAGCTGTTTAGCCAATTTGCAAGCTTCAAGCTACAAAAAGAAAAAATAACATGTGAAAATGGAAAAGTTGTAAAAAATACATATAGTAACAAAGAATATTGAGAAAACATTATTATTTATATTAATAAAGATGCATTGTCTTACATCACTGTCTTCTTTGCGTGGTTTCTTGCCTTTCCTTGGGAAGAGGATGAGACGAGTCTTGTACTCTTTGAGACGCTGGACATTTGTTTGAAGTGACTCATAAGATTTATTGTGACGACGATGATCAACTGAAATGCCAATCGTGGGAGCAACACGAGGCGGTATACCTGCAGCCTATAAAAATGTGCATTATAACACAACCAGGGATACAAATCACCTTTACACTAATTACTATTCCCATTATGTAACTCACCCTTAATTCTTCAAAAGAAAATCCTTTGCCAGCTCTGACTTTCATATTGTACTTCCTAGTAGGGCAATGAACGATAGGACGAAGAGGTCCTTTAGCTGGACGAGGAGCCAGTTTTGCTGCTTTCTTGAGCCTGTTCATTCTTCTTTTCTTCTTGCGGGCTGGTTGGTCGAACCATGTCTTGACGTATCTCTGCCAATGCTTCTTGAAGTGAGCATTAGGAATAACATGATTACCCATACGAGTCATGGTGACCCTCTATAACAAATATAACCATAACCAACCCTTTTCTGTACAAATTATAATTGACAGCATCAACTTCAAAGAAGATGGAAAAGGATTGTCAGTTGAGACTTACCTATCTTTAATGGCGCCTGTACACAGTACACGTGGGAAAGAAAGAAAGAAGACTTGGGTGTGGCGCAAAATATAAGAGGTGTGGCTCGATTGGAGTGGTATTTTATTTTTAAAAAATATTTCAGATTACAGATGAAAATAATATGCTATAATTATTACATGTTTTACATTCAGCAAATAAAATTGAGCTGTAAACAGCTAAGTAAAATGAGACAAATTAGTCTGATATTGTATAGCACAAATTATAGCACAGATAGAACACTTTTCAAAGAAGGCGTTATCATGTTTTTAACTGATGATCCATACTGCAGTCTGCGCTTTGATTTAGGGAATATTTTATCATACAAATACTTGTACACTTTCTTGATCCAAGCCCACTTCACAACATAAATAAGAGTGACCAACGGTACCAGATTAACAGAAGTGTAGACAATCACATTAATGTAGGGATAAATGATTCTTTCATGCTTCCCTTCATCACAGTTCCCTGGAACATAACCAAGAGCTTCACACTTAAAGAACTCATTCATTGCTTCTGCTTTATTGTCTGCTTTGGCTACATAAATGCTAGTGTGGATAAGGGAGGAGATGCTGAATACTATGACTGCAAAAAATACAAGAATTAGTTTCTTTTCTGCTGTGCTAGTTCCTCTTGTCAGACCTTTTTTCTATTAAATGCATTTTTGCATCATAACTGGGCTTCTGATCATAATAGTATGTACCTTGTGTAGAATCCAACACACAGCAATTAGGAGGCATGCCCCAATGCAGACTGTTACGTCTATAACAAGTAAGAACGAATAGAACCACATCTCTTTATTTAGACTGGTGCAAAAAGTTGGTGGAAAGCGATTGATTTTGTAACCATATTCATCAACAATTAGACAAGCAATAACAGCTGGTAGTGGCAATATCAAACCTATCATTACATGAAATAATTATCATTGTTAAAATTTTTGTTGATTAACTTACATACTGCTGTGACTATTGTATATATGTACTTGTTACGATGAAGCATTTTTGTTCTGTTGGCATGGAATGGAAATGCAATTTGATAGAAGAAAATACAAACATGAGATAGCCACCAAAAGGACATGTTTACAATTACATAGTGGAAAATGGCTCCTGTAAGTGCTGTTTAAAGAAATGATAAATCTTTATAAGAATACCTGACAAAATACAGAAAGGTGTGGATTGCTTTAGACTCTCCAGTAGATCTTTTGAGCTGCACATTAGCTTGTTACGGTCTAATGCAATCATGAATCCCAATAAACCTATCAAAATTGAAGTAACTTTTCAAAATTTTTATTATAAGTCATACCAACTATGCCACAGTCTATGGTCATAAATATTATCAAAATGGATGGATACACAAACCTACAGTGTTAAAGATATATTATGAATTAAATTCTTAATACTAACATTGTTTTGTATGAAAAAGCTGACAGTATCAGAACAACTGCACTGACTGTCATTGCAAAAATTGAAGCAACAACTTCAGCTTTAAGAATAAATTCTGATGTCTTGCTCGTTGAGTCTTCGAACTTGTCACAACGAGGTAGACATATGACATCAGCTTTGTAGAAACCTTTCCTGCATGTTAAGTCACTGGAAGTTGAGCTTGTTGAAGACTCATTGTTGGCTTCGCTAGAAATAGTAGCAGATGCTATACAATTACAAGCAATTAATTGAGATGTATTAATTATTAAAATACCTAAGTTTAAATTTTGACATTTGGGTAATACGCTACCGAAACCATAGCCTACTGCCAGCTTCCATAATTGGGAACATGTTTTGGTTTTGATATCAATACAATCCTCCCTTGATGGAGTATATATGACATCACTTGTACAATCTAGCAATGGAAACATATACTGACACAGAAATGGAAGTGCAGCTTTTAGACAGTCGCTATCTAAACCTAAAAATTATAAAATTTTGCATGATATAAGTTGCATGCAATAGTAAATGTAATAACTACTCACTTAAGTAATAAATTATTTTTTCTAGTTGTTTTTCTCGTTCAATTAGAGTCCCTCTAGATTCATTGAAATAAATGCATTTGTTATTTTCGCTATCAATTCCAACACATTTTTTCCAATAGCTGAGGAAGTCTCTGCATATCATTCCACTGTAAGAATGAGCTGTGCAATGATAATGCTTTGATGCATTGCCTGAAACTTCAGCCCAGGAGTAAGTGCAGTTTGTTGCATTATTACCTTCAAATGGCACAGTGGTGTTTGCCTAAAAAGGTTACAAATGATAAAGTAGTCTAGTGCACAAGTTGGCTCACCCATGGAGTGTCATCATTAGCAGTCTCAAGCTGGGTGATGCTGTAAAAAATGACTGGAAGAGTGAAGATGCTAGCAGTAGCAGTAATGACAATAAATGGTAGAAAGAGGCTGCAGATTTTTTTAAAAGTACTTCGTTTTATCTCGATTTTTACTGGTATTTCCTCCATTCTAAATTAAAACTCTGCAGAGAAAATTCTGCTTATAAAATACTGACATTATGTTTTGGGTGTGTCTATAGGCGTGGTTGTTTTGGGTGTGGCTAGTCTGGCTACAAAATGGACATGGGGAACAGAGCAAATAGAGGAGATAATGGCACAACAGACGAAAGAACTGACAGAGGAGGAGGCGAGGAAGCCAATGAAGACATGGTAGTTGAAAGCAGAGGACTAGGTCGTCGTGTTGGCATTCCATTACATGGTAGAGTAGGTATGCATAAAGCAAAAGAAAAGACAGATGAAAATGACATGCTTGCCCACTAATTAATTATAGGCACTGTTCATGTCCTACTTACTCGTCATGGTGGTCAATCTCAGACTATGACTATACACCATGACCCTTCACCATTAAACATTGATGAGTCTCCTGAGGAAGAGGAGGAGGAGGAGGTAGAAGCTGATGACGAGCTTGAAATTGATGAAGAGGATGATGATGATGATAATGAAGCTGATGAGATTGATAATATCCTGACATTACAGTTGGTTGCAAGATTATTAGGAGGGAGTCTAATGAGACGAAGGGTGAAGAATGAGCTTAATATGTGTGATCAACCAGAAAGTAAGAGACTAAAGGGATACTAGAGAGATATAAGGCCTTTTCACACTGGCAAAAGTAATGCGCATGCATTAATCGTGCTCACACTGGAGTGGTTTAAAATTAATGGGAATCACTCTCACTTCACCTCTGGATTGATGTGAAGTGATGTGGTGCAATCAATGTAAACCAATGACAGCAAGAACACAAAACGATACATAATTCAGCTGCTAGTGTGAATAAGATCAATGAGCATTATTTCAGCTGCATCAACAAAGCGCCAGTGTGAAAAGGCCTTATATAGTTTCATCTATTTTTAGTAATTACTGACCCAGTGGAGCCATTAAATGTAAGTATAATTATTGATCATTCTGCATTTATGTCAATGCTAATGCACAATATAGCCAAAGACTGACTTGTATCAAGAACTCAAGTCTTTTGATAGCAGAATGCATATTGGACCAAATATCAGAAATGTAAGGATATTATTAATGGAGCAATTGGCTGCTAGGCCCTACATTATCATATTTTATTTTAGTTTAGTTACGGTTTTGATTCTGCCTCATACATTGATAAAACATCTACTTCTTCAAGGTATGAATAGGATTACGGCACTCATGTGTGATCTTTGTAAAAATTTAGGTTTCTACCACGTCACTGCTGTCTCGTTGGGTCTTACGAGGCAAGGGTTTTCTGTGGAAACTATTCCAAGTCTGGCGACGTTTTTATATCGGCAGGTCAAAGTATGTTAGGGATGTGGTGTGAGGTATGTAGCTAATGGCAATCCATTAGGTGATAAGATTGATTTGTACGACACTGCTGGGAATAAGTTTAAATGTTATAAGTCTGTAGGAGCACGTGATGTTGGTTGGTCAGTACTTTCAACAGACTTTAGGTAAATCAATGTCATTATTGACTTTCATATATGCTGTAATTCAGTACTCACTGTATGATATCTTTTTTCTAGTCCTGATCAAAACTGGTTCATATATTCCACTTGGTCACCATCTAGTAAGCCAATCACTGATGTTTGAATTTTTAGCTAAAGCATTAATTAAATTCCTTTAATACTTAGCGTAATATTTTAATTTAAATATGTAAACAGTTGTGATAATAATTATTATTGTTATTATTATTCACAGTTCACTTATGTAATGTGTATGGGGAGGAAGAGAGACATTATTCGCTTGATTTAAGGCCAGAGGCTGAGGAGCCTTTTTGTGCATTCATATCAAAGTTTTCCGGTGATAACAGAGAAATATTAGCATCGTAAGTTGTCAATATTAAAAGCGAATGAACTCTCTCTCTCTCTTTAGAGCTAATGACGGGAAATTATATTTGTATGATCGGGAAAAACAGGATCGTATCCTTGTGGTAAGTGAAACCAAAGAGAGAGAGAGGAGACAGTATACTCATTTTGTTGATTATTTCAGATTGATGCTCATCAGGATGACGCCAGTGCTGTCACGTTTGCTGATGAAGGAGGAATTCTCATTTATTCTGGGGGAGACGATGGAGTATGCAAGGTATGGGACAGGAGGTGCCTGCAGGAGAGGTCACCACGACCAGTGGGAGTGTTCTCTGGTCATAAAGACGGGATCACGTATATTGACTCAAAGGTAGGAGGTGTGTTGGAAGAAATAGCGTCTTTATTCTTTACCACGTTATCACTCCTCTCTCTCTCTCTTCTTTAGGGTGATCAAAGATACCTCATCACTAATTGTAAAGATCAAACAATTAAGTTATGGGATACTAGGTGTTTCTCTAATTGTGAAGGAATACATGTTAGCCATATCTACATGTACACGTACATAATAATTATTGTTACATTAGGAGTCATTGAAATCCACTTCTCAGCAAGGCTGGGATTATCGTTGGCAAGAAGTACCGAGGAATGGTATGTGTATGTGTATTAAAATGATATTGATTGTTGTTTTCTTAATAATTGTAAACAGTTCCCTTGAAAAATTAGTCATAGTATCTGAGCTATTACGTGACTAGATTATTATATCATGATTACAATACGAGAGAAATATAATATATGCTGAAATATTTTCCACGCACACAGTTCAAAAGAATAAACATACAAAGCTGGCAGGGGATGTTTCGGTAATGACATATACAGGCCATTCGGTTAAAAATACTTTAATAAGGTGTCATTTTTCACCATATTCTACAACAGGGCAGGTTAGTACCATCATCGTTCATGCACTTAAATTCCTCTACATTTAGAAGTACATATATACTGGCTGTGCTAAAGGACAAGTAGTGGGTAAGAGCAATTGTTCAATTGTAAAGATGATACATAAGTTACAATGTGTCTCCTTCTCTTGTAGTGTATGATGTCATTACAGCTCAAATGGTTGCAGTCCTAAATTCACCTGATTGCATATCCTATTGTCATGTGATTGTCATGTGACCAAAAAGGGGAGAGGGGAGAGGGTGCTTTAAAAAAATATAATTGTTATTGTCCTTAACTCTTTTTCCACTTCTCGTGCATTCGTGATGTTAGTTGGCATCCAAGCCAAGCAGGGACTCTAGTTGCTTCAACAGTAAGCCCTCACTCTATTATCAGTCACATGAACATCATGTTACTCTAATAGTGGGAAGGTACTATTCAGATGTGGACATATGACGAGAGAGATGACTATGTTAAAGAATTTTTGCATCAAAAAGCCAATTATTTTAATTTCTGGTAGTTCATCAAGATTCTATAGCATCATGGTAATGTGTGTGATTTGATTTTGGCTGTGATGCTCCTTTTGAATTTGATTGGTCACTGATTCACACTTAAACAAACTCCATTTAATTAAGATTATTATACCAGTTTATTTATTCTGATTACTAAAGTTTAAAAAGATAGTTTTCCCGCGGTTGAATTTTATTGTATATTGAGCATGCGCGGTGTCCATGGCAACGTTAGAACAAGATGGCCTCCGCCGAGGAAGCTCCTAGTGTGGCTGACAGTATAGTCACAGAATTCTCAACATACGAGGCATACCTCGATTCACAGATAACCCCAACTGATCTTTATTATCTAGAGGTATTGTTGAGTTTACTATGAGAGGGGACAAATCTTAAGAGAGATTTTACTTGACAGAGAGAGGCCATTGTTACCAACTGATGTTATTATCTCTTACAGGATGAAGAGCTTGCAAGGCAGCTTGTAGAACTGGGATACAGGGGGAGTGGAGAGGTGAGGGGAGATGTTGTACAGGCTGTAAAAAAATTTGAGGGCGATAGAGATATTTGATTGTATTTACAGATTAAATTCATTAATCTGGGCTGCATCTCTGCTGGTTTTTTGTTAGGTAATAAAGAGAGAAGAATTTGAGACGCGTAAAATTGCAGCAGCTGCTAGCAAACTATCAAGAAGAGATCAAACAAAGTATAATAGAGGAAGAGTGTAGTAGCATGGATACATGTACAGTACATGTACATATAATATTACGTAATTACTAGGTTTGCTAATTGAGCTAAATAGCATGCTTCATGAGCTGACAAGACAGTACGTGGCATTTTGAGCAACTTCAAAAATTCACAAGAAATCCCATTTTGATCTGAATCAGCTCAAACTTTCTACAAGACATTAGAACATGTATATGTACCAGAAAAAAATTATAAAAATGGAGAATTCTCTCCTTTTCATTTTTGGCGAAATTCGGTCAAAGTCCCTGTACTATAGTACAGGGACTTTGGCCTGATTTTGGAGCAACTTTAAAAATTCATAAAAAATTCAATTTTGATCTGAATCAACTCGAAGTTGCTACACAACATAAGTACATGTACATGTATATGTATATGTATCAGAAAAATCTATAAAAATGGAGAATTCTATCCTTTTTATTTTTGGTGAAATTCGGCCTGATTTTGGAGCAACTTTAAAAATTCATAAAAAATTCAAGTTTGGTCGGAATTGACTCAAACTTGCTATGCAACATAAGTACATGTATATGTATATGTATATGTATCAGAAAAATTCTCTCTTTTTAATTTTTGATGAAATTTGGTTGAAGTCCCTGTACTATAGTACAGGGACTTTGGCCTGATTTTGGAGCAACTTTAAAAATTCATAAAAAATCCAATTTTGATCAGAATCAACTCAAAGTTTCTACACAACATAAGTACATGTATATGTATCAGAAAAAATTATTAAAATAGAGAATTCTCTCCTCTTCATTTTTGGCGAAATTGGGTTGAAGTCCCTGTACTATAGTACAGGGACTTTGGCCTGATTTTGGAGCAACTTTAAAAAATTCATAAAAAATCCAGTTTTGATCGGAATCAACTCAAAGTTTCTACACAACATAAGTACATGTATATGTATCAGAAAAAATTATTAAAATAGAGAATTCTCTCCTCTTCATTTTTGGCGAAATTTGGCTCAAGTCCCTGTACTATAGTACAGGGACTTTTGAGCAACTTGACAATCCACTGAAAAGAAGCTCCATGAGCCCAATGCCAAAATCCTGTGGCTGTGGGAAACTCTGACTTAGGTAACCACTTGTATGTACATGCACATTTGTATTTTATGATTTTTTAATTGGTAGCATCTGTTACCAATTGTATACGTAGTTTCATGCCAGCCATACGTGTACTTGGGAAATTTTTAATTGTGGTTTGTCTGAAATGTGAACTTCAATTTTAATTAATGTTACTATGTGTATATTATATCATTTTGTAGGGATCTGACTCATACTGGCAAAGACTTGAAAGGGTGTGTATTTTTGGAAGCTCTTGCTCAACGAGAAGAAGCAAACAGATGTGGAAAGATGACGGTCAGTTAAATATGCATGTACATGTACATATACCCTTTCCCCATTCTTCAGTGCTTCCCTCCACTCTTCAGTGCTTCTTTTACATGCACATGTTAATTTGTATGATTGTATTTTTTCCTCTCGTTCTATTGCCATACCATACAGACTATACTATTCATTCGTGACAGAAACTCAAAGGGCCAAGAGATATCAGGATACATTGATTATGCTCACAGACTAAAGGTATTGATTGATATACATAAAGAGAGCACGTACAGTATGTACATTTAATTATTAAACTTTATACTGTACATGTACATGTACATGTACATGTACATGGAGGTTAACAACTTTTTAAGTATCTTGTCCTGATTAGATTACAATATATATTACCTATCGTTTGATATAATGTTGAATAAGTAGATAGTCCCTACATTTCCCTTACATTGTCTTTTCTTCCCTTATAATTAAATGTACCTGTACATGTACATGTACGTGTATGTGTATGTGTAGGTAACCATTCATCTATTGTTAAAGCCGGTTTGTTTATATTAATTTCCCTATCCATTGCATGGATTCTTTTCCCAATAATTAATTTCCTTCTTGTGTTTATGTAACTTATTCGTGTACAGTATACCGTCTGTACATGTACATGTACATGTACTGTACATCACGAGAAAAATGACTATTTTAATTTATGTTGATATTTAATCCTTCTAAACATATGGAATAACAATACCAGTACATTTATTGTCAATTTGTTCTATTTAATTAAGAAAAATTAATGGGAGAATGTGATACGTGTACATGTAATAAAAAAATAAGTAACTATTGCATGTATGTTCTCATACAATACAAAGCCTGTTATTGTAAGTGTCACTAATAATGATGTCTCCATTATTGTCTACTGCTATGCCTTGTGGGCCACTGTACTCTCCCTCTTTACTCCCACATCTTCCAAACTTGTGAACAAAGGAGCCATCCTTATCATAGACAAACACGCGACCGTTCACCATCTCTGTCACGTACACAAAGTCATGGCTATCTATGGCAATGGCGGACGGGCGATCCAGCTCTCCTTCAATTGATGAGAGGTACTTTCCATCATGTGAAAATACACACACACGATCATTATTAGCATCAACTACAAAGACACGTCCAGTTGAGTCAATGGCTACGCCTCTTGGCTTGTTGAGTTGTCCTTTTTTTGATCCTTTCGATCCAAATGTCTCTAAGAGGGCTAGGGTAGGAGATACTACTATGATGCAGTGTTTCTCAGCGTCAGCTATGTATATGCGGCCGTCTGCTTTGTTCACAGCTACTCCAAGCATTGTGTGGAAGTTTAATTTCCTTGCTGAAGCTGATGCAACGCATTTCCCTTCCTCATTGAATTTCTGAACTCTTAGTCGATCAACTACAAGGATGTGCCCATCGTTTGTCACAGCAATCCCTGTAGGCTCCATGAGTTGTCCCATCTTGCCTCCTTCCTCTGCTATAGTTTGGAGTTTGTTCCCATCTTTGGTGCATATTGTAATGCAATGCTTGTCAGACTCTATACTGGCTAGCTTGTCTCCTAATGTTGCTATGCCCCAGGGCCTCTCTAGCTCAGTAACTGATCCTGTCTGCTTCTCTTTGCTCTTTATCTTCTCTCTTCTCTCCTCAGCTGTCTCCTCTCCTTGTGTCTTCTTCTTATTCTCTGCCATTCTTAGAGAGAGAGAGAGAGAGAGAGATCTGGTGACACCCACTTTAGTGTATAGTTTTGGGGGTGTATCACTAAATATACTGTATCATGTTTCATGGGGCCATCTCTTCACCTCCTCCTTTTCCACATACACAAACAGGGCATGGAATTAGAAAATCTAGCCCAATGTGCAACTGTACATTTTCCTTGCAAAGATTATCAAGTTATTTATTTGCAAATTCCAATTGAATTTAATTTCTTTATTTTGTAAGCCCTACATATTGATATCATTATGCTAAGTTTGACTTAATCCTGTGTTAATCCTGTTACATCATCATATTCTTGTCTTATGTAGACTGAGGATTTTGAGCCATTCTTCTTAGGACGTAAAAAGCTCCTGCCAAGACGCACTGACCTTAGCTTCTATAACTGGGACACTAATATATGCACATCCAACTCAACCCCAAACTATGAGGTACATGTATGAACATACTGTAATTATATTATTATAATTACAAATGTTGTGTAATGTGTATTTCATTATGTGACATGTGTGTGTTTACGTGTGCATGTAATTCCATTATTGTGTTTGTGACTGATTGAGTTGTTGTAGTAGCATTGCGTGGTGTCCACATGATAGCTGACACTGCATGCTTGTTTATGATTATGTCGGTATGACGTCATTGTTGCTAGTTTTGTTGCTATTTTTAGCAAAGCAGCACTTACATCCATGATCCATGATAGAGCTAATTGATGAAGATGTGTCCTGCTAAAACAATTATTGCAAAAATTATAGTAATAATAGCACACCTACTATAATTATAGTTGTAAACATCCTACCTACTTGTACCTGCTTATGCAATAAGCTGCAAGTGGATTCATATGTACTCCATATCCTTGGGGATGTCCCATCAAGTTCAGGCTATACACACATAATGGGATTAGTGGAGTACAGGATTATGTGTGAGCGTTATCAACAGAGGCCTTACTACACATGTATACCCTTTAAATTAATAATAATAATAATGTAATTAATGATTAAACTACTCTGCAATGCAAGTTAGCATCTGTCCAGGATAAACATAGTTCTGAAGCAGTTTTCATGACACTCTGTTTACTATAGTAGTTAGTAGAACTCTTATTGTGTGGGTGGATATAGTGCTTGATCTGCACATCCTTTCTATTATTATAGATTGTAATTAGTTCTTATTTGCTTGCCTTCAATGTCTCCCCTCTTGTACGTATTATACCAATCTTTCCGTCCTATTTCCTTGTTTCTCTCTTTATGTCATCATCTGTCTAGTTGGCTAGTGGCTTCATAGTTTGCCTGTACATGGTTTTAGCCCAAATTTGGAATTTATGCAATTTAAAAAATTTGTAGAAAATCTAATTCTCATTTAAATCTGCTCAAATTTGATAAATAACATTAGAACATGTATGCATGTACATGTATGGATAAAAAAATGGAGAATTCTTTCCTAGTCGTTTTTGCCAAAATTTTGCCAAAGGCCATATGTACAAGGGACTTTGGCCCTATTTTTGAGCAACTTTAAAAATTTTTAAAAAATTCAAATTTGATTGGAATGACTCCAAACTTCTACGCAACATAAGAACGTGTACAGTATGTGTATCAGAAAAAAATTATAAAAATGCAGAATGCTCTCCTTTTCATTTTTGGTGAATTTTGGACAAACACCCTGTATTACAGTACAGGGTGTTTGACCTGATTTTGAAGCAATTTTAAAAATTTCTAAAATTTACAAATTTGATCGGAATTAGCTCAAACTCTATATATAACATATAAGTATACTGTATGTATATGTATCAGAGAAAAATTATTAAAATGGAGATTTGTAGCTTAGTCATTTTTGGTAAAATACACTGCACTTGAATGCACATCATCATCATCATCATATTATTATTATTATTATTATTATTATTATTATTATTATTATTATTATTATTATTACTTTTATGCGCATGTATTTGTGGTTGTCTCAACTCTTTTTCTATTGCGTTGATGAGTGGTTATTAATGAATGGTTGTTGCCTGCTATGCCTCTCTAAGGATTGTCACTATCCTCAGATTTTAGATCACACTTACCACTGTCTGGCAAAGTAATATATCAATTTCTAGACTTCTTAATTAGAGTCCGACTACATGACGTACAGTATGTGTGTGTATGTGATGTGAGTCAGTGACTAATGTATGATGTAAGCTTAATGTACTTATTAATTTTATTTTGTTGTGTCTGTTTGTTCATCATATGCCACCACCGTTCCCATCTGAAGCACATTCACATGTAATTACTATAATTATAATGTCTATAGAAAGCTCTTCAATTTTCTTATTGTATCAAGCATCAAAGGATTGATATGTCACTGTGTAATTACGTACATATACGTGATAGAGTGTCAATTGATTGGGATATGGTGTCATAATAGTCCTTTCATTCACTAATGAGTAGTTTATATCACCATTATTATATTATACGTTAGATCATGATTATGTAAATTTGACTTGCTATTTCCTTCATAATCATACTTTAATTAGATACTTTTTCTCACAAGTGTTAAATCCTGTTCTAATAGCTACAACCACTAACAGGAAACCTCCTTTTCATGCTCTATCATTGTGCATGTAATACTGAAAGCTGCCTATACATGCACTGCACATGTACTGCACATGTGCATGTACATACATCATGAACATGCATAGTATGACAGTGTGTTTGCATGCACATTAAGACCTCTGTTATCCCAGAACCTAATCATATTTATTAATGACAAGTCATAACTGTCTCTTAGTGTGGTGCCTTCAAAAAGAATGGCTCTTTCATGCCGCCTTGTAGTTGCATGCCTATGGGGCCAGACTTGCCGGAGGATTGATCTGATGAAGGTTTTGTTTGTTTGTGGTGGTAGTTGGGTGGATCAATCTTTGAAATACGATATATAGAGTGTCATTGGACATGTAATTGTAGCCAACTAGTTTTCTAGTCCATAGTTGATGTATAGTGCATGCGTGTACAGGTACAGGTACGGGTACGTTTATTTCCGTTGGGTTTTTGTTATTAGTACAGAGATGATCAAAGGATTGATCAGTGTGTGGTACAAATTATTGATGTCTTAGTTTATATACGTACATACACTGTACCACTCCTAGTCTTCCTCCTTTTGCCTTGATTGCAATTATAGTACATGTACATGTATACATGTACATGTACTGTACATGTACATGTACATTAATTTGTTGGTGTGTGTGTGTGTGTGATGGTAAAGGTCTTTTGATTGTACATGTACATGTATGTGCTTATAAGCACCTGTTTCTCATTCACTAATTACTCAAAGACTCTTTATACTGACCCACATAACTCAACAGGTGTTACACCCTTACTTCCCCTTTACATGTACTGCCTGTAGTTCAAATACAATACACTGTACAATGTACATGTACAGTGTACATGTAGGATCCGTGTGCATTGTGTGCATACTTGCCATCTCAATTAATTATCATTAATCAATGTTTAGCAGGACTCTAATTTTAATTAAGTGTATGATGTCAAGATAATTATGCTCTAGTCTCCAAACCATACAAATGTCTTAGTCTGAAATAGACATACATGTATGGCATTGTGTGTTCTTTCATGTGTATGTTTTAATTACTGGAATAATCTCTTTACATTGTACATGTATATGTGCATGAAATGCAGTACATTTAAAACCATATTACAGACATAAAAAACTCTTCTTAATCCACTTACATGTTTGTGTAGCACCTGTGGCAATTTTAATGTGGTTGAAATCTAATAGACTCTACATCTTATATCATGTTTCTCCTCCTCTCTCTCCCTTTTTATGTAACCTTACAATGCCCTCAAGGACATAATTCATTTAATTTCTATTGGCTGCATGGGACCTTTCTCTGTCTTCTTCTGTTGTACAGTATGACTACTGCAGTAATAATTATTATTAGTAGTAGTATTGCTATTATTAAGACCCAATGGTGATAGAACCCATTACTTATTAAGTATGCAAAACTATTTCCTCTTTTGTTGTACATTTGTACTTTTAATGTACAATTTAATTTGCTTATCAGCAATTAGCATATGTACAGTGTAGGTGTCTTTATGTAATGCAGTGGCCACTAAACCTTAGAGTTACAGGTACATGTACATGTACATGTAGTACGAGGAGAGTACATTATGAACATGCATGTACATTACATTGCTCAAATCTAATTGAGAGGGAGAGAGAGAGGAAAAGAATGGAGACAGGTCGTCTTTATTTCTCTTCCTGAAGCTGATTGATGAAGTAAAGTGATGATGTGTCCCTGCACTTTTGAGGGATCATCTCTTTGATTTTTGAGTCATCTTTATGTACAGAACATGCATGTTGTTCTTAGCATCTTGTTTGGGAAAGGAAAGATTGGTCTTATTAATTCCCTTTATTTGTATCAGCATTTATTCATTGTACATATTGTAATTTTAATTACATTTCCTTCTTTATATTCCCTCTCCCTCTCTCGTCCCTTTTCTATAATTCTTTTAATTTTGCCTATATATGGAAGTCGTGTACATGAGAACTGGGCATTAAAGGGATTATACAGTACATACTGTACCTCAGCACCATACCTCCTTTATACTACTGTTTCCCATCTTTTACTATGAACATGTACATGTTGTTTTAGTTTCAAGATTTGGTTTTCCTATACGTGCGTATACTGTGCTTAAGACTTTTAGCATAACGAATTCTTGTGGCAATTTTTGGCAATGTACATGTACATCTACATCTACATCTACATATCATATAGATTGTTGGTCTTTGGCCAAAATCTGAAAATTCTTAAAATGCTTATAAATCAAAAGTTTTTCATGAGAATAATTGCTACATGCACACATGTACATGTAACGTCAAAAGCGTTATATAATCTAGAATTTCTTGTGGCCATTTTTGGTCAAAATAGTTCATTTTTTTTGGCCAATTAAAATATCTTCATTAGGAGAGCATTGAACTATACCAGTACACAAACCCATACACAGCCCTTCCCTTTTATCTACTGATTGATGTTAACACTGTAGAATTATGCAGTTTTCTGTAAGTCTATACGTAATAGGTATGTTGTCCTCTTTCACTTCTCTTTGTGTGGGCATATATGGTGGAGCAGAATATGCTCATTCTCCTAATCCTTTGCCTTCATATCTCTCACTCTGTTAGATTGTTTTCCCAGTTTAGTCATCATTTTACTTTGTTGTTAATCCTAGACGTCTCTAGTGTTCCTACTATGTCAGACAGTGCCAGAATTCTGGCTCCTCATGCCTATAGCTCTTGTATTGCACTCTACATATACTTTATATACAGTGTACATACATATACATGTACACTGTATATAGATGTACATTCTCCTCCTCCTCCTCTCTCTCTCTCTCTTGATACTACTTGTATATTTGATGTTGGAGCGTGTGTGTCTCTCCTGCTATTGCATATTATTGAACTCATTTGGGAATCGGCTAAGGCTGAAGGGAGAATACACATGCTTGTAATGTTTGCGTGTCTTTCTGTTAAGGTTGTTGCTATTGGTATGTTAATCAGTGTCCTTTTTCTTCCCATCAGTAACATACATGCACCCTCTCTCTCTCTCTCTCTTTTTCTTTAGCACATCTCTTCAATCCTTTCATCTTCATGTACACGTGTGCATGTTCATAAAGGATATATTAGACACTCAAGGAAGCAATTGTTTTGATTCCTTATGCCACATATGATCTTATTATTATTTTCTCACTTAATTTCATTTACATGGGTATTCCGGTGGACATTCCATTATTAGCTGTCAGTTGCGGTTTCATGTGATACTGACAACTCGTACAGCTACTGATAGTTAATTGAATAATGGATGCCTTTGTTCGCATTGATCCCGTGATAAAGGGAGCGGGTTAATGGAACAAAAAGGAACTAATGTGTAGGTTTATTGACCTGATACCATCATCATGTGAAGACTAATAGAATGAGATCACTTTGTGTACAGTGAATACCTCACGAGGACTTACCTATAACTTTACATAATGTCCTAATCCTGTATTCATCGTGCAGCTTCTTCCTTTCGTTGTATTTTTATTATCGCGTGTCTGCATGTACAGTACATATGTACATTTGTGGTATACCGGTACATGCATGATAGTAAACTTATAAAGTACACATAGCTAATTTTCCAAGAGAGAGGGAAGATCATGTGTACATGTTTTCTCATACTAACAGTTACCTAGCAATATTGTACGTACATGTACATGTGTACATGTACATGTACTCATACATTGCTTGTATGGGAAAGTAAAGTGAGCACTTGTACACTGCATGGTAACATGCATTGCATCCTAAGGAATGACAATAGGGTTTAGTGGTGAATTTTAAACAGATGTCGTCTAGAATAGACAGGTCATTAATAGTGTAGTCTACCTCGTGGGCATTGATATACAGTGATTAACTGACCCAGTACTGAAGGCATTGTGTAGTTATTTGTTGAGTGAGTGTGCTGACTGTTTTTGAAGTGATCGTTTGTCTGAAATATTTTGTTGGTTGAAAGTAGCAGGTGTTTCGTAGAATGTGGTGGGATGAGGAGAGAGAGAGAGGGAAGGAGGGAGTTCTCTGTGTTTGTTTTGTCTGTAATTAATCCCTGTTTGCTGTGACCTCTGGCCAGTAGCCTCTGGAATGTCATCTCCTCTCTCTCTTTCTTTCTTCTCTGTCATCCTCTTTTTTATCATTTTTGTACTTTTGCTACACAAACCTACCAACCTTTTAAATGCACATTGTATATATGCACACATACAACAATGTGCTATACTGTAGTATTAAATCACAAGGTTCGTTAGCCTATTGTACACAAGGAAACCTAAGTACAGCATTGGGAATGATTTCGGCTCATTGTTGCTATACAATAACTATCAAATGTCAAACCACAGAAGCACTTGGCACAGTTCAAGGTTGACCCCTATACTGACTGTATTCCCCCTTACCTTTTCTCCTTAGCCTATAAAAATATTTATCATACGCTTGTATTTATTTACTACTCAAGTAAATAATGTGAATACTGGTTTATTTACTACAGATGTAGGTTTCTCCCTACATGTACTTTCAATGAAACTTGTTATAGTTTGTTTTCTATAGAGAACCTTGAATTCATAGTGAGAGCTCCTTTGAGTAATGATGTAACAGAATACATGCATACATGTCTTGCACCATGTACATGTACAGTAGTAGTTGCTGTAGTCCATAGCTTTATAAATTGACCAATAACACTTGCAGGCATTCGTTAGAGATTTTATTGATAGATAATTGTGCAACTGTACCCACACCTGCACACACACACAACCACACACTGTTTGCTCTTCATTATTTTCCAGTCTCAAATTTATTATAATAAAGCAAAAATGTTTAATTTTTAATTGCTAGTATATTTACTTTGTCCAATAAGCACTCCTCCTCCACGGCTAATGTTGTTTACTGGTAGTATAGTATTACTGGGGACTGTAGTGACTGCTTATAAAGCATAACTGCTGTGTCATTTGACAGCATTTATTAGTGCACTGTAATTGCCATCATCAAAGCATCACTTATAGGCACACCTTCTTTGACATGCATCAATGTCTTGTCTTTGAGGCTTTTTGATATAATCTCTAATTCTCATCGCATCACGAGTGTGCCCAACAGTCCAGTAGAGTATGTTTATACAGCTACAGGACGTATGATCCAGTCGCTATTGATTTTTAAGTTGTGCAGTGTATGCATGTACATGTACATACATATCCAGACATTTCACCCACTCATTCACACTACAGTAGTCATGCATACATTGTATACGAGTAGTTACTCCTTGTGTGTGTCTGGAAATTAGGATATTGCGTGTATGTGTTGATTAAATGGGATGTAGTGATTGTTTTGTTGTATGTATACATGTACAATCCCTGGATGTGAATAAGGAAAGAGGGGGGAATTATGGAACAGGCGGGCGGATAACAAAGGAGACTGTTTGCAAAGCTACTTGTACATGTAATGAGATTACACTGACATTGACTCACACACTGTTTGCCATCTCTCCCTCTAGATTATTGCTGACTCAACAATCGGGCTGATCTTCAAAAACAAGAGAGACAGAAAAGTCATCAACGTTGATCCTAAGGTAAGAAAAGGGAAAGAAATTATTTTCTGTAAGAGAGGGAGAAAGACTGGAAGTACTTACCACAGGAATGCTCACAGCTATGATATTTTACAATTGTTTATCCAATGGCTTTAAGATTATAAATTCCATTGGTTGTTTGTGTCCAATTCTCTTAAGATCTTAGCCATAATTGGTAATGTCTCACAGTCACTACATGTCACCAGTTGGTTAGATCATTCCAAGAGTACACATTGGTAACTGATAACCTTTAGCATTTGCAATCCAGCGCATGACCATTGTTACACTTGTGTACACACTAATCACAGGATCTCTACCTTGTGATTATACACATTTACCCACACAACACATGATATGAATCCCACATCCTCTAATTAGCTATCAATTATTTCTTTGCTATACTGACATAATTTTATATTAATGATAGTGAGCATACATCACTCCACTGTATATAGCCTCCCTCCACTTAATCAATTTTTTTCCTTTGAAGTACACGTACATGTATCCACTAGCTGTATATGCACATGCACATGTGTCCTTGATATACTGTTGTACTTGCAATCATGTTGCACACCTTTCCTAGTGTCACCTGTTCCTCAAAAACATCATACATGTACGTGTACGTTTGATTGATTTATAATCCTTGCCATACTTGCTTGCTTGTTGGGAGTGAGAAACAGACGCATACCCCACAGTGTCGTGAGAGCGTGACAAACACTATAATTATGTTATATGATGTTTGTGTGTGTGGAGGGTACATTGTACAACTCTGGAACATCATATCCTATTACTTGTTGCTATGGCTGTTATTCATACCACTGGCCTTGTTTGATCCCCATGTATTTAGAAAGTAATTGATTTTTACTGAGAGAGAGATTGACCTGCATAATATTTACAGTTTAGCATTGCATTGCCTGGCTTTTAAAAAACTAATGTAACTTGATGATGTTCTCTAGGACTGTACTTTGACATTCCAAGAAAGAGGTCATTTTGATAATTAATAGTCTCTTGAATTATTTATTTTGAGAGGAGGTGGAGAAACTGTAAAGAAGAAGAGTAGGGTCTATGCGTACATGTACATGTATCGATGAAGAGAAGACGTGTACACGTGTAGTATACATGTACGTGTAACTGAGAATGAGAAATAGAAAGGAACAATTGATACTGTTAATGAAAATAATATCATTGTACATGTACATATATCCAGGGTGTGTGGCTGGGTGCTGTGGTAGGTCAGTATAATTAAATATTAATATGTTTCACCACCTGTGGTTAGGTGTGTTCTATTAACTCAATAGTGTTCATGTACTGTATAATCCAATAATTGGTTGACATTAGTTGGAGGCTATCAGCTCAGTCCCTTTATCATAACAATAAACCAATGATCATCATGATTTCATTTCATTATTAATAAGTATATGTACATGTATGTGCATTTGTGCAATGTACTTTTACAAAATGCCCTAAGCGAAGCAAAAAGAGGAAATCAAATGATCATTAGTTACATGTGATGTACATGTAGTAGTATTGAGATCACTTATAGTATTGTCTCAATCCCATGTGCCAATGATAGTGTGTTTCAGATTCAAGCTACACTGCTAGGATTCAGGTCACCTTATACAGGTACATCGTGACTATAGTTCATGTAGTTTGTGAGTATGATGGTCTTTGACCTCCGTAAATAGTAATGACTTTAAAGGATTTACTATTCATCAAGTGTACTGTATGTCATCAAGTGTATGCATATTAGATATCCAGTGCATTCCTTCATGCATAGAGTCAGTTATTAGGGTTCAGGTCACCTTTCCTCTATAGCTTGCATGTTCCAAATGAAATTTTACCTTTTTTGCCCCTTACTCAATACTGGTATGAGCATAATTAAGTTTGTGGATTCATGGTCCCATTCATATGTCACTCACTGTATGTACACACGGACTCTACAATGACTGGCCATTCGGTTTCTTTGATGTCCAGTTTCAATGAGAATATATTGAATGGGTGCACACCTGCTAATGTTCACAGTTTAATTGTCATTCCTTTCTCTAACGTGCAATATTAATACCATCCTATTTGTTTTATTAAGCAACTTTACGCCTACTAGTTCTGCATTATAAAATAATTTGTAATACCTGGAGGCATATTTTGTGAACACCTGCTCCTACTAACAATAGAGTTCCGCCAGTGGCCACATACCATTTGTCTTTTTGTCTCTCCTCCACTCACGCATGTGATACATGTACATGTACATGTACATGTACATGTGATACATACATGTACATGTACATGTACATGTGTCACATTTTTTCTTATCGACTAGTCTGGGTTGTTAACCTTTCCGTTATTGGTTGGCTGTGGGTTAATTAGTTTATCAAACAAGTACAAGTACAAGTACATGTACATGTTGGTGTATGTTAATGGCTGATGTCATGTATACACACATCCAGTGGTGGAATCTTATCTTTCTATTATACTATACTAAATGTTCATTCCTTATCTGACATATTATGGTTCATGTTCATAGGGTATTTTTTGTACATGTACATGTACATGTATATGTACATACAGTACATGTACAATACTTTAATAAAGATTAATATGCACATTCACGTGTACATACATGTACTGTACTAGTAATTCCTTAGTCAGCATCGACCACTAATTTTCTTTTTTCTCATTTCTCTCTCTCTCAATCTCTTTTGTGTGTAGGCATCACCAGGTGATAATACCACTCGTACTCAAGTAGTAACTAGTAAATACATCCATGTTATCCTCTACGATCATATCACTAGAAGAAAAGCATAACTTGATTGATTATATTGTGGATACAGTACTTCATACAGTAGTAGCTGTATGTGTAGCTACATGCATGTAGCTTTTTAAACCATGTACAGTGTACATTTAATAAAAATTTATTAGTGATATCTTAAATCAGAACTTTCATTAGATCCTTGTATCAGTGGTATGCACTCAGTTTCCTCTTAAAGTGTTGTGTGTGATTTCTCTTTGACAGGTTTGGTTTCCTCTCCATATGTCCTGTAGCTATCCTTCTTGATAGTAGTACAATGTCCTTCACAGAACAATCATTCCTCCTTTAATGTCATCATTAGCAGCATAAAGAAGGAAATGCTCCAATGACTACCATACTCGGTAGTGGTAGCTGTTGCTTATGCGTAACTGTGTCTGCATGTTATTGTTGTAGTGTATCCCATTAGTAAACCATATGTCACTAATTATGATAATTATGCATCTTTGTACATGTACTTGTACTTTAAGACAAAACTGAAGCTTAATGTGTGTGAGGATGTCATGCTTCTACATACATGTACATACAACTCTATCTTGTACAATTTGGGTGTTTTCCTTTTTCTCTGTCCATCTTCCCCCTCTCTCTTTCACCTTTTTCCTCGTAGTGATGACATTTATTTGTGTGTGCGTACATGTAAGTCTTACTTGTACGTGGTAGTGTGTGTGCAAATATAATGGACTAATGAGAGGATGTGCTCACCAAGTGTTGTATCACACTTTGTATACAGTATCATTAGCTGTGCTCTTAGTCTTCTCTTTGTGTATAAATATTTACATGTACATGTAGTTCTTTTAAAAGCCAATATCATTAGGCGTTGCATTGTTTAGTAATTAGTGGCTTGTTTTCTAATTGGATTTTCCCACTTCACATTATAGCAGGGCTGGTGATAAAGAGGGTCGCTCACACCTGGGTAGATGTCACAGGATAAGTGCTCATATTATTGACTATAGCAAAGGTCGGAACGTGTCAATAATAGTCACCATTTCCTTTAAATTGTAGTCTAGACTTAATTGCTGTCTTGTCTCACTAGCGAGTCAGTCTTGCGACAATCATTGTCTTACCCTTTTATGTGCCGTTCTCATTGTCGTTCCGTTGTACTTCTAATGCCGATCCCATTACACTGATCCACACATTAGTCTTATCGCTAATCCTAATGCTTTGTATATTAATGCTATCACTGACTCACTGAAGTGGGTTGGTTCATTAGGTGATGGTATATATCCATTTCTTGTCTGGCTGGCAAGTTAATCCTTCCTATAGACTAAAGGTCATCAAGTCTGCTGACATTAGCCCTCACTACTGTTAATCACTTACAGACTAGACATTTTCCTTATTATTGTTAAAAGGATGAACATGTATCTGATGTTTAGGCTCTGGTCTAGTTGAGCCACCTGATTACATTGTCAATGTATTTTTGATTGGAATATTTTGTGAGTAGTTACATATACTGTATGTTCTGGTTCAAATTTTTAATTTCTTTCAATTATCGAAAAATTCATTGTTTATAGGTGTGGCTAATACCAGACATCGAAAATTACACATAATTATCGTATACCCACTCTCGCCCTTAACCTTCTCTCCTAATGGTTTCTTGTTTAGTTGTCATAGCCACTGTGAAAGTTACGCTCACTTTGACTGATTCTGTTGTATGAAAACTTTCTCTCTCTCTCTCTCTCTTCAGTTTCCCTCTTCTAGTCATCTGGCTCTTTTTGTCTCTTCCATTATTCTTTCCATCCAAGACTGCTCATTATTGCACATTCACATGTAGCCTAAGGATAAATGCATGTACATGTACATGTATATTCGAGCAAGCTAGCAATATAGGAAGGATGTTGTATGATATACAAATGGCCAGATGTGTTACAATAAGTATACTCTCAGACGCTGTTGCTACAATTGCCCTCATCAGCCTGATATTACTACTCTACTATACTAACAATACCAATGACAGAGTTTACCAGGTGTTCATCTTAATACATAGAGTATTGCTCTCTCTCTATCTCTGTATGTGAGAAGGGGAAGCAAGGGCGGTGGGAATCTAATTGAGGCAATTAATCAATTTTGGTTTTAAAGAGTTTGTAATTAGTATTGGTATGTCAATCCTCTCTTTCTGGTCAATATACTAATAAATACAAGAAACAGCTGTTATTATTATTATTATGACTCTCACAAAGTCCTTTTGTATTCACACCAACTATTACACCCAATACAGACATGGCAAACATTTTGATATGCACATACATGTACATGTACATGTACATGTTTAATTTACTATAATGATATGTAGAGAGGCTATACTACCCCATTCTGTCTTATTATGACAGTACACATGCCATTAAGTCTATACTGAGACAATAACAACCTATTGCTGACTAATCTACTATTATCATCTGAGGCCTAACTGATAAATGGTTACTTGTTTTTCTAAACTTTACAACTTCCACTGATTTAGAGATATTTAACGCCTAGAGTACATTTACCTTTAAAGCTCTCTCTCTCTATACCTTTCAATCTTTTTATGTCTTTCTCTTTCTCCCTCTCTTTCACTTATCTTCTCTCAATTTTCTCTCTCTTTTTTGTTTCTCCAGTTTGTTTGTATAGATAATTGCTGTGTTTGTATAGCTAGTTGGGCTTGGCTTATCAAGTAGGAGCAGGTGTCCTTTGGTCTCACTCTCTCTGTCTCTCTCTCTCTCTTTTAAAGTGTGTTTGTTTAATGGCAAGACCAATGGGTGTACTCTCATCTCAATTATCAACTACAGAGAAATGCATACCAAAACAACCACTGGCTATTATTCCTACTTTGACGCACATACTTGTCCTCAATAAAAAGTTTTGTTATCGATAACACCGTATCCTAGCTAGCCCTCCTAACTGGTTGACATGTACACACCTCAGGCTCAGTGGCATTTGGTATTATGTTTTCAGTAAGCCAACATTTGATAGTGGACACAATCAACAAGAGGTACTGATGAGAGTATGTGTTGTGTGCATACTGCTTCAATAGTTTGGTAACAAATAGATTCCCTCCCTTTTTCCTTCTTTTCTCTGTGACTTTTTTTTGGCTGTGTCTTGCTTTGAAATGTGTGATTTTATTATTAATGATACAGTTAAGTGATTGAAACAAAAATAGTAATAATAGCAATAATAATAATAATAATAATAATAAATTAATATAATTATAATGATAATATGATACAATGCATATCTAGTTAACTTTATACATGTATTGTTTTTTGGTTGGCAAGGAGAGAAAAAGAAACAAAGAAATTTAGGTCTGATAAAACCATATGGGCCAAACATTGTCTGATGAGAGAGAGAGAGAGAGAGAGAGTAGGGCCCTCTCACACCATCTAATCCGAGTAAGAGTATACACAGCTGCATTCCGCCACGCTGAACTGATCGAGAGTTTTTATGACGCTACCATTTTGATCAAATTTTATATAGTTGAGTGAATGATATTTTGTAGGAACGCAGGTTTTGGAGTAAAGGTGTTTGTTTGCGAGATGCTCAACTTCGGAAGTGGCCAGTAAGAGGTATGTTATCTTAGAATGGAACTGGTTAATGTATTTAGATCCTGGGCAATGTCCACCACACACGTTGAGGTCAAAGGTTTCAGGGAAGTCAATCTCTATGTCTAATATTTGCGCCAACTGTCCTTTATCGATTGAAAGGCTTGATTTACTACACTCTTCGGAATCTCCTTTTGAAACTGTTTTGCCGGCGGATCGTCTGGTTCTATCAGCATCAGCTGTGCTCTCTGAACTGTTCATTTTCTCGCTGATTGCTTTGTTTAGTTTCTCTAAGAGTCTATCTTCATCGTGATCAAAAGAATAGACAACGAGAGTTGGTTGTGTGGAATCATTTGCATCATCAAAGACAATGCCCATATCTTTGCTGCTGCATTCCAATGGCCCATTAGCTTCGATTGTAATACCCAAGTTAACAAGGTACTTTAACTGCCCGTTCTTCAGCCAGTCGTGTATATGCAGCTGAACTGGGAAATCAACAAACTGCGATTCATTGGTTGTGATGTTTTTTTTATTGATATTAGAATTGTTTGAGGTGAGAGTTAATTGGGCACTACCTTGTGATGAAGAGAAAGAAGTGGAAATATTTACGTAAACTCTGAATATTGCCTTTGAGATGTCTTCTTCCTTAGGTATTGAGGACATGTTAAAGGTAAAGGTGTACTTAGAATCTTTGCAACCTATTAATGATAAAGAATGTAATGCATGCATGGATTCACATGTCAGCTTGCTCACCTTGAGCCTTGGTAATTTCAAACGACCTTAGAGTATTGTAGCGGTGTCGATCAGGTTGCTCTTTAGCATTAGCTGCGAAAGACTCAAAGAGAGAGAGAACGTATGGTTTTAGCCTTGGCTGGGGATCCCCTGACTCTCTGAGGACCACGTCTCGATGAGGCTCAGCGTCTGAGAGCTGCTGCTTCTCCAGGATTGGAAAGGTCATTGTCAATGTTGCCAGTGACAAGAGGAGCAAAAAGAAGTTTACTGAAGAGGTAAACATTTTCTGAACACTTTTTTGTTAAATATATGAACTACAAGGGTCGGAAAGCTCTGTGGCTATCGTTTGCTTGATTTTTTGATACCCAGCAAATCTCGCGGCACCCCTCCTTTATACTCCAAAAACGGAAATGAGCACCTCTAGGGATTCTAATAGGGGGGAAACCATCTCCTTGCTGCATCAATAAATATAATCAACATAAAAACTTTAAAGCCTCTAAGACTATGTGTTTTCAAGTGATTTGAAAATGTTGTGACTATCATTTGCAAAGGAATTCTCATGTCTATGACAAGTTATATTACTAATATCAATTGATATGCACGGCGCAAAGTTGTTGTCATGCAATTCAGAAGTTGTATTATAAGTTGTCTGTTAACCATTTAGCTATATCCTATAGCTAATAATTCAGTGCTTGCAACAATAATAACAACTCTATTGAACTAAAGTGAAAATTTTACAACTGTTTATTGAAAGTTGTCAATAACCTTTTAGCTCCCAAAAAAATTCATTGTTTACGTAAGAATGATGGCTGAATTATGTAAGGGAAGAGAGTTCACATGTATTAGATGCTTATGTAGACGGGCAATGTTATTCTTTCTCTACATTTTTTCAAATTTAATGCCAATAATAATTATAAATAAAGTATATAAATAGAAATTGAATAAAACTATATATGTATACAAATTATAATAAAGCCGTCATAATACATTACTCTACAAGAATGAGATAGAAATTATTTTATTGTCCAAAAGAGCACAGATCCTCAGCTTTCCTGACTATAAGTATAGACACAACTACACTCTTGTGCTGTGATAGGGGCCTTCTTATAGATACTTCCATTGATTCCAATTACTGCACGAGTAACATTTGTGTATTTTGTAGGCACACAACACTTTGAGTACTTGGATTTGTTGGCTATATGGTTTTCACCATTTTCGCTAGGAGTAGCTAATAAGTGATACAGTATGATAGAGTTGAGTTGCTTCATGTACTTATTGGACGGACACCACCCTCCACAGACATTTAACGGGAAAAAGTCAGGAAATAGAATTTGCTCACCCAATACTTGTCCTAACTGTTCCTTTGTAATCGTAAGTTCTGATTTACGGCACTCTCCATTTGATGTACCAGAGGAGCGTGTATTTCTTTGATTGGCATTCTTTTCTGTACTTTGGATGATGCTGATAGCTTTATTCAGTTCATCCAGGTTCTCATTGCCATCATAAGAATAGACAACAAGTGAAGGCTGAGTATTATCATGTGTGTTGTCATAGACAATGTTCATATCTTTGTTGTAGCATTCCAATGGTCCATTAGCTAAATCAATTGTAACACCCAAGTTAACAAGGTACTTTAACTGCCCGTTCTTCAGCCAGTCCTGTATATGCTGCTGAACTGGGAAATCAACAAACTGCGATTCATTGGGTGTGATGACTTTTGTATAGAGCTTAGAATCGTTTGAGGTAAGAGTTATTTGGGCACTACCTTGTGATGAAGAGAAAGAAGTGGAAATATTTACGTAAACTCTGAATATTGCCTTTGAGATGTCTTCTTCCTTAGGTATTGAGGACATGTTAAAGGTAAAGGTGTACTTAGAATCTTTGCAACCTATTAATGATAATATATACACTTATATCTTAAGTGTAAACATGACACTCACCTCTAAATTGTGTACTTCTCTCAAATGACCTAAGAATATTATACTGATATTCTTCTTGTTGTTCAGATTCAGCAGCAAAGGACTCATAAAGAGATAGAACATATGGAGATACTGATGGTGCTTCCTTTGGTGCTTCTTGGAGGACTGTGTCATGATATATTGGCAAAGATAAACTGATTGATGCCAATGACAGAAGGAGGAAATAAAAGCCAAACAAGAAAGACATTTTCAAGTCTTGAAGAATTTAAGATGATGAGTTGCTTGTGACTATAATGTAGCTATCTGCACTGATGATTTTTCTGAGTTCAACTGCCACTTGAAGCTCCTTTTATGTTATAGGAACCAGGAAACATTGTCTGGGTTTCATATCATATATAGTATTTAACAGGAAAACTGTAGCAACCACGAATAATCAGTAGCAATAGGGATCATTTTCAATAGATAGAGAGGGAAATATAATTTTTAAGGAGGGAAAAAAGAAAGAGCAATGCATTACAGCATAATTTGTGCATTCATGTAGATCTATACTTGGCTTTAAGGAAGCACCTCCAATGAAATGGAGTTAATGTAACAGTGATGTAATTCAGGAAACTAGCTAAAGATAAGTAAACAAAATCATAAAGCAAACATCCTTTCCATTGGGGTATGTATGCAAAGCTCACTCGTAAATGCACTGATTGTTTTTAACACATGATAATTATCTAATATCTGTTCCGGAACTTGTTTCCAAACTACTTGTTTTAAAGAAAAATGTGAAGCACATGACAGGCAGCACCAATGTAGCTGGCTTGTGTGTTTACATTGGAATGGTGTACTTTTGGAAATTGTTGTCTCTAGTTATGTTATCATTTAATATACATAGTAAAAAGGAAATAGCCAGAATCATATTTAGCTTTGCAATTATCCTTAATTGTACAAGTACACACTTGGCTATTTCAGCATTTTAGGATGTCCTTTTTTGGGGACTTAGTTTCAATTGAGTTTAATTCATTGCCCACACAAGTCCTTGAGTGAATACCCATAGTGTTATTCTAGGCTTATAGATGGATGTCATCAGAGTCTATGCACACATTAGTTCTTTGCAAACAAGTTGCATCATGTCTCTTTCAGTGTGTATCCAGTAATGCTCTAGCACTCCTTATTGGAACCTTGCAGCAGACCCATTAGTTTATCATGCCCACACAACACATTGCCTTCCGGTGTTCATTGGGCTCCATTCACAAACAGACTACAGTTTATCTTGTCTGCATTCGGTTGAAGTTGAACCACGAAAACCCCCTAAACCTCTTCTACAAGCCCCGATACATCCTAATTGCAACTACAATGTTGCCTCAATGCCTTTCGTTCGAACGGACTCTCAAGTGCCACTCTATGTCTAGCACTGTATATCAGTATTCTAGGAAAAGCTGATAGAGGAGTGCCCACAAAATCTAAACCAACCAATACACCTGACCCGAGACAAACACACAAATATACTCTCGTGTATTGATCATGTTTGTTAATATATGTGTTGTAAGCTAATGTGCAATTAATTGTAATGATTGCTTCGAGCAAACTTTAAGGGAAATTACCATCAAGATGCATCCCATATTGAAAGTGTTTCCATTTGTAGCAAATGGCTTTGATGTTGTGATGGCTTTGAACCAGCTTTGCATTATCTTAAACTTAATTAGGCACTAAAAATTAATTTTTATTAAATAAATCTTGTAATCATCCTTTCATTGCAGACAGACAGTAATATTACAGATAAAAATAGTAGCAATATCAGTTGCTTTGGGAATAATAATTTAATTTCAAAAGGGACAAGAACAGGAAAGATATTCTTGTATAGAATTTCCTTAAAAGAGGTCAGTTATTTCAGTGTGACCACAAATGAGCCAAAGACAATAGGATTTGTTTTTTTAAGCAAGAATATTTAATGTGGGAGAGATAAGAGAGAAGGGAGAAATATTACCTTTTGTAATGGTCTCTTCACTCCTAATCACATGGACTAAAGGTACATACCCTATAATGTGGTTCTCACAAACACGACACGAACGATATTCATGTCCACATAATCAATACTTAGAGTATTAGTAGCAGGCTGCAGGTCACGTGTGTGTACATGTGTGTGGTTAAGAAGGTTTTCAGTAAATACTGAAAGCTCATACAATGCAGAGGTGGAAATAGATAGCTACAGAGGTTCTGTGTGGTTTCTGTTGGTTTGATATGAGTCACGTTAATAACACACACATAAACATACCCACTCATTATGCACACAAACACAAACAAAGAATGAATTCTAGTGCTTAAGTGGGTGTTTGTTACAATAAAGTACTTAAGTCATTTACGTTGCACTGTAGCAAAAGAGTATTGAGTGACGTGTTAGCATTGATCTATATATAACAAACAGTTTGAGCAATCTAGTGATGGTCATTATTGTGTCTTGAATTCAATAAACTTGAATTAATGCCTACGAGGGACAGTAAATATTGGCACTAATGGTACACGCTAGCTGAAACATTTTCCGCACACATACACACACACATAGTAATGACTAATAAGTACATATTGACACTCGTCAAGACAGTGAGAGGGAGTGAGAATGTAAATAAATAATTATAATGCAATAATAATACACCTACGCCGGTTTCTCTGTCGCCGACCGTGTAAAGATTGAAGCCTTGTTGCAACTAAGCTAATTAATGGTTATTGATGAAGGACTGAAACTTTAGGATATAATGATAATATTTGATTATAAGTGGATGCAATTAAAAAGCTTTTGACGAATGGTCTGTATAAGTAGAATAATGAGGTAAATTGAGCAAGGTCTAGTACAAACAAAGCGTAGCAGCTATCCTAAAGAGAGTCACGGGTTGTATAAATAGATTTTAGCTAATCTAACTAGCTGCATACATCACTTACGAATTAAGATTAATCACATTATATGTGTCATGGCTTTTTCTCATTATGTGATTCATGTGCCATGCATACCCGGTACCATTTCTACTTTATTGGTAAATGATACCACAATGATACGAGATCATCTGACTATTAGGGCACACAGTTTGTATTGTGATACCACCGATATGGATGCTGTACCATTCACTACACTTCCTGATTCCTTAAAAATGAATGACACACATATATTTAGCGGAAGCTGTTAATACAGATGGACGTCATGTTTATCATAAATCATAATAGCATTTCTGAGTTCACGTTATTAGTCATTTGGTTAATGATGTTAGGACTAACTATAAAGGATAAGTACACATGTACACAATGGGATAATACTATAACCACAATAGCTAGCCGGAACCAACCACAGGCCCTACTAATCACATTTGTCATTACAACAAAATGCTTGCATAATTGTGTGCTTTGCCTAGACAACAAAAGATAATTTGTAAAACCACCAAGTCCTCAACCGCAGGTAATGTTGCTGGTAGTAACTGTGGTGGTGATTTCAGAGTGGCTCTCCAACATTATTTGTAACATTCGTGTGAATTGCTTTTAGCCACAACTCAGAAATTATACACATGCAAAATGATAGTGTAAGCACAGTATATGGTAACTGAAATAAACTGATAGGCATTTACAAAAAAGGATAACAGAATACTTATAATACAGCTAGCGTATACATGCATGCATTGCAACAACAACAACACAGATGCACAACAAGCAGGAATAATGTTTTGCGTAAACAAAATCAATCCTGTCATGTCATGCATCTCAAAGGAGTGCTGCATTCTTCAATGCAATACATAAAAGCTATGGCATTAAGGCGGAGGGCCACAAATGAATCAAGTGTTTTCAAACAACATAATAACGAATTGTGTGAAGCTATTATCCTTCATTATGGACACCTCCCTCAAACACAAATACAATTATCCGACCTCTCCCCTCTCTACTTTATTTGAACTTTGTTAGAAGTAGCGACAACTGATGTATGCCTACTCTCAGGATATATACACACGTACATACACTTAATGGATTCTCCATCCCATCCCGCATGTGCTTCTACAAACATTATTACATGCCCAAAGCATAATGTAAGTACTCCTACATACTGACAGTGCCAACACCCTCTTACTCTCATGCTCTTCAAGTACAAAATGATTTCATGTACTTTTCAGTGCTAAATTTGACAGTTTAAACAACAAGGTGCAAATGGTGTACGAAAAGATGTGAACAGGCAAATGGGCTCAAAGAAACAGGAATTTTTAAAATGACATTATTCAATGACAACAATAACAACATTGCCAAAAAGATGTGCTGTGATAGCCATTGATGGATATGTTTTAGCAATACAAACGCTTTAGTTGTTTTTGACAATCTTTTTATACAACGGTCATAAAGGTATTAAAATGAGCATATCATTGTATAGGTCATACACACACACACACATATATATACACAAATTGTCTTATATATCCCACAGTCCTAATTTAAAATGTCCTGGGTTCTTTTTTATTAATGATATGTCGTCTATCTTTGGATCGCTGAGTATAAATTTGTACCTTTTATCACTCCCTTTAATGCTGCCAGTTGATGAAGGAGCAATTGAATGAGAGTCGTTATTCTGTGCCATTGATTTTACTTCATTTTGGATTGAGTGCTGAGTAGTCCCATTGAGTCCAGCTCGAATAGAATCAGCAGGAGAGAAAAGAGGAGGAAGAGAAGGAGAAGATAAAGTAGAGACAGAGTGACAATTAATAGTTATATCCTCTATAGCAAAGCTATCATTAGAGATTCTGTTAATAGTAGGATCAGTGGAATTAGCGTGTGGCACAGGTGCAGAATTTACTTGATACTCACTACCTCTTACTGGGTTTATTATCTCAGCCTGGCCTGTCACCTTTTTTGAGAAACACTCCATCAAGGAGCCACGTTGACAAGGCAACAGTTTATAAGGAGCTAGGTGTTGAGAATGTGACATGCCTTTCTTGTTATATGCAATACGACTGAGAGCATCACCGGGTTGCATAGGAAATGAACCAAACGAGGCTTCAACTCCTCCAGGTTGCCATGGATAAGGGCTTGGTTTTGAATTATCATAACATAAAGGCTTCAATGAGCAGGAAGTAGAGGACTTAGTAGTGCCCTGATGGTTATCATCCTACGGAATACACAAGGCAAGTATGTATGTATCATAGCTACCCTATTGACAAGAAGATCATGCAATATGTGCGTGTGTGTGTGTGTGTGACACAACTGATGCTCAATCAGTACAAGTATTGAAACAAACCTAATAACAATGCCTAATGGCCATAATGGTCATTATGAAGAAATGGTATAATGTTTCATTGACTGTTTACAACTCAAAGGTTTACTGAGAAAAGGCTCAAACTTGACTGTGCTATAGTACAGGTTTTTTACCAACTTTTGGAGTTTTGGAGCAAATTTTAAAAATTTATAACAAATTCAAATTTGATCGGAATCGGCTCAAACTTGCTATGCAACATAAGTACATGTAAATGTATCAGGGAAAAATACAAAGATGAAAAATTCTTTCGGAGCAATTTTTGACAAAATACCCTGTACTATTATATAGGCGGTTGCCTATATGTAAGATTGAGGTCGGTTTTTTTAAGATGATGGCTGTTTTTATGATTTTCAAATGCTTATAAGACTTTTATCTTATATAACCTATGGTCCTTTGCCTGATTTTTGAGCTATTTCAAAATTTATAAAAACGTCTAATTTTGATCATAATCAGCTCAAAATGTTATGTAACTCAAGGTAATAAATACATTTCAGAAAATGTAATAAAAATTCCCCAAAGCTATTTTTACACTATGGTAATACAGTATTGTAAGATGATACGATAGAGAGCAGAAACAACTGAGACAAAAGCTAATGCAAGTGGTCACTTCATATCTTATTTCAAGACGACCACAACCAGTAAGCATAACCATTAGTACCACGGTGCAATTAGTGCTCTAATGGACAATAAAATCTAAATGTCATGCTAATACGCCCATATGAGCCACAATAAAGAGAAAATCATATACTGACATGCACGTATTATGCAGAGATGGCTAGTTATTCGTACACACATGTACCAATGACAGATTATACACTTAAGTATTATAATACGCAACATAGAAGCACAAATACATGTGCAGCACATGCTGAATACGCCAGTACTGCGTACCAAACAATGCCAAGTCAGTGCCAGAGAAATAAATTGATTATTGTCCTAATACAGGAAATGAGGGCTAACATAGTCAAAATAATTATGACACAAGCATTGTTAATCTGATTTTCATCAAACGAGCAAAATTCCTGCAACAGCAAATTGTAGAGTATTGTGTTACATGTAAGCAACACACACACACACAAATACTTGCTGACAAGTAACAAGAGCAATCAATCATAATTGAAGGGGCATACTCTTTCTATTAGTGACACTATTGTAGGTGTAATATGCATAAGATACAACACACAGGGAGCTAATTTATAAACAATAGAATGAAAATAATAGCATAACATACACACAGACAGGGAGAAACTAACCTTAAAAGGCATTGTTTTTGTTTGATGATAAATCGGCGCCAAAGCAGTTGAAGTTATGTTACGGTAATCTTCAGAAGCATTCTCCGAACTGAAAGTTTGTGCTGTATTTATTTTTCCAAGGATGCGATCAGGATGAACCTCATCATCAACTGTTATTGTTATTGTTTCTCTGCCGAGAGATGGTTGTTCAAAGCAATCCCTTGATCTAACGTCTTTCATTCTGGAGAGAGGACAAGGAACTTCCTGACAAACAGTAGGAATAGCACCAGCGGTATCAAATACATCATAATCAGAAACAGCATCAGTGCAATATCCTATTTCCCCTCTTGAAGAGAGTACAACAGGTGATTTTAGAGGGGATGCCGTGGATGAAGTAAGCAGACTAATGGTGGCAGGAGTAGTAGCTGGTTTGGTTGCATAATAAAGTGAGGGGGATTGAGGTTTGGAAGAGGAACCAGAAGATGAGTGTGTAATAGTTGGGGGGTGTAGGAAAAGAGAGCGAGATGGTGAAATAAGCACGTGTTCTTCAGCAATAGCAATACGAGGCTTAAGAAATCTAATTAACGAATCCCTTGCTTTAGGTTTGCTTTGGTCAACAATTGGAGGCTCTTCATCTGAAGGAATGAATAAGCTTCTCTCACTTGTATTAGTGATGCTTGAGATACCCGAATGAGAAGAAGAGAGAGGAAGGATAGGAGAAGAAGGAGAGGAGAGAGAATGAGGAGAGAGTTGCTGATTGAGAGAGGGCTGTACGCATACGTGGGTGGTGGTGGTTAAGCTTTTATGAAAGGATTCTGGAGCCTTTTCTGTCAATAGTGACCACGGCTTAAAAGGAGGAGGAGAGGGAGGGTGTAAAAATGAGGACCAACGAGACTGACCTTTGACCTATTAAAAATGAAAGTTCAAGTCAATCAGTGATTGCAGTATATGAGGCTATTGCTTAAGAATGAAACTACAAATAAAATTAAAAATGATATAAGTTGAGTTGCAAAATGATATAAATTGAGTTACAAAAATGGATGTGACACAAATTATTTCCAGGGTAAACAAGACCTATTATAGCCATGTCTATAAAATCATTAGGATGTACACTCATTGTAAGTACTAATATAGTATTATGAACAAGCCACACAATTATGTTTCCTAACAACGACCAGATGCTGACAAGAACTCTCTACAATATTAAATTCCTTCCCATCAAAACAACTACAACCACACAAACCATTAACAATGGGTTTTAATTAGCCACACCATACAAATGCCTGGACAGCTGCTTCTCACACTACAAATTCATTTAATTTACAAATTGTACTTTATGATTTAGGTATATTATTGACACACATGTACACGTACATGTATACTATTGGTACTGTATAATATAAAAGAATACATTTAAAAACATGATAGAATCTCTAACAATGAGTATATGTATTTGTACACATACACAATGAGGTAATTGAGTCATATCAATCATGATTACCAACACTGACATATTGGAACAATTGAGGTCATGATGATGTACACTGAACCTGTAAACAAACTAATTTACCATTTTCTTGCCTGGAGAAGTATTAGGAATCCAAAAATTACATTTAGGAGGCTCAAGAATATGTTCCTTGTACACTTTAGAATTATCTATTACTAGTTTTCCTTGCTGTGACTCAAGGACATCTTCACCTGTATAACATACACAAACACACAATGACACAATACACTAATCCCTGTATAGACTAAAGGCAAAACAAAAGCAATCTAAATGAGTTTCTAAAATACGAATTTCCTGCTTTTAAAGTATAAACTAAAAGCTCGTTAGTTCACAGTGGAAATACCCACTAGTGCATATGCATGCACATATGCTCATCTTGATTCATGCACCCAGGCTTTTAGAAAACAATTATTAGAAAGTGTATACAGGTACCGTTTATCAGTCCACACAAACACAATGGGTTCAAGATAAACAAGCACTTTCTCTTGGCCTCATGCATTCAGCAAAGGGAGGGTGTTTCCCCATATCACTCCTCCTGGTAAGGGTCAAATGTCACTGTTTACTTTAAAGGACTGCCAACAATTGGGAAAACAAATACTCTCAGTAGTATGGGCCATTCCAATCATTACCAGGAATTCTTATTTATCATCATTTATTACTGTTACTCCTTCAACACTATTCATGTATGCACACTTATAGCAATGTAGTGGACTTACTGTAGGTATTATAATCATAAGTTCATTTTATATTTCACCTTTACTAATCCCATTTGTTGGTTTGGTCCTCTTATTATTACTATCATTAGTAATTATTAATTCCATTATGTCCCTAATTGACCTTTTTTTATTGACGGACTCATTGCCCTCTGGATATAACTCATGACTGTCACAGACCTACAAATAATAATAATAATGATAATAATAATAATAATGATAATAATAATGATAATAATAATAATGATAATAATAATAATAATGATAATAATAATGATAATAATAATAATGATAATACATGCAATAATAAATTAAATGAAATCGATATCAAAATACGATCATTTCATTTAAATTTCCCTTGTGCTACTAATTAGCAATAGGCTACAAGCCACCAGCCCTAAAGTATTGCAAATGTTGATAATAGCAATGCTATTATCATTCCTATCTTTCAGTTTCAACATATGCACACTCAATCTACAGTTCACTCCCTCCACTTTACAAATAAGGAAGTGCAAGAGGTTTATCTTTATATACATTGCTCCCCCTAGTCCATGAACTATCATTCAGTGATGCTTGTACTCTGCCTGGTGGTGATTTGGGTGCTTTTAAGTTCATAGTTTCCTCAATGATAATCAAATATTGCTGACTCTCTAGTTCAGTCCCTTCTGTTATAATAACCTAAGATTAATTATAGTGAGTGTTTGATAAGTATCACGTATCTATCTACCACTCACTCATACTCTCTCTCTCTCTCTTTGGTCTGGTCTAATTTCCTATTAAATTTCCTCTGATTGCTTCCTCCCTTTCCTTTCCCTTTTCTCTTTATCTCTCTCTATCTCCCACTCTCTCTCTCTCTCTCCCTTTTCTGCTATAATCATGTACTTTCTTTGAGATATAGGTACAGTCGATCTCTCGCTCTTCAAAATCAAATAAATAAATCTGCAGAAAGACAGTGCACAAATGTAATCACGGGCCATAGTGACAATGTAATTATGACAAAATTATGGTTGTAATGATTAATTCAATTTATCAAAAATCATTTATTACATGCATACATGTACATGTACATGAAAATTGTGCAATACCGGCATATGATTTCAATGTCAGGAAAAGACCAAATGCCGGATATTTTACAATAAACTAAACTTCAGTCACATTGACTATACCTTTATTAATTCAATTTAGATCAATGAAGTGAATGACATAAGTACCAATTTTGGCAAAGTACAACTAGATATTTGTAATCAACATTGCACAATCACTCATGACAGCTACAATTGTAATCTAATTTAGGGTAGTGTCATTTTAGTTTCAACAATAATTGGTTACTTCCTTTAATTAATTTAGTCAGTTTTCTAATAGTAATTTAAAAAATGGGTTACTTTCTAATAGTTTCTAAAGTCTATGATTTTACTGATGCTCATATCTAAAAAAAATTGGGTTGAAATCTGCTCAAACTTTAGGATGTATGTCACTGGGTGGAGCCTCTTGTATTATAGTGAGAAAGCTTCTTCCTCCGCCTACTTAGGGAAGTTCTACACATAAAAACTCTCAGTACACATTATGATCATTAATAGGTGTAAACACCATAATACCTTGTGCATGTTTAGGCCATGTGCGAGCTTTAAAAATCCATCCTTTGAAAACGAGGTGAAGCTCATTAATACTTTTATAATCATTACCTGCCAAACTTTATGTTTTCTATTCTTGTGCTTAGTATAAAATACCTATAATATACATGCATCAAAGACATGATAGCCAAATTATTCATTGTGTACTTTGAAATTAGTTGCAGCCGCCATATCAGTTTACTGAGTTTAGTAACTTAGTTTTTGTGCGTGGGCGTTGAGCTCCAGCTCCACCCAACAACTTAAAGCGTCTTTGCAGGCAACGCTTTATGTCTGCCTCTTTCCGTCTCAACAGCAGGCCTCCTCCTCCACCACTAGGGACTAGATATAGCCTGAGCAGTTACTGGAGTAGTGAATATGAGAAGGAAAAAGTCTGCGGAGACAGGATACTCTCTGTGTGGATGAAAGCACATAACTTTAGGACCTACTCAAGACAAATGCAAAGAGGACCGGTGAAAACTGAGGGCGGGGCTGACAGCATATTGACATTGAGATCAGTGGGAAGGAATCTAAGACTATTAAAGAACAGCAACAGTGAAGATGACTACAGAGACAGCATGACAAGATCATCATTGAAGCCCAGAGACCATTTTGATAACAATCACATCACTGCTACTGGCATGAAATTTCCTAAACTAGACCGAGCTAAAACTGCAACGCCAGCAGCAACACAAAGACTTAGTTCAAGGTTGTCAGGAAGATACAGACATTTCTCATGGCCTCACGACGATATCATTGGAGGTGATGTGACTCCGCCTCCAAGCCCTCCACCTTTGGACTCACTAATGACACTGACTAGATTAAAATTTCAAAAATAAATAATAATTATTTTTTATAATACAAAAAAGGGTAAATATCAGATGCAAAATGCATTGACATTGAAAAATGGGTAACGAATTCACCAAAGAAAGCACTGATACTGTCCAGGGGCTGATTTGCGACATTTCTGTGGTTTACTGCATCTATCAGAGACAGCACATAGGTCAATATCTACAGTAAACAGCAAGTAAATAAAGCACACTTTTATAGTAAGCATTTACCCAATACAAAGAGGCTCTCGTTCTTTACTATTGTCCATTTATTTGAGGGCTCAATCTCCATCTTGAGTACACCAGTGCTGCTGAACCCAATGCAATGATATGTTTTAAGACAAGCTCCCTTTAAGACATTAATGTCTCCATTGAAATCAGTCACAACAATATCATTGTAAGGATTGACTGCAGACATTAAGTTCTGAGAGTATATTATAAAGAAGAGTGAAAATACAATAATTGTGAAGTTGGATACCAGTGTTACCTTATATTCAATAAAAGAAGCATTTCTTGTCACATCTTGACGTCCTTCAATAATATCTATTAGTCGATAATATTCCTCAATTGGTGTTAACAAACCTTCTCTAATCCTACAATATTTTTTTAAAAATTAATAATTATCCATATTATTAAGCTTACATTGGTACGCAAAACTTGTTGTGCATCTTCCAACCTAATGAACACTCACACTTAAACTGTGCAGGCCCTATCAGGATAAATGAATCTATGATATACTTTATTCTATTAAGCAACTCCCTACTTACCCAAGTAATGACAAATAGCATTCTCATTGCAATTATGGAGACCGGCAGCGCACACATCAATATCAGCTACATACAGTCCAGTACTTGAGGTATTTATTTTCTTCCATTGTGAGTCTGGTTGTATGATTGTTTTAAAGTGACCTTCTGCTGTAAAGGCCACACATTCATACACAGAGCTACAAATATTCTTCATTTGCTGCAATTGAGTAAACTATATGAACTATAGTGTGATATACTTTAAGAGAAAGGCCTGGTATTATTCTATTAGTATCGCCTGAGTCAAAACCTTTTTAATTTTTAAAAGTAATACTTCTAGTCAAAGACTTACCTTTAAAAAATATGAATTTCTTTTTCAGAGGAATCTTGGCAACTTCAATGTTATGCTTTTCTGCATCCAGCTCATATCTGTTAAAAATCAAATCAATTAAAAATATTAATCATTACTTTTTCCTGATCAGTTTATGCCTTTTCCTAAATTTTGATCCCAATTTATTCAAGTGCCTGTTCTTTACATTAAAAGCATACGCAGCATCAGGAACAAATCTGCATTGCAAGTATTTCAATAATATTTAGTATGATATTTTAAGCACCTGATACTGTTTGGGTCTTCATATTTCAGTTCTTTGATATAAGCCTCATACCATTTCAAAAAATCTTTTAATCCTAAATAATAAAAAAATAAAACTAATTGTCATTATTTACAATTGCCCAGTAGTGCATGATTTATGGTACTCTACTGGCCTTCTTCAATTGACGACTGGTCATAATCTTCTTGTGGCTGTTGCATCAGTCCACAAATAACTTCAGAAAAAGTAATATTAACCTAGCAAAAATATTGGAAATAAAAAAGTAATTTTTTTCTTACTTTGTTTTGAAAATTACTATGGCCTGTGATATGCCTTTTTAATAGCTTAACAACATTGCTGAGCAGTAGCATATCCCCATTCATTAGAGTAACAGCTTTGTGATGAGACAAAGTGTTTTTATTAAGCATTTGATCCACTAGTTTTGTCAATTTATTGATATGAATAAAACGAATCTTCACCAAAGAGTACCTACAAATTATACTAATAATAAGAGAATATAGTGAATGGTATGAGAGTAAGTACACCAAAATGTAAAACAAAGTCTCTATGCCATTTTGTAGCTGCAAATGTAGACCCACACAAAGAGAGCTGACTTACCAATGAGAGAGTTTAATTGTGTTGTTATTATAAAGCTCAGTTGCAATTGAATGTACTATAGAGTCAGGATCACTCCAAGGTCCATACATACTGCCACCAATCCTGATCATTACTCCTTGTACATCAAACTCATTGATATATGACATAACCATATCTTCAGCTGATGACTATGATAGTAAAATACAGCAATGTCTTATACATATACATGTACTTATGTTGCATAGCAAGTTTGAGCTAATTCCGATATAATTTAGATTTTTTATGAATTTTTTAAAGTTGCTTCAAAATCGAGCCAAAGTCCCTGTACTATAGTACAGGGACTTTAGCCAAATTTTGGCAAAAATGAAAAGGAGAGGATTTTTTATTTTTATAATTTTTTCTGATGCATATACATGTACTTATGTTGCATAGCAAGTTTGAGCTAATTCCAATTAAATTTAGAATTATTATGAATATTTAAAGTTGCTCAAAAATTTGGCCAAAGTCCCTGTACTATAGTACAGGGACTTTGGCCAAATTTCACTAAAAATGAAAAGGAGAAAAATTTCCAATTTTATAATTTTTTCTGATACATATACATGTACTTATGTTGTATAGCAAGTTTAAGCTCATTCTGATCAAAATTAATTTGGATTTTCAAAAAAATTTGATTGACATTATCAAGTTACCTTGATTGCAGTAAATGGTGAAAAGCTGTTACTAGTATCATCCAGTACACAGACACTTGAGAAATAAACAAATTTAACTTGCTAATAAAAATAAAATTAAAAAAATATATTCTTTATTTTTTAAAGAAAATACTTACTTTATTCCTTCTCAAGATGTCTAAGAGTCTAACTAAGCATTTTATTTCAGTTGAGATGCATGAGGCATCATACTTGTTATTACAAATATTAGAATTGTCGCTTGAACTGTATACAACACTATTAATTAAATATTGAGAGAATAAATCCTCCAGCAAATATGATTCACAATTAGTAGTATCATCAAGGACCAAAACACCTATAGGTTACGATAATAAGAGTACTATTTTTCTACTCTGTCAGTGTTTGATGCTAGGCTTTTGTATAAAACTCAATGAAAATCAACTAAGTTGTCTCACGTAAAAGTCAAAAATTATTATTTTAATCAGCAAATTTTGGTTCCAAGTGCATCACCTTTTTCATTCATGAGTTTGGCTCTTTGCATCACAATTAGATTCCTGTCAGTAAAACTATCCAAAGAAATCACTCTTGCTGTTTTGACTAGTCTGAGCGAGATGTGATACCCAATGAAACTCCCTCCTCCCATTACTAATACTGAATCTAAAATTAAGAAAAAATAATGAAACTTTCCTGATTAGACGAGAAAGGCCAACCAACCAGCTTTGATGTCTTCCTCTCCTTTGCATGTTATGAAGACATAAATAATGTACAGTAGCTCTATCAACAAAGGAGCTGACATTTGACATTAATTATCCTAGATCTAGATCTACAAATCAAATGCTAGCCTAGTAGACTACAATTAAGAATAAATAAAAATCTAATACATGCAACATTATATAATACTTTTAAAATTACTAAGTATTAGCCTGAAATGACTCAAATGACCTTTCACACATCCTTTTAGGCTTTTACTCAGTTTATTCCGTCCTTTTCTAGTTTATGAATCGTATATTCTAACAACGTGGAACAATGTGGATAGATCTGCAACCCAACAGGCTAGGAAACACTAGATCTGCAGAGGCGTATTTAGGGGGGGGGCTGAGGGGGCTTGAGCACCCCCCTCAGGACTGGGCTCAGAAAAAATTACTGAACTCCTGGACTCTTGCATCACTACCAAGCCTCTTAACAAAGTTATCTAGCCCCCTTATCATGATTTCAGCAGTTTCCAGTGCTTTAAGGAGCAATCAGAAGTACCAGTAACATAGCAGTTTGCTTAAAATGATCTTGGTCCCACCCGTAATTGACGAAAATGCAGGAAAAGGCCGTTTTACCGCCGTAAAAGTGGGTGTGGCCAAAATCGCGGCGCGCTTCGCGCACCCTCAGCACCCCCCTCCCCCAATTCCTAGATACGCCCCTGATCTGTATGAATTCATTTGGAGATTTCTGTACTTTTTCATCATCAATAATCTGTCCCTCATTTCAAGTAAAGCATAGTATGATTAGATTAGATCTATGATTTTGATTATTTATCATCAAGTTATGATAATATCAAGTTATTAAACAGGCTTTGCTATGTAAACATTCAAATCTCTCCCTATGCTATCGTACCGCATCTAGTGAAACTTAAAATTGATAATGTTTACTTTCACAAACAACACAATCAGCGGCAGTTAGTCAACGAAGAGTTTCTTTCACTTTCAAAGCACTAGTTAAGTGTAAACACTTTTTAAACATTAAAAATTCATGATAAAACTAAGAAATTAAAGCTGTAAAAGGTTTCACACGATAAAGCAAAGTTCAGCTAATAATGTTAATTAATTAAGATCCATTTCCAAATGAAGGCAGAGAAGCTCTTTATTGTTTTGATCAGTGATAGTAGCATTGCCTGCATACTTGCCCTAAAGATATTAAATGAAAAAGATTGGCATAATATTTATGATCTTACAGAAGGAATATAATTAGGAAGGTCTTCATCGAGTTTTATGGAGATAGTCCCTTTCTGAAGTGGGCACTGCTTATTGATCTGTGTGATAAGGTCACAAAAATCAAGACTCTCATCAACAATTGGTATAACACCATAATTAAGCTTTAGGGCAACTTCACCAGATGTGACTTCTTCCTCTGCAGTAAAAGATTGTATGAAGCAAGGGCTCATTACATCCCTGTGATTCCTTACTTAAATTAAGCTCAACATCAATGTTGACTTTCTGCCCCTTTTGTGGTGGATCTGGAGTTATCTTGATGCTTGTTACTTCCATTCTTGTCTTATCATCTGGTGTGCCTATTTTGTTTATAAACAGAAATAGTTACACATTTATTATTCCATGTAACTTACTGCAGTCTTTCCATAAGTTATCACAAGTAGCAGTTGAAGCCAAGACAAGAAAGAGTGCAGGAATTATGATGACTTTCATATTTCTCAGAGCTACTCTAGTAATTGCTTCAAAAGATACGTACAGGCAGTATTGAGCCTCACACAAGAACTAGTCTGAGATTATAGGTAAACCACCTTTTGTTTATGTTATAAACTAGTGACGGGTGGGAGTGTTTTGCTTTCAGAATCACAATCGTTTCAACATTGATATACAATAACATGCAATGATTAGTAAATGATGTACACATGTGACATAATGCTATTGTTTTTAAATGCCACTGCTCATTTTAATATTTTTTTTCCTATAATTTATTCTAGCTATACGTGCCATCCAGCCTGCAAGATTACATTACCCCTGCTGCTGGGCTTGTCTACACTTTGCCATCATTGTTTAAGCAGCTTTCATATTTGCCAATAGGGACCATTTATTTTCAGTTTCAAAACTGATTCATCTATTCACTTATAATGATAATAATAACTAATGCTAATAGGAAAACAGTAACGACAAAAAATGATTCAAATTCATAAGTTCTTTATTGGATATTGAACTGACCATTCACACAAAACATTTGTTTATTATTTTGATCAGTGGCATTTATATTAGCTTTGTACAATCCCTAGGAGTGATAAATAATTCTGGTAAATTAGCAAATTAATAAGTGCATGCAATCTTACAGAAGGTATGAAGTTGGGGATGGATTTTGTAACTTTTACTGGTATAGTTCCTTTTTCAAGTGGGCACTTTGTATTGAATTGTGTGATGAGGTTGCACAAGTCCAGATCCTCATCAATAATTGGCATGACACTGTAAATGAGCTTTACAGAAACTTCACCAGATGTAATCTCTTCCTCTAATAAATACATAAAATATTAATAATAGTGACAAATGCGTGCATGCACTTATGATAAGCTCAAAATTAACTGTAATATATTGCCCCTTTTTTGGTAAAATTGGTGCAACTGATATCGATGTCAGCTCCACTCTTGTCTTATCATCACTTGAGCCTTATGTTTAGAATAACAATGATATATTTACAATATATAATATTTCACTTACTGCAGTCTGTCCAAAGATTGTTGCTTTCAGTAAAAGCCAAATTAAAAACAAGAAGAAGAGCAGTTGTTATGATGGTTTTCATGTTTCCCTGGCAAGTAAATAAGAGTAGAGCTATACGCTGCTCCCTTTAAGTGATAAGTTGAATGTTTAACTTTCAAGTGATTGCTATCATTTTGTTTGTCATAAATATTTAATAGTTTAATTGGTATTCAATTTAAATGATGACCTTATATAATTATGTGGTTCTTTAATGTGAACTGGCGACAGCAATACCAATAGTAAAGTGATATAGGTTATGTAGCTACAATTGCAATGTTACTGAGTGAGTAATGTTACCCTGTGGCAATTGTTGTTGGTCACAAGCAGGATTAACCCAGTGCTTTTACTGCTATACTTTGTTATAGTATGCCAGATAATGACTCGAAACGACCACTAACTTTGGTTAAAATTTAATAATAAATAACATTCAGTAATGATAGCAATGTTTATCATGTCCTTATAATACAAATATACACGGAAAAAAATAACAATAATACAGTAATATTATGCAGTAGTAATAACGTCATGTTCTCTTGCCAAATATGGTACTACCTATTCTTAGATTGGTGCTGCCTTCATGAATTGCATGTTCATAATCTGCGGACATACCCATACTCAGCTCCACCTCTTTCAAATCAAATCGTCCAATCAAAACATCACGTAATCTCTTCATCAATTCAAAGTCAGGATTTGGTCCCATTTGGTAATTGTGATCAGGCCGTCCAATAGTCATCAGGCCAATAGGATTCAAGCTGGAGCAGTTACTGAGCATGTGCTCAAACAAAGAAGGGACGTCCTCAGGTTGGCAACCATGCTTACTCTCTTCCCCGCTCGTATTAACTTGAACGAGAACCCTTAGCTTCTTGTCGGGATTAATTCTTTGTAAGGCTCCATCAACAGAGGATGCAAGACGAGGCGTATCAATAGTTTCAATCATCCACAGTTTGGGTACATTACTGAGGAGTTGGTTCGTTTTGTTTCTTTGCAAGTGACCGACAAAATGCCATCGTATGTCCAGATCACTGAGGAGAGGATGGTTTGCTTTCTCTATCAACTCTTGGGCATAGTTTTCACCAAAATGGAGTAGGCCTCCTTCCATATGTGCAACCCTTATCATTTCTGGTGGTTTGGTCTTGCTCACTGCAACTAATCTAGGAACAGGTCGACCAGCTTCTAAGCTCAGGCTAGCCATCTTGTCTAAAACCAGTTTTATGCGCGAAATCATTTCGGATGATTCTGAGTGGCTCAGTTCAAGCCCTTCTCCAGAGGCAGCCATTTTTTCATTGTATATGGGCGTGACTGAATTTTAGCCACGCCCACCAACACAATGACCTCTATTCATTCTTTTAAGTCCACTTCTTCTGACGTTATAAACCTACAAAAAGGAGCTCCTGGGGATTTTATGCTTGAGAAAAGTGTGAAATTGTTACAAGGGGCAGCACAGACTTCATTAGTGAGTGGAGCCATTCTTATTGACTTGCAAACTGAAACTATAATAATAATAATAATAATAATAATAATAATAATTGTATTAATAATACAATCAATTTTGCATAAACCTTCATAATTGCCCAAACTCTAGAAATATGCAAACTTTCATTTTCAATTTTTTTGCACAGGACGTACCAGATGCAGTTCAACTGATGACATATGGTCCTGATTTAGGGCATGATGATTATCGAGAAACCTTAGCTGAATTTCTTAAGCGTCATTACAAAACACCAGTAGACAAGTGAGGGGCAATTTTCAATTATATTTTCTGATGCATATTGATGTCCTTATGCTATGTAGAAAGTTTGAGCTGATTCCAACAAATAATTTTTGAATTATGAGCATTTTTTTAAATGGGCCAATTTTTGAAAAATACCCAAGGCTATAGCCCATGGTTTTTTCCAAAAAATGGCTCCGAAATCACCACCAATTTTTATTACATTTTTAGATACATATTGATGTACTTATGCTGTGTAGAAAGTTTGGGATGATTTCGTCAAATAATTTTCGAGTTATGGCCATTTTTTAAAATGGGCCAATTTTTGAAAAATACTCAAGGCTATTATAGCCCATGGTTTTTTTTCAAAAAATGGCTCCGAAATCACCCCTAATTTTTATTACATTTTCTGATACACATTGATGTCCTTATGCTATGTAGAAAGTTTGAGCTGTTTCTGGCAAATAATTTTTGAGTTATGACCGTTTTTAATTTTTGAAAAAGCAAAGGTTTTGAACAGACCCTGAAAACTATTCTTGATTGTTATAATCAATTACGTATGAAGAACTTTCATTTTTCTCACAGATCAGATCTTGTGGAGACATCAGGTGCCACCAGTGGCCTCCACCTTATTTCTAGTGTCTTTTTTGGTCCAGGAGATTTAGTATTTATGGAGGAATTCTCTTATTTCATTGCCATTGATATATTAAGAAATGGACTTAGACGCAACTGCCAACCAGGTTAGGGTGACAATAGATATATATATAATACATGTACATGGAGCTTGTTTGTTTTTGTATGCATTAGTTTGTATTATGATCAAATAAAACCTACATGGTTGGTATCTTTATCTTAATGAGTCTACAAAATCATGCAACCCTCAGGCAGAAAAATCATGCAAAGCCAGAGAAATATACATGTAGCTTGTTTGTTTTTTAGATGCTTAGGTTTGACACTGTTGTTGTAAGATGTTATCTTATCTTGTTTTCAGTTTCTATGGATAGAGACGGGATTGACCCAGATGCTCTAGAGGCCGCCATTCAGTCTCACTCTGTCGCCAGGCAACAGTGGAGCCCCACCCCTTTGAGACCCTACTGGGCAATGCTTTATTTAGTACCACAGTTTCAGAATCCAACTGGAGTTTGCCTGTTACCAGGTTGTACATATTGTATAAGGAGGAATGTTAGTTTGAAATATTTATTTTTAATTCTCAGAAAGGTGTTGGAAGATAATTAAAATAGCACGCAAGTACAACTTGTTAGTTGTCTGTGATGACGTTTACAATTTGCTTTATTTTCCTAATGATTTCACTACTGAGCCACCACCACAAAGACTGTTTGCTTACGATGACAAAAAGTATGAAACAACTTGATAGTTCGTTTAATCCCTTCATCTCCCCTTTTATCTCTCTCTCAGTGATTCTGATTACGATGGTGGTCATGTTGTTTCTAATGGAAGTTTCTCAAAGTTATTTGCTCCTGGGATAAGATTAGGCTGGCTTGAAGCTCCTCAAAGACTGATCCAGTCATTACTGAAATCGTAAATAAACAGAAATCAAATTAGTAATGATTATTGTTATGCCATCCTGTAGATGCTTGCTTCTCTCTGGTGGGGCCCTCAATCATGCAATGTCAGGTATCATAACCGAATTAATGAAGAACAGAGAAGTTGATAAACTGATTGAGGACTCTAAAACAAACAATCAAGTTAGGAAGGGAAGCACTGATGTGTCTTTAGTTACTATCATTGCAGGAATGCTGTAAGGCAATGCTTGAGGTATTTTGTTCACGTGTACCATCAGTAATAACACAAGAACCCAAGGTGAGCACACTAGTAATAGTCTTTTCTTTATGTTCATCCAGGGTGGATATTTTTTATGGGTAAAACTACCTGATGAGCTCTCTCTTAGTTGTTCCGGTAAGTTTATAACTTACAAAGCATGTGATACCGTGTTTTCCTTGTACAGAATTTGTCGAAAGATGTAAAAATGACAAGAAAATACTCATTTTTCCTGGTGATGCTTATAGGTAGATAATGTCCCCATATTATTATGAATGTACATTGTGTATATAGTGTTTGTCCTACTGGTAAGGAGAGGTTCATTAGGCTGGCATTCTGTCGATGCAAGAAAGACGTTCTTGTCAAGGCAGCCCATCTAATCTGTGATTTGATACTTGAGCTAAAACAATGAAAATTTCTATCCATGATTTAAAAAATTTTTACAGATAAATTTTGTGTTGTATGAAGTACGAACTCTCTCTCGCTCTCTTGTAGAATAAAAAAATTATTAAGGCAAACAATCATAAAATCTTTCAAATGATAATAAAAATGAATATTAGTTGGCATACAAAAATAGTACAAAATTAGTATTAATTATAATTACAATTATATGTATTAATGTTAGGTTACTGCTATTTGTTAGTTAGATAATAAGACAATAATAATAATAATAATAATAATAATAATAATAATAATAATAATAATAATAATAATAATAATAATAATAATAATAATAATAATAGTTTATTTACAATAATAATGACACATACATGTAGAGCTAGGAGTATATTAATCAAACTCAATGGGTATTGTCACAATCTCATTCAAACATTTAATTTGAACCTCGCACGAGAAAGGCTTTTTACTTTCGTTGAATAAGTTCTTTACTTCAAAATCAAACGCCTTCACTTTCTTCTTGAACATGTCCTAAAGTAAAAGAGATCAAAATGTAAATATTATGTTGTTTTTACCTTTTGCGTGCTCTTGATGACTTTGAAACCAAACTCAAGATCCTCCAATGATGTTTCAACAGTCATTACATCACTGGTTGGAGTTGTGACCGAGTTGGGCCCTTGCTCAACTTCACTTTCAACCTGATAATAGCCTTCCAACTCTTTTAATGCCAGCAAGTCCTGTATGTAGAAAATTAATCAACTTCTGCTTTGACATATTAAAAAATTAGCTTTTAATTTGTTATATTGCACACTTACATTAATCAGTCCTTGACAATGCTCTTCCACAAGGCAAACTTGGATACCAATAAGGTCTTTCCCCTTACCGCTTGGTTTCCAAACATTCCTCGTATAGAATACAAGAGGTATGCAAGTTCTTTCTGCCGAACGTGGCAATGGTGGCACATCTGAAGACCAGCTCTCACTACCTGCAAAAAAGAGAGAGTATAATTCACTATAGTAAGTATTATGATACACTAGATTGTAGTAACTAAATGGGTATTTTGCATTAAATACGGTACATAGAAGTAACAATATGGCAATAATGTGGGTTTTGTTTATGGCTTGTTGGCACTAAATGAGTTCTCAGCATCATAGACACTATTGTTATTAGTACTTATACATGTACTGATTGATGTACACACAATATACCTCTAGTCTCAGTATTTTTCTTGTTGTAGCTTGGACTGCTTGTGTAGCCAGTGTCACTGGACTCTGTGCTTCGCCTGCTAACTTCATCTTCTTCTTCCTCTTCTTCAGTTTCTTTGTCTTTTTTAAGTCTCACTGTTATTTCATCAGGCTCTAATGAAATCCCTTTCACCTAATCAATGCAAATTATAACGTAAGCTGCTTCATTTCTGGGAAATGTCCCTACTTTGTCATTCTTTTGTTCTTCGTCATTGAACATTAATGGTGGGGCAACAACAATAGCATCAAGGGAATTGACACTGGAGACATCAAAACTGTGTTCATTTGAAAACCTAACACAATACATAATTAATGTATAATAATAATAAATGGTAATGTATGTACCTGTTTGGTAGGACAATATCATCTTCATCGTCACCAAATTGACACAAAGTGTCGGGTGGTAAGGGAGAAGGACAGAGTGCACCATCACTGATTGAATTACGAAGAGACCCACTCTTTCTCTGCTCCTTTAGCTGCAGTGGTGGTGGAGGGAGTAGCTCATTCATTGGACAGTTTGAAACCTTAACCCCAACAACAGTGACTTTTGAATAACTGCAAGCCGGTTGATAAGAGGTTGGGGAAAAGAATGACTCCTCATTATTGTTATCTATAGTAGAGGCTCCGGCAATTTTGTGTCGTCCAGTTCCAGTGTTGATTCTCTTCCTGGGTCCTTTAGACCTCCCAATCTCGCTTAAATTAGGACTGGATTTAGCCAACTTTTTCTTCTTGTACAGAGAGGGTTCGGTCGTCTCTTCTATCCCTCTCTCTGTGCTTTGTTCCCTGTCAGTCTCATCACTGCTGTACTCCTCCTCTTCCTCCTCCTCCTCCTCCCCTTCTTCATATACCTCACTGAATATTGCCTTCTCTTTTTTAAGCGTTATCTGTCGATAGCGAAAAGAGCGACGCATGCCATGAAGACTTCCTCCTCCGCTTTCTCCTTTATCGACGTGTCTCTGGAAAGACGAGTCTTCAACTTTTTGTGATTGATGACTAATCATAGCACTAAATGGGTTGGTGGAATCAACCTTCTCTGCTTGAGTTTTCGAGGATGCTATTTTTGGCGGAGGGATCTTCCCCGTGACTACATGTTTTGGTGAATGTTGCTGTATCTTGCTGTACGGATGATGCCCACTCACCCCGGATGGTAAAGGCTTCTTAACTCCAACAGAAGTTTTTTCTGGGGTTCTATTTGGCGACAAACTGGGCGGAGTCTCAGTAGGTGATAAAGGTGGGCGTGGTGAGACGTTAACGTAATAGTGTCCTCTTTTGTGAGGTGGACTGACGCTTTTCTGGTGTGGTCTGTGCTGAGGAGAGTTACTGCCAGGAGGAGTGTGAGTATTATGAAAAGTGCTGGAGTGATGACGGGGAGATGATGATGACGAAGTGTATCTGCTATCAATGGTCGAAGTATGCGATGGCGAGTGCTCATTATCAGACGTAACATCATGACCTGTCATAATAATAATAAGAAATTGCTAACATGAACCATTGCCAAATAAATAATAATAATCAAATATACAGCATAAATATAATTTAAAATATTGAACTATGATCTCAGTGTAGCAGTAACATAGATACTTCCATATACTACTTACTAATATTCGATACGGAGCCCATTTGACTGATGGTCATGTTGGATGAATACATCTTTGACATTGACGTGCTAGTGCACAAGCTACCCAAAGTACGCATTGGGCTCTTTCTTAGACCAATATCAAGTATCCTGATCCTGTCACCTGTAATGACAGTAACAATGAATAATGTGATTGACAGATATAGATCATCAATTCTTGAGATCATTGATTGATATTCAACAATAGAGCAAGATAAAAGGTGTTTGGTATCTCTTAAGTGCTTAAGAGAACAAATAATGGGTGACACTCAAACTAATGAATACTAAATGGCACCAGGTGATGGATGTACATATGCACTTAATACAATTAATGGGAACAAGTGATTAGTCTAATTCATGTAATGTAATAGGCTATGCATTAAAATGCATTAAAAGGAAGACAATATCAAATAAGACACTATCCAAGGATGAGGTGTATCTGAGGGTTGTTTGTCCTGGTAGATGAATCATGTCTACCTACACACATTCCTCTGTATGTCACGCCTTTACTGGCTACTAATGCCAACACTATAATGCCAACACAATGCTAATCTTATAGCTAGCAATGTACATAAGACAAAGAATACTAGATGCTGTATAAAGGTAGTTCTCTTAAAGGAGAAATGAGAAGGCAATGATTAATATAAGTAGGCATGTTTGGTTGACAGGACTCCAACAGTTGCTGTTGGGAGTGTATGGATTGTAAACAGGTTCAATGACTAAACAAAAGACAAACAAAGAGGTAGTCAAATGGTTTGTCTTTGAAATATCAAACATGAGTTGGAAATTATAAATAAACCAGCGTACAATAGACAAGACATATATGCACAGTAAACACAGCTGCATTAGAATAGCAGAGAACCAATTAGCAGTTGAAAATATACATGCATAACAAACAAGGACCAAGGTACTTGTTTTAGTAGCCATAGAGGGACAGACAGCATCAGTATGACATGGCGTAATGTGCTTGAGTCATATCCTTTCTTACTATTGAATATTTAGAAATGTTGTTTATAGTAATGGCTTAGGATTAACTTTCCCTTTATACAACAAGCACAACACAGCAGTATACTATCCAAAAAATGCAGTCAACAAAAGTACCTGGCACTGCCAAAACTGAACACAAGCCCACAGACACTGCCAGCTGTCATTTACTAAATACAGCTCTTGCCACCGCTGTACTTAACAATAAATCATATGACTGTGTCTCATCAGCAATGACAGCATGATGTGTGTGGTTGTGAGTTGGCGTAGCATTGTGCGTGTGTTTTTGGTAACTAAAGTATAGTAATATACCATAACAGGCACTCTAATGCATAACAGAGAGGAGATATAGCGAGATGGAATGACCCACCAAATAGTTTAAAAGACACAACAAAGGATGAAGAGTGGGACCCACCTTTCATAAGACACATACTAGAGTACCTAATTATGAATCCACTAATACAATATCAGAAATACCAAGGATTTTGTTATCAAATATATCAGAACTAGTAAACAACAAGATGACATAACACAAGAAAGGAAAGCACTTATATACATTGCAACTTGCAGCTTCTCTTTGGTTACATTTTGACTTCTAACAAAAGTTTCTTTGTGTGTAGCTTAGTCATTGATTGCATGAGATGTTGATCTTATTCTTTTATGTATACAATTTACAGTTTCTGTATATTCGTAGCCTCAGTTTATTTTTGCTTGATTAGATAGTCCATCAGTGTCAACATTATAATGTAAAGCATAATAATAAACGAACACGTACATGCAAAAGCTCACTGTCATAATGATGTCTCCTATAGGTTTCTGTATACAAACTTTCATATGCCACCAAAGGGATATTTATTAGAAGGGAGAGAGGAAATGAATTAAATAACACAATTTGGCTTAAGCACACAGTGAGAGAGAAGAGAGAGAGATAAAGAAATAGATGGATATAAGGATGAGAGAGATGGCAGGATGCTCTATGAATAGTAAAGGTGATGTGTTAATAATAAGCAAGACCCGTTCCCACAAGACAATCGCCAAGACATTATACACCAGTATCAATGCCAAGGTGCCCTTTATAGCAAAGACACAATTCAAATACTGCATATACTAAACAGGTAAATTTATATGTATAGGTATAGGCTAGCAAATTGGCGTATCAGTCTAACCCACTCACTCCATGCAAGCTCAAACTACATTAAAGCACTACCACCAATGGCATATACTAAACAGGTAAAATCATATGTATAGGTATAGGCTAGCAAATTGGCATATCAATCTAACCCACTCACTCCATGCAAGCTCAAACTACATTAAAGCACTACCACCAATGGTAATAGGAGTGTGTGTTATAACACAGTGTCATTCCCTACAAAGTATATTGGTACAAGTGTCAGTGCCATTAGGAGAAAGACGGCCCTTTTGGTCACACAATCAAACTAACCTTCAATGGCATTCTTTACTTTCTCAATGTTATCCACCCACTGGAGCATAAGGGCATCACTAGGGGCTGCAAAGAAGAAAGCTCTCTTGAAAGTCCCAAGACTGAATATGTGCTGGAGCTCCTTGTACTCCAGTCCCACCTCAAGGTTAATGCACTCGCGTATGTCAATGACTTTTCGTGGAGATTTTGATGATTCCAGAGCTTTTTTTGACTTGAAGCATTCAAGAGTCTTGCAAGCACGTAGAACAATGTACCTGTCCTTCCATTTCTTAACAATAAATTATAAATGATGAGTATTGTAATGATGCTATAGTGGTGACTCACTTTTCTTCCTCTTTTGTTGAGTTGTGGAGCTTTCTTTAGAGTCCCCTGAAGGATTATGACTCTAGAGTGTTGTGATATCTCAACAGCATAGTCTGACATTATGAAGAAGCACCAGGTTATAATGTGTTATCTATCCATACAAACTTCATTGACTGCACTGTCATTGGTAGACTTACCACTTGTTACTGTGTTCTTCTTCCTCTCCTCTAGCTGGCACTGTCACTCACTGGCACAAAATTGAATTTATTAACAAACAGTGATAGAGTGAATAAAGGTTTATTTATAGTAGTGATGACTCAGGAAGCCTTACAAAGGTTAGCAACCAGTCTAAACAGATTGTACACTAATTGTAAACACACATTCATAGGAAAGGAAGAAAAAAGAGGCAGGGGGGATTTGTTACACCCTCTTAATCTCTCTGGGTTTATGTTTTATGCAGATGCCTTGTGGCCCAGTAATACCAGTCATAAACCCACTAGTCAATGGGTAGCCAGCATACATGGATTCATAAAAGAAACCATGAGCTACAATGTTGGCAGTCACTTGATCGCACACTGAACTGATATCAGCCTTATTCAGTAGCACTATCATGTGGCTAAGTACTGAGAGCATCATTTGACGGGACCCTCCAATAAAACCGTTATCAAAGCATCCATACATGAATAGCGTTTCCTCTAGGAATGGAGACCATTCGTAGCAAACCTCTGTCATCTGTTTCAACCACTTGAGATCACTTACTCTAAAGTAAAAGGGACCATCATTATCAATGAATAGATAGTCTCCAATCATACTCATTGCTCTCATTGGGTCACTCTTGAATACAGTGTCTCTGATATCAGTCATCACTATTTGATATATTTCTGGATGATCCAGTAAGTAATTGAATGTCATATAGAATCTCTGATCATGTGATATTCGCTTATTCAATGACTTGACTTTCACAAATACTGTTCTTCCCTGAGAATACAAAATAAGTCTGTTTTGAAATCCTTGTTCTAGATGATCGTGGAATATTGTTAGGTTGCTTTGTGTATATCTCATTGCAGATAAGTACCAATCTGCTATATAACTCATCTTGTTAGCCTGAGCCTTTGCACCCCATCGATAATGAGAATTAAACATCAAATAATGGCCCACAGTGACATTTTGTGTCTGGAGTGACAGGTATTTTGTATAAGACTCTCTCCAGTCTTCCATTTGTCTCTCCTTAACTTTTAGAGATGATACTGTATCAAAATCTTGTGGACAATCTTCTGCAGGCTTCCATTCCTTCTCTTCACTATTGATATAAAGATATAATTTCTTCGTGAGATCTGAGATATACCAACAGCAAGATGAGAGACTATTGCTAGCAATGAAATCATAAAGAGGATCACTCCATGGTCCACATGTTTCACCTACACTTACTAAGGAAGCACTAGTAATCCCACTATTCCTTGATAATAGTAGTCGCTCAAATGCCCTAATCCATGAACGCTGGACTGGGGACTGTTGTACCCTCTTTATTGATGGTAATACTAGTATTAACTTTGTATGTGGGCATGAAGAGACGTAAAACAATAAATTATGAAAGTGATCTAATTGTGCTGCTAACACCTCCGTGTCATTGAGTCTTCTCTTATCAAACAGTGCTGTTGGGATATAGACTATAGTATGATAACTATTAGTGTTGACTCCAACGGTCTGTGTTGCAATCATTAATTCGGCACTTATGTTTTTTGATAAATCAACAAACAAAGCAGGCACTCCTAATTGATGCAACCTGGTTATCCTGTACCACTTTAGTTTGTTAGGCTCAATATTGAGTGAATCTTCCACTCCTACCACCCTGCCTCTATCCTCTCTTGCTATGTGAGCTATCAGTGAGGAACCAATCCAACTCATTGAACCAATAACAAGAAATTTATGCCTTATATGGTCGAAAGAGCGACTCTTGTCATAGTATTGTTTGCCTCTGTCATGGACCCACCCTGAGTTATCTAATAAAGTAAATGATAGTCTATCATAGAAGAATGTGACCTACTCATACTTTATGTTTTTGGCAGCATGTGCATGCTCAAACATTATTTTAGAGTATTTTTATGTTTGCAGCCAAATATTTAAAGCATAATACATTTATTACCTTTTGAAGTGAAAAGAATGAAATAAGAAACAAAGAGAAAGAACAGAAACGAGAATAAGGTGAGAACACATGCTCTGGCTTTGAACTTCATCGAGGCAGGGCTAGTTATGTTAAATCTAATTGTTATAATAAATAATAACTGTGACAAAAATAACAGAAAAACAACAGAAAAATGAGTGTAACATGCAAAGTGTCATTTAAATGAATGATCCTCAGGGTAGCATAAACTCCATCTCAAGTGTTTCCATGCTTGACTGGGAAACTGTTAATTTTAGAAGCTTGTTTCTTTTCAATATTGCACCATCAACATCAAGAGTAATTCGAGCACTTCCAATTCGCGTGGCTCTCCAAAACATTGCATATGGAATAACCTAATAAAAAAGAGTATTAGTATTAGCTTTATTTTACTGGCAAAGAACAATTGGAATGCAAACCAATCCTAATTTTTGGGCATGCTTCCAATGCATATATAATTAATCATTATTAATGACAAGGCTTTAATTCAATGCCTTATGTATAAGGCAAGCCTTATAAAATTATACTAAAGATAAAGAATGCAATATTAGTAGCTCACCTGTGAGTGCAAGATGGTTCTTTTCTGCTGGAAGGTCTCAGTGATGATGGATACTTCAAGATCAGTCTTGTTGCCATATACAACCATTGGTATATTTCTCTCTAAGCATGAGTACCCCTCACTAGTAAGAGCTCTGTCAAGAGCCTATACAAAAAGCAAAAATTAATAAACAAAAGAAATAAATCCCAATTAAAAATTACAATATTTTTTGATTAAAAACATGTAAAAAATGTAATATGTAAACGTAATAAAATGAAAAATTTTCTCATATCTTTTTAAAATGAAATTTGGTCAAAGTTCCTATACTACAGTACAGGGACTTTTGCCCAATTTTTGAGCAACTTTAAAAATTCATAATAAATTCAAATTTGATCGGAATCAACTCAAACTTGATAAATGACATAAGGACATGTATATGTTTTAGAAAAAATTATAAAAATGAAAAATTCTTTCCCTTTCATTTTTGGCAAAATTTTGAGCAACTTTTAAATGCATAAAAAATTCAAATTTGATTGGAATCAACTCAAACTTGATAAACGACATAAGGACAAATACAAAAATTAAAAATTCTTATCATTTTTGGAAAAATTAGGTCAAAGTTCATTGTCTTTTGAAGGAACTTTAAACAATTTTAATTAAAACTTGCTCAAATTTTATGCAACATAAAAACATTGTACGCTTTAGAAGATCATTAAATTATAAATAGTGTTATACTAATATAACAAACCTCGACTGAGTCTAGTACTGCATTAACAAAAAAGACTTTGACTCTAGTGGGCATATCATCAACTGATGATTCTCTTTGTGTTTCTGTGTATATTGAACAAACCATCTTCTTTACTACTTTATTAGGATTCTGTGCAATAGGACGACCAACAAGCCTATTAATAGATACATGTGATAATGACATCAGTTCTATTTTAAGTAACTTGCCTGAAACAGCCAGGTATCTTCGTTTTTATCCTGGCATAGTTTGGGTGAATCTGATAAGTCGAATTTTTAAAACTCTTCTTGTTAGTTCCTGGTCTTGGAAGAAAATGACCAGAGGCTTGAGTTAATGACACCCACTCATCGGAACGACTGTTGTGACCACGCCCTTGAATCTAAAATGGAATACATAAAAATATGGTATAGCTATCTAAAGTGAGTGAGGTTAGGATGGTAGTGTGTTGATACAGAGCATAAACCACAAACTAAAACATTACTATAAGCATAAGGCAAGTCCTACGCAGTGCACCCACTACTTCATAGTACACTCAATTATTTTGTAATTGGTTATGTATGACACCTCTCCTTTTATGACGGCCAATGCCACCACAATAGGAAAGTACATGTACATGCATGAACTGTTCAGGATTCTCTTGGAACTGAAGTATTGGAGATTCCATATTAAATAACTTTACCTTGACATGCCATGCACTTGTATCAGTAGGCACACAGTGAGGTATGTTAATCTTTAATGGTTTACGAAGTATCGCATCAGGCGGACCAATGAACACTATAGGACTCAGTTGTATCTTACTCTCTTTCTTTTTCATATTATCTGACTGAAATAAAAGAAATGCAATCAAGGAAAGAAATAGGAAGAAGGAAGAGAGAGTGATATAGTATAATAATTACAATAACTTACTTTACTCTCATTGCCTGGGTTTGAAAATGCAGAATATGCATCTTCAGGATCAGTGTCCCTATACACGCTTTGATGGACTTCAAACCTACAAAGTATTAAAAATATAAAACACATACTTTACACTATTAACACAGACAAATTAGAAACCCACAATACCAATAGCTGCTAATTCGTGTACATAAAAGGCTCTCATCCCACCCACTTCTACTATAGTACAGCTAGCAGTTCTAATGCATCATTACCATAGTTTCTGTCTCCTTCCTTTGGGTACAACCCCAGGAGGCACTTCAACAACAACTCCACTTGTCTTACTAGTAATAATACCGCCTGAACTAGTAAAATAACCAACTCCATTAGGTAGCGAGTGCTTCCTGTCTGACGGCATTAGAGGAGCGTTAATGGAACTGCCACGCCTTATAGCAAGCTTCTCTGCAGCTACAGTAATGGATTTACTGACATCAAGTATTTCCATGTATTCTTCATCGGAAGGTGATGAACTGTGGTCATTAGTATCAGGCAGAGAGGAGACACTGTCTGAGCGAAGTATGTCATCAGGAGAGTCTATCAGCATTGCATCACTGAATGAACGGGACAATGCAGCTTTGTTTTGAGCTCTTGGAGAGTCAAAATCATCAGTCGCACTCTATAAAGGAAGATATAGTAGTTTAGATATGAAAAAAGTTTCTATTATCGTAATGTGAAGGCAGTTTGTATGCTAACATAGTTGTACAAAATAAAAGGTATATGCACATTATATACCTCATCAGACCGATTCTCGTCAAAGTACTTGACAACATCTTGTACATCTTTATCAGTAATGACAACATTGTAGTCTTCATCTTCCTCAGTAGAGTTAACGTTATTGAAGCTGGTGGTGTATGACGGGTTATTGTGTAGCGCAACGTTCAGTTCACTCTCAATCAGATCAACAAGTGAATCCTCATCATTTGCTCCGTCATCTTTCAAATGATCTTCCTTATCATCAAGGAGTGATGATATATCTACAAGTATCTGTCCTAGTGAATGAACGAGAGTGTCTTTCTGGGGAGAGTGTGAGGGAGATGAACTTAGCCAATCAGCTCTAGTTTCTTTCCTATCAATGCTCTTCTGCTTCAGTTGCTCTGTTATGATGTCTTTATTGCACAGTATAACTGCTAGTGAGTCACGGTTTATCTTGCGACTGATATCAGCAGCTTTTTTATTCTGTTTACGCCTCACGACGCCTTTTCGCTCAAAACCAGGAGATGAAGAAAAAAGAGGAAGAGGAGGAGAGGAGCCAGAGAGTAGGGAGAGTTTTGGAGTGTCAGTTGGAACTGAAGCTGCTATAGGTATGGGAGATGAAGGCTTGTTTACTAACAGGAAGTTGGGAGATGATGTGGCATGCTGCAATGGAGTGCTTTTACTATCAAGTGAGGTACAGTCAGGCATTACTGCTTCACTTGTCTTACGAGAGGAAACCGACGCTGAAGCTGGAAGAGGAAGTGGCCTACGAGGCTCAGGATTTGATTTGGTGGCAAATGCTTCTTTCTTTAATGCTCGTATCAAGTTCTTTGCACTGTCTGGTTTTGGAGGAGCTTCAAGTATAGGAGACCTGTTGATGATTCTGCCCGCTTTCTTTTCACTTTTTGATTTTACCTTTCCTCCTCCTTTCCCTCCCACTAGTGGAGGACTCTTTGAAGGCTCAAATATTCCCTGCTCTCTCAAAAGACTTTCAGACTTTGGAGGCAAAAGTGGAGGCGGAAAATCCCCACCTGTAAAATGGATGGAGTCCTTACCCACTTTTGATGAAAATATTGGATTTGACCTTGTTATTTTAGGAGCTGCTGGTCCAACGAGAGGACGATTAGGAATGGGAGGAGGAAACTGATGCCTGGAGCTAATGGGCGTGGTCTGTTTTACAGGAGATGGGTGTGGCTTGAAAGGAATATTGCACACGTCAATGTATTTCTCACTTGTAGTGTCGTCTGATAATGATTCGGTAGTAGGGCAGGATATATCATCGAGTGTGATTGGTCGTCTCTCTGGTATCTTGCAATAGAGGCTCTCCTGTTGATCCATGAAATTAATCATTTCTGATGCAAAAATTGAGCCTTGGCTTCTCTTCCAGTCTGACAATCCTTTCCCAGCTCCTCCTCCTCCTCCTTGCTGTGTCACTGGTTTCAGTAAAACGGAGGGATGCCTCATTGTCATGTACTGGTTTTGTTCCTCTCCTCTGCTCATCTCTTCTTCTTCCGTAGGACGTTTCATTGTCAAGTACTTGTTCTGTTCTTTATTCTCCTCCTTCTCTTCTTTTAGGCTACTGCTTGGTCGTACATTAACGGGAGAAGCAGTGACATTGCCTCTCATTGCATTACTTGGTGTTCTTGTTGGTGATCCTGCATTACTATTCAGTGAAGTCTTGCTGTTAGTTTTGTTAGTAGGTATCACTGGTGTATGATACTCGCTTTCTTCTTGAGTGCTGCTTAGTGTTAGCATTAATGGACGAATGGAACTCATTGTGATGTATTCTTCTTCCAAAGGTTTCTCTACATCAGTGACCACACCTTTCCTCAATTCCTTGAGCAGCTTTGGTGTGTTACGCTTTGCAATAGAAGAAGCACTGCTACTAGACTTGCTCACTTTTGCTTTATTCTTGCCTGTAGTGTGTGGGTCCACTGCTTCTCTTGTTTCTGCACTCTCTTTATCCTCTCCTAGGGGAGGAAGGCTGATAATACCCTCTAGTAACTCTAGCTCTGACTGAAGTTTCTTCAAATTATGACAATTCGGGTCCTTTGTGCCTCTATCTCTATTCTTCCTGAGCTCCTCTATCAGTTCATAGACATACTCCTCATCTTCACTCTCTCCTTCTGACGAGTCTGATCTTTCTTCTTTGAGGTATTCATTTGCGCTGGAGGCAGAAGGTGAGGTACTCTTACGAGGTGTTGGCACTGGCCTCCTTGCTCCTTTCTCCGATCCATTAGAGGGTTGGCTGGGTGAGGGTTTAGTTGGTGACGTCCAATCGCCAGCGAACATGTTCTCGTAATGAGAATCGTTTTTCTTGGGCGATACAGTCGTCAGTTGTTCCTATAATAAACACAAGTTAGTGCATAATGCCAAGTATCGTTAGGAACTAAACTAATTAACAAATGAGTTCTATACGTAAGAAAGCAGCTGTAGAATTTATTGAATTTGAGGGAGTTGAGTAAATATTTACTTTCACCTTTTTAGCGACTGTGATATCATATAACATCAAAGTGCTTGCTACAATGCTTTGAACAGTAATGAATGAACATACCATTCTAATATTCCATGGCACCATTGTACCATTCATGGTAGACCTATGACCAGGATTGCCCAGTAGTGAACATGCAATTTGTGCATGAGTCTTTATCACAGTAGTAAATACTGTACATATAAGTGTTTCATTTGTTTATGCTAACATATTCCATTAATGTCAAGTCCCTATACCATGTATAGTCTTAAATATCATTATAATTAGCTTATGTGTCACTTCAAACTCATCTACCACTCTACAGGTGGTTTAATGCACTTCAATGAGTTGTCATAATGCAAACTAACAAACTGTACTTTCATGTCAAATACGGTACTATGTCTATCAGCAATTTAACAATGCTAAATGGAGCATTTAAAATTAAGTTAAAAATGTGTGTCAGTGTGAAAAGGTCTTAAAAAGGAATTTATTATAGTAAAGTATTGAGCTATTTAAGAAGCTAAAGTGACAGAGAAGGTAATGACAAGTATCTATTAGTCTAGTTCAATGCATCCATTGAACTATATTTGTCCTCTATTGTCTAGTCTGCCTGATAATAATAAGATATGTACTAGTACTACCAAATGAATAGGAACAATAAGTACATGATATTGCTACTAAGAAGAGTCCAGCATACATACAAATGCATCTCAACAAATACTACCCAATATCTGTCAAGTTGCCAAATCTAATTTGTATATTGCAAGTAACAAGCTACATTGTATAATGTATAGGATATTCTAGTAAATAGCACTACAGAAAATTTGTAGTACAGTTTTTACTTTGACTGTTTTGCTTGAGAAATTGCTCTTAACACAGCTGTCATCCTGTTTGCATTCTTGATCAGCCTTGCCTTTCTCACCAGGAGTAGCACCCAATCTATCACCCACTACTGGTGTAAGAGAGGACTGGCTACTGGCCGACCAATGTATACCTTTTGGTACAGTCTTTCGATGTAAACCGGTCACTTTCTCCTTTGAAGTCTCTTTACTCCGAGCACTGAATATACGTGCCAGCTCTCTGACTCCCACGCCTCCCTCATCAGAAACACCATCTCCTTTCCCTTTAGTCACAGCACTGAGGTTTGAAGCTAAAGGAAAGACACAATAAGATTGCATTAGGAAATGCTCACAATGCTTGATTGGCTATTAAGCTACATACAAAGACATATCAAGATATAATTTATGCCAACAAAACAAAAACACTACCTTTATTCTTAGCGACGCATGTTGCTTTATCTAGAGGAGCCGAATATTTTCTAACGGGAGAAGATTCTGCCTTTGACTTTGAGTCTTGTATAAACGAAGAAGATAAAGAGTGACCAGAAAAAACCATTGGCTTCTTTCTCTCATTTTCGTTTGGAGATTCCACATTGTCAGGTCTCTCTGTTATATCAACCTGAATAGTGGTAGGCGTGTGGTTGCAGTCATTGGGTGAGTAATTCTGACCACTTGATTGACGAGACTCAATATCAGGTGAAGTGCTCTCTATCCTCAGCTTCATCATCTTAACACTTTTACCAGACACTGGTCCTGAGGAGCTTGTGTCTTCAGGCAATAGTGTTGGTGGGACAGGTGTCTTTAGAGTGACTTCTTTTAAGATATGGGAGCTCCCTTCTCCTACACTTTCTTCTTGTTTTCCTCTCCCTCCTGACATTCTTATACTGGTCGTGTGTGTTGGGTTGATCTTTCCTCTTCCTTTTAGCTTGCTTTGGAGTTCAGCCATTACATTATCACCTGTCAAAGAGAAGGGAAAATATATGTAATTTGATATATTTAGTTTGAATAATAATAAAATAATAATAATAACAAAAATAATTCAGTTGCTTAGTAATAGCAATAGTGACATATTAGCAAATGTACAGTCTCCTTATTATCTTTTTCTATGTTAAACTAACCAGATCCCTCCTCATTCATTTGATTGCTAGTCTCCATTGAGTTTATAGGTAGCTGCAGAGCCACAGCAGTGCTCATAACTACAAATCAAGAGGACAGGCCAGAGTCCAGCAAAGCAATGAAGCAGCTCTTGATTACTATACTACAGCACTCCTACAATAAGCTATATACTGCTGGGTTGGTGGTTAAGGGTGGTACTATATAGGGCAAGGGGAATGCGCATTACAAAAGAGGGAATGGCTTCAATCGATGACATCAAGAGCTTCCTGTTCCTGCTACACTACTACTCGTGTGTAATTAGTCTACTTAAGATAAAGACGGTCATTTGCACTTTTAAGAGTAGTTCTGCCAATTATAATAATTTATCGCTTTTTATCAAGTTTTACAGAACCGATTTTGCACTTGAGAGATGTTTCATATCTCAACAATGGTAAGTATCAGAGGGTAAACATGCATAGCCTGAATGAAAATTCTACCTAGATAATTGACAAACATTACCACTCAGTAAAGATAGCATTTACAAACTGATTTTCTATTTCTAAGTGCAAGATTGAAGTAAACTAGATACAGTGCACAATGCTACTATATAACTAACACATTCCAGCATATACTTTTATAGGCATCACTCATGACACATAATAAAGCATATTGCATAACAAATAATATTAGTATATAAACATATGACACTCCAGTCATGTATTAGTACACACAACCGGTGACATACTAGCAAAGGTATCAAAAGAATTCTAGTGGTGTACTATTGCTCCTTCTAACACCATTTCTGCACTATTTATTAATTATTTGTTGTACTTATAGTTTGGCAGACCTCCAGATTGGAGCTGAGTAAGGCAAGCATAGGAAGAACACATCATAGTACACAGGATAACAAGAGACAAATATAGAAAGACAAATAGTGATGGAAAGAATTTTGTGGTTATTGATTAGCATCTTGAGGAAATTAGCTGTAACAAGGAGATTAATATCAATTATCTTTACAAGGATAAGCCTAAGAGTTCTAAGTTGATAAGATCTCATCTATTAATCATCCAGAGGAGTCACTCATGTATACTTTATGACGGCATAAATAATACCCCTGGATGTTACATCACCCTTTAGTTTACTAATGAGAGAAACATTGGTTTACAATTGGTTGATTTCTATTAGTCAATGACAAAAAAGAAGCAAAGTGTCTGATATCAAACAATACAATACTATTAGTAATATTCATCACCACATGCACATACACTCACATAATAAATCGGGCTCATATATAAGGATAAGTACATACAAGCCCCCATCCATATATGCATAGATATATATACATAAATATATACATGCGTGTACATACGCCCACATGCATAATGCAGACAGACACAATAGTCTATAGTGTTTGATAATAGTGTCCATTCTTGTCTGAACATTGGCAGTGGGCCAGGTATTACAAAGGGAGGGTGTAGGAGGGTTCATAAAATGCAATTGGCCTGATATCATTACGGAAACAATGCAGATTAATCATTGAGCACTGTGCAACAAGTTATCATGATATTGCATCTGGCAATAAATCATTAATATCATAATAAAATTATTACGCAAATTAGACCAAACATGCCATACCTGGAATGGGTGAGCCTCAATTAGACTTTGATAAAAGGAGACTTGCAATGAAAATACACTACAGCTACAAGCACAAGTAAGCAAGAGTACAAGATATGAAGATGCAGATCTAGGTGTGGCTCAAGGTGTGGTAGATATTATAATAACTACAAATAGTTATTACAGCAGGATGTGACGACATAATAATTTTAATATAATACTTTATTATTATATCAAACAAAAAGCACAAAAAATGAAAAATATACTCTGTGATAGATAGTAATAGTCTATGTTACAACTGATTGACATTGCAAAAAATGAACTAAAGACAAAATGAACATGAAATGTATTGTTCAGCATGCACTGATCTTTAATAGTCTTTGGGTGAATCTGGTCTGTACGTTTTAGTGTAGCTATCCTCCACACATGGTGTAATGCAGTTAACAATTAAGGCAACCAGAGAGACCAGAGTTCCAATGAAGCACAAAGACATGATAGCAATGAGGTATGTCCAGTAGTCGCTGAGGTCATCACAGCTTGGAATAATAGTGTCCAGTGAGTTCATAACAATGCGAAAATTATCACTGTAGAGCTCTGAGTCTTCAGAGAATATGCAACGAATAGTATTAGTTGAATTAGCATTACTGCCACTACCGGTCACTGTAGAATCAATCAGGGAGTTAAAGTTTGGTAGATGAACTGCAGTGCCATAAAGACCTAAAATATATGAGATACTATTACATATGCAGGTAGTCTATGATCCATGACAGAGAAAACCAATGGTACATGGTTTTTAGCCAAATATTTCTGAACCCAGACTTGACATACCTGAAATTATTCCAGCTACAATGCAGACTATAATTGTGGTGGCATTGAGGATGACATGAAGGCATATCTATATAAGGAAACACATAATATGCTTGTGTAAACAAACAAAATATTCTACAAAATCAACATGAGCTATTTGGATGCTGCTAGGCATGGTTCATAAAAGTATTTTACGTTATTAAATTAGAAATATTGATGCTTTCCTTCCTTGCTTGCTAAAAGGAATAATAATTCATTATTAGCAAGTGCTAAAGTTCACTGATGAAATTATACAGATTCAATTGTGAAAGTGTGTATGCAGTAATTAAATTACTTATCATGTGCTAGTGGTTAAAGTGATTGGTGCTTACCACAGATGCTAGTCTTGTTGGACGAATAAATAATGCAACAAATCCAGCCAGAAGGATCTACAGTAGGGTGTGTGTGTGTATACAAAAATAATAAACAAGTACAATTACAATGAGACTGGAATTTGATTAGCCCAAATACCATTAGTCATGGGCACAACACCTGCGTATTGATCACCAGGAATATGAGAAGCAAGTCTGTTTTGATACTTGACACTACACGCCAGTGATACACAAACAGGTGTCAATACATGCTTTGATCTTTCAATAGTGAATGTTGAACATGTGTTTATGATAGCAGCTGTATACACCATTTATTTGTTACTTAAAATTTAGTTCATTTAATACATAACAATAAGCTAAGTTCAATGCTGCTGTTTCATATCTACAGTTAGGCTACGCTACGGGTTCTATATTGGCCCAATTCCTCATGTCACAATCTAATAAATCAAATCAATACCCTGACTAATGAAATAGCTCAGGCTCATGTGTACCAAACATTTCATGCTACAGACAAAATACTGGTCAAGTATGGCTCCTGTACACACATAAGATAGGAAATAAACCAGTATCTTATAAACATGCATGATACATGTATGATGTGCAACGTACAATGAATCCACACCAAAAGGGAGAGAGTAGGTAGCCAAGTGTTGTCTGAAAGAATATCAGGAATGAGAGGATTATTATTGGCAGCGATACAATGACTTGGAGCAGGCCAAGGACTGATAGAAAAGTCAAGCAATGATGGCTGTTTGAAAGTCGGCAGCACATTATTAGGATTCACTAATAAAAGGGAAGTAAACGGTCATGCATGAATGCATGAAGTAATTTGTACTATACATGAAGTTTACAGGAGGTGGCCTGAGTAAACAATCACTAGCCCACACTAGATCCTACATGTTGTGTCAAATTATTCATGAGTCGTGTCAAATTACTATGACAAAAAAATTAATTTTGCTGCTATTTAAATATCAATTGCCCAACTACTATGTTTATTATCCATGCATGCAAGTTCTGTATTATTGCAGATACAAGATATATGCTATCAAATTGCCATAGTTCTTAACCACAGAAGCAGTACAATTTCTGAGCAAGTACACATTACTATTAATAATTGTCCACTGGGGACTAATGACAGCCTAGGCAACACATTCATCCTTTTGGCATGAGAGAATGAATTGTGTTTGAAGGTGAAGATAAGAGTAGAATTCCTGTTATGACTAAAAGGCTCTAACTAGATGAATGTCAATTTTATGCTGCATAAACTTTTGAATCATAATTCAGGGCTCTTGTTTAGGTAGATCTAAACTAACTCAGGCAATGCTTTACAAAATATATATATTTTTTAACAACTAGATTAAATTGAATATTAAGCGCCCTAGCTCACTTAGAACCACTAGTAAACTTACCCTAGTATATGATACTGATATGAATTAAGTTTTAAAGCTGTCCAGCTCTTGTGGGATGAACTCGACCAGTGACTCTGGAGCCTTGAGTAACTGCTTACTGCTGTAGCTCACGGAAAGTCTACAATAACAATTATACTAGTCGTCAACAACGTTGATAGGCGTGGTTATATTTTTTATACGCGGACAACAGAACAGCAGTGGTGGTGGAACTCCAGTTATCAATAATGATCATTGTCAAATGCAACTAAATACAGTCCTTGTGATAAAGTAACGATAGTATTTTGCAGTTTAATAGACTTCTGACTTCATCAGCATACATTATACATATATGCATGCAGGACAAAGAAAAGGCGTGGTTCTACTTACCCACGTGACAACACGTGGTTGACCGGCCCACATAATGGGTGGTTCTGCGGGCGCGCCGCATTTTGATGATGCGACTCCATTCACTTGTACAAAGGAATCTCTGTCTTTAAGAGATCAGTCTCCTTAAGTGTTAACTGAAAAGAGGCCAAAGAACGACTGTACACTACCACAGCCACTATGAGAGTACCTGCCACCATTCTATTTTCTTTTATTCTACTCGGGACGGATTTGCTGAGCTCCACTCGAGGGGAGATGTTCACTGCTCTTATACACATGGAGGGACTACAAGATATAGAGAGGAACCTCCTATCGCAACTGCACAACTATATAGCTAAAGAAAAAGAAAAGTAAACTACTTTCACATTTTCTAATTGGTTCACACACACACACACACATTCACAGCTATAGACTATAAATTTAAGTTAATTATTATAGATTAGCTTACCCTCTTATTCCTCTCTTACATCCAGACTTAAAGTATTAGAGAGTTTTGCCAAACGTGTGGAGGGAGCACTAGATACAATGGGTGGAGATATAGCTCAGCATTTGCATGATCCAGTGAATGCATTTCAACTCACCAATCGTTTCACTAATGGCTGGATGAAGATGCATGAGATTGTGTACTCAGACAATGGGCAAGGTATATATAAATATTTGAAGGATGAATCTCTAGCAATTAATATGTTTAAAGTATTATGAAATTGGAAATTAAATGATGATAATGATTGTAAATTCAAGTGTTTTGTGTGGTTGGTAGTAAACAGGGTTCTTTACTCTATTGTAGTATTGGATGTCTACTCTTGCTAAAAATGCTTTGCAAATAAATGAATTTATGCTAATAGAGGCTGCATGTATATCAGTTTGAACAAAGCATATCCTATTCAATATTGTTTAATTGTTCCTATTTTGTGCCTACTAGTTCCTTCTACGTACAAAGCAAGTGTGGGTGGCTTTGACTTTATCTCTGCTAATTTTATTGTTGGCATTGAGGGGCTTTGTTGCCCATAAACAACTTCATATTTATCCACTATTGCTCTGTTAAAATTGTCTTCTTTGTTTGAATTTTTTTTCAGATTTCATGGCTAATATTTCAGTCAATCGCCATTCGTTTCCAACCGAAGAGGATTATTCTGGAGCCATGACAGCTTTGAGAAGACTCCAGGATACCTATCGTCTCAAACCGACTAACATTGCCCAAGGAAAACTATCAGACAAAGGACTACCAATGTCCAGTAAGCAGCATAGTCAAAACAATCTCTCAAGTCATCATGATTTAATTATAACAATTGCTATTATTCTCTAATGTAGGCTTTGATTGCTATACAATTGGCAAGAAGGCATACAATGAGAAGAACTGGAGGCATACAAGGGACTGGATGTTAGCTGCTCTTGAGAGGTTTGACGAGGAAGGAGGTGATCCAACTGGTACCGTTGACATTCCCAGTATATACGATCACCTGTCTTTTGCTGAATATAGTGTAAGTGCATGAATAAAAATAGCATGTACATTTATGACTTCTCTCCCCTCTCCTTATAGCTTGGTAACATTAAGAAAGCTTCACAGTATACTCGTGAACTATTGCAGCATGATCCTTCACATGAGAGAGCAATCAGTAACAGAGAGTACTTTAATAGAGTATCAAGGGAAGAACCTGATAAATTCGTAGACCACGAGGGTGTACTTGACGATGAGAGCGAACATGCCGTATATGAGAAACTCTGTCGTGAACCAGCTCCAATTGTAAGTGTGTAATTATCTTACAAGTTATGCTTTTTGTTCTTTATAGCCATCTCACTTACACAAGAAGCTTATCTGTTACTATTTTAATAACAAACGCAACCCAAGGCTTATTCTTAGCCCAATAAAGACTGAGGTTGCCTTTGTTAAGCCGAAGATATACATATTCTATGACATTGTCACTGATAGAGAAATTGAGAGACTTAAAGAACTAGCTAATCCAAAGGTAATATTTTAAGATAAAAGAGAGATGAATATAACTTTTTTACATGTAATACCCAATTTCCTGTTTTTATATAGATGCATAGGGCAACAGCTCGAAATGCAGCCACTGGTCAATTTGAGCCTGCAGACTACCGCATTAGTAAAAGGTTGTGTTTGATAGAGACAGGCTCACAATAGCTACCCATTACTTGTACTGTATGATAAGCTGGTGGTCTGAAAATCGTAGTATTTTTTGGCATCGACCACAACGAATATTTTTTTGTAGCCAAAATAGAATAGGGATACTGTACTGAGTAGTAATAGAAATGTTCTTCTGTGATGCGGTACTTTAATGATATACCATTATAGCTTAATAGGGCAACAGCCACTAATGTTGTAACAGGCATTGATGAGCCAGTTGAGTATCGGATCAGTAAAAGGTATTAAGTGACAGAGCATCTCATTGCTAATGTACTTGTCAGTTTAAAACCTTAGCTTTGCTTGCCAGAGCTTGCCTTAAGCTATAGTGCTGCTTCGTGCTTAAGTTTTGGGCGAATTTTTTGATTTAATTATCAATTTATAATTCCAAGTGTTAGTGCTTGTTAGAGAGTTCTTGTGTATATTTCTCTGCAGTTAAACAGAGCTACAGTGCATGGAGAGAATGGAGAATTACTCCACGCTACTTACAGGATTAGCAAGAGGTGTGTATGTGTGTATGCATACGATAATTATTTTACTCAAACAAAAAGGATACTGCTTTGCATTACGTGTTGCATATTGCAGTAAACCATACAATAACTATAATATTCTGTGTATTATAATGCTGTTTATAAACTCACCACCAGCAGACGAGTACATTAGTAATGGGTAGCTCTTAAGAGAGCTGGACACACACACACACACAATAATAAGCTTTTGAATTTATTGCATGTATTTCTTTCCCTGTCATCAGTGGTTGGCTCTCAGGTAGTGATGATCCATTGGGCTATGTCGATCGTATTGACCAGCGCATTGAAGACGTTACTGGACTTACAATGTCCACTGCAGAGCAACTTCAAGTAAATAATGACAATAACAGTGTATGTGGATTTGCTCTTATTTCTTATAGGTGGTTAATTATGGTATTGGTGGACAGTATGAACCACATTATGACTTTGCTAGGGTAAGAAATTAGTACACAAATTATTAGGGTAATATGTCAAATTGTGATGTGGCATTGTTTGTTTTGGTACATTTTTTGATACATAAGCATGTTCTTTATGAGTTTAAGCATATTAAATTTTAATGAATTTTTAAAGTTGGGGAATTGACCCTGCTCTGAGACTCAATGATCAGTTTCTTGTTGGGGATACTTTACTGGTTGCTCCCGTTGTGATGCAGGGGGCATTAAATAGAACTGTTTATTTTCCAGCTGGTTTTTGGAAGTGTCTTGCAAGTGTGTGTTCTGGTAGTCCTTTGTTTCAGAGTGGGTGGAGCAAACCTATCTCTGTTATAATAAGGGACTTTGGCCAAATTTCATCAAAAATGAAAAGAAAAGAATTTTTTTATTTTTATAATTTTTTCTGATGCATAAACATGTACTTATGCTGCATAGCAAGTTTGAGTTGATTCGGATATAATTTAGATTTTTTATGAATTTTTTAAAGTTGCTTCAAAATCGAGCCAAAGTCCCTGTACTATAGTACAGGGACTTTGGCCAAATTTTGGCAAAAATGAAAAGGAGAGAATTTTTTATTTTTATAATTTTTTCTGATCCATATACATGTACTTATGTTGCATAGCAAGTTTGAGCTGATTCCAATAAAATTTAAATTTTTAATGAATTTTTTTAAGTTGCTTCAAAATTGAGCCAAAGTCCCTGTACTATAGTACAGGGACTTTGGCCAAATTATGAAAAAAATGAAAAGGAGAGAATTTTGCATTTTTATAATTTTTCCTGATGCACATACATGTCCTTATATTGTGTAGCAAGTTTGAGCTGATTCCGATCAAGTTTGGATTTTTACGAATTTTTAAAGTTGCTCCAAAATCGGGCCAAAGTCCCTGTACTATAGTACAGGGATTTTGGCCAAATTCCATCAAAAATGAAAAGAAAAGAATTTTTTATTTTTATATTTTTTTTCTGATGTGTATATATGTACTTATGTTGCATAGCAAGTTTGAGCTGATTCTAATTAAATTTGGATTTTTTATGAATTTTTAAAGTTGCTTAAAAATTCAGCCAAAGTCCCTATAATTGTCATTCATTTCTTTTTAGACTGGAGAAGATACATTCACCAGTTTAGGTAGTGGCAACAGGATATCAACACTCCTTATTTATGTGAGTAGAATATTTTGCAACATCATTTTATTTTTGTTCCAATAGATGAGTGATGTAGAAAAAGGCGGAGCAACTGTTTTTCCTGGAGTAGGAGCCAGACTTGTCCCAATAAAGGTTTGTAAAATAAGAGCAATGAAATAATGTTAGTCTGATTGTTATTCCTTATTCTTGTGCTAATAAAATTGTTTTACTTATTAACACATCTGTTTATCCTTTGATGTGGTAACAAAAATTTTTGTTGCACAAATTGTCAATTTTGTGTTTTACTTACAATAGCGTGCTGCAGCTTATTGGTGGAACCTTAAGAGATCGGGTGATGGTGATTACTCCACTCGTCATGCAGGCTGCCCTGTACTTGTCGGCTCTAAATGGGGTCAGCTATTTATGGCAAAAATAAAATTAATTTTAAGGTGCTGCCCTTTTTTTTTAGTTTGCAATAAGTGGATTCACGAAAGAGGTCAAGAGTTCAGGAGACCTTGTGGCCTCTCTCGAGATGTTTGATGTGATATGTTTTATAATAACAATAATAATGATGATGATGACAATTAATAGCAACAATAATAATTATCATTTTATTCTTTCTTTCAATAACATTGTGATAACAAAAAATACTGCACCGTCTTTGTGTGGATCCACTTTATATTAGTAATCAAATTAGTTAGGTATTGGCTGTGAAAACTGTCTCCAATGTTTGTTTCATTATAATCAAAATCATTGTAAATTAAAAAGGAGAGTTCTATAATAAATTAAAGATAATCATGAAAAAAGTTAAAACGATAAATAATAGACACAACCACCATTACTGTAAATAGTGTACAAAAAACACAAGAACATGTGCATATACATGTATAATCAGAAAAAAATGTTATACTAAAATGTTATTCAACAATAGCAACATGTTCAATGTAATTCTTTGGAACGAGACCTTCTTTCATGCCAGAATGAGCAGAAACCCAGCCATCATCTTCATCACGTGACAAAACTAAAATCTTAAAAATTGACATAATAATTATTTAAAGACCCTTGATAATTATTATTGTAAGAAAGTAAATTAACATACATTGCATGGAGTAACATACCTGTCCTTCTGATAGAGGCATTTCTCCTTCAGAAGAAGGTGTATAGTCATACATTGCCTTGTATATGTGATCACCTGGACTCACCACCTGCAATAAAATCATTAACCATTATTAGCAATGTCTGCTGAAACTTACTTGTACATATTGAGCTGGAAAATAACCTTTTTTACTACCAATTGTTCCCTGAGAGAATAAAAATAATAAAACTAATCTATGTTGTTAAGTGCTACCTTCCACCAGTCAACACTAGCAGTGTTCAATAGTTCAATCACATTACCAGCACTAGAAAAATAAAATAATAATATTATTTATAATAAACTCCTAGTTCACCTGAGTGGCATGTCATTTGGATTGAATTTTTCATAGTCGTAGAGTGCGACACAGTGCGTGGGTGGATCCCATTCACCACTGGGCTCAAAGAGAGACTCACGATGATAAGCACTTGGTAACTGGGACTATTAATAAAATAATAATAATAATAATAATAATAATAATAACAACAAAATAATGCTTACTCTTCTTTTAGGATCTAGTGACTGCTCTCTTGGAGGAGCTATAAAATAAATAAATAAATAAATAAATAAATAAATAATTGAAGAAACACAAAACATGTACAAGCAATTAATTATACAATATACATGCACTTACGAGCTGGTTGGTTTCCAAAATATTTTTCTTCAATAGTGCAGTAAATGCCAGTGGACTCTGACTCAGTTGGTGATGCACTCCTTTCATTTTCCTTCACTATAGAAAAAAACAATACAATTAGTACATATACTAATCAATAATAATATGTGAGTGTCATTAGTATACTACACGAACAGCTAACCTGGAGCAAAAGCAGCTCCTCCTCCTCCCTTCATCTTTTTGTACACTTTCTTCAGATTCATTCTTGGGAGCTTGGGAGACTTTGGAGTAGGTGCCTCCTAGACATTATTGAAAAAAAGAATTAGTGATGGAGCTGCCAATATTATTAAATAAGTAATAATAATAATAATAGTAATAGTAATAAAATTAGAACTTACTCCAGAGCAATAAGGAACAGACAACTGACACTTTGTATGAACACTGATACGACATATCTTACAAACAGTTCCGGGGCGTACAGAAACTACATGAAAACAGACAAATAAAGTACATGTACATATACTATAATAATTCATTATTACTATTACTACAAGAAGCATCATTTGGAATGAAATATTTACCTTGTATAAAGCCATTGCAGTATCTGCACTGAACTGGGAATTTTTTATTGAAGTCTGTCCATTCGTGTTCCTTTCCTTGTACAAATATTTCTGATGAGCGACGAGGGTTACCACTAATGATAATGAAAGAAGGAGAATATAGAAAATGTAATTAAAATGTAGAACTCTTTTGGTAAAATTTGGTCAATGACCATGGTATGAAATTTTTTGGCCCCATTTTTGAGTTACTTTTAAAATTTATAAAAAATCCAAATAAGCTCAAACTCGCTACACAATATAAGTACATGTACAGTATATGCATCAGAAAAAAAAGCAAAAACCCATTTGTTCCATTGTTACAAAATTCATGACAAGCAAAAACCCATTTGTTCCATTGTTACAAAATCCGTGACAAGCAAAAACCCATCTGTTCCATTGTCACAAAATCCGTGACAAGCAAAAACCCATCTGTTCCATTGTCACAAAATCCGTGACAAGCAAAAACCCATCTGTTCCATTGTTACAAAATCCGTGACAAGCAAAAACCCATTTGTTCCATTGTCAAAAAATCCGTGACAAGCAAAAACCCATCTGTTCCATTGTTACAAAATCTGCGACAAGCAAAAAACCATTCTTTTATTGTCACAAAATTAATGAAGAACTCACTCCTTTTGATTTTTGGCATAATTTAGTCAAAATCCCTGTACTACAGTATAGGGACTTTGGCCCTTTTGAAGCAACTTTAAAAATTTGTAAAAAATTCAATTTTGTTTGGAATCAGCTTAAACTTGTTACACTACATAAGAACATGTATATGTATCAGGAAAAATTGTAAAAATGGAGAATTCTCTATTTTTAATTTTTGGCAAAATTTGGCCGAAGACCCTGTACTATAGTACAGGGTCACAGGCCTGATTTTTGAGTAACTTTAAAAATTCGTAAAAAATCTAAATTTGATTGGAACCCGCTCAAACTTGATACATGACTTTAAAACATGCATACACATTTTAAAAAATTATAAAAATAAAGATCTCTCTTTTTTAAATTTTTGATGAAATACCATGTGCATTACTATAGCAAGGACTAGCAGACACCTTCTTAAACTTAATAATTCAATCGCACAGCCTTCAAACATAACAATATCAATTTAAACTTTACAGTAACACATGTCTGCCTGTTTTGCTTTGCTCTTACATTTTATTTCCCGAGGATTCATACTCAGCTGGTACATTAGCTTGCGCTCTATGCATCCCAGTAATACCCAGCCCTCCTTCCTCAAGATCTTTAAAAACCGCCAGCTGCAAAAAAAGGATTACATCCATTATTATTATTGTCGTTGTACTCACTTTTCCAGCAACTTCTTTCATTTCACACTCCTTCTCTCTAATGACATTTCTCATGTAAGTCATCTCAACCTCAACATCGTGAGCGTCACCTAACGCCGGGTTGGTTTTATAACTGTAGAAAGAGAGAGGGGGACGGAGAATAAAAGGGCAGTACATAATTTTACTAATAAAGTTTAAAGCTTCTACAAACCTTTGATGTAAGTTTAGTTCACTCTCATACTCAGTTTGAAGTTTTTCTCTCTGAGCAGTAAGCAAAGCTTCCTACGTATTACAAGAGAAATACAAGTAAGAGCACAACTTAATTTCCTACCAAACCTGTTTCTTAAGCTCGTCAAGCAGGTGGAGCAATGGAGCTTGAGTCAAATCAATCAACTGGAGATTATCAGACAACACAGGCTGTCAAGAGTAAAAAATAAAGTACATGTACATGATAGTTCTATTCAATGGCTGACCAGTTTACTGCTATTATTCTCAGGTAGTTGAAACATAGGCTTGGGTGGGGGATAGTGCACTGTAGATGAGTGATCAGTAGCAAATTTTGCCACATCATAAGAACTGGATATATTAGATACAGCGTCAGATAACTGTCTCAACTGAGCCTGATTGAAATCAAGCTGTAGAAAAAATGATGATAATAAATATTTACTGCATGAGTTGTATTACCTTTTTCTGTGATGCTTCGACTAGTTTAGCAATGTTATCAGCATAGCCGTCAAGAAGATCTTTATGCATTGACTGAATTTCCTAGATTACATGTATGATAGTAAATAATGATATACATGTACATTAATAATGCAGTAACTGCTACTTCTATCGATCTACATGTATCTCTCTCTCTCTCTCCCTTACATCTAGCATAGAGTAGACATGTGTTCCATAGAATACGTCATGTAGTGAACTAAAAGACGACTTCTCTATCACGTAATTATTATGATGATTATAGCTTAGTAGGATCTGATTGTCCTATAAAAAAGGAACAACAAAAATAAGATCATATGACCTATGGTAATATAAGGAAAATATATGCAGGCATCATAAGGGAATGAATGACCAAGAGGCATGCATGCACATAAAAGGGAGTCCTTTAAATAAGCTGCTTTACATTTAAGGATATAAGGGCTGGACACACCTTGTAATAGGAATGTAAACAACACTTACATGTAGCGAGGATAAAATAATGAGTAATTATGATGATGTTTCACAATATTAGGATAGAGTGCAGTGCATGATGATGCTGTACCTTTACTGTATCTTTCTCCATGCTTTCTCCATACTTGGCCCACTGATCACAATACTCCTTGTGTAGCTATGTAAAATAATGCAAAAAGACTGTCAAAGACTACACAGGTAGGCAGAGGGAGAGCGAGTGAGGAGGCTTAAAGGAATCAAACAAAGAGAGAAAGAGGAAGAAAGAGAAAGAGGATTATACTAAACCTTTTGAAGATCAGCCTCTGTCTTTTCAACCCTTGATGTCATTGCCGATCGATACTGAAATACCTAAGTATATTTGAATGGTTCGTAAGTACACAAAAACATCACAGGTGGACTAAAGTACATTATGGCAGTTGTTTATTACAGCTACAATAATTGTGTACTTTATAGCCTAATCAAACATGTCCCATGGACTATAGTAAATAGAGACACATGGACTAGTGCATGTACCTTCTTTATAAGGAGCTTCTTCTTAGCAGTGTGAGACTGTAGTTCCTGACTCACACTGTCCAATAGACTGCTTGATAAATCCATGTATGCCTAACGTGACACACATCATAATGAGCATATAATTGTATGAGACTTGAATGATTGCTACTATGAGATAACTTCCTCCTAAGCATGCATAACTATACTTCTTATTAAATGATGTAATATAAATGTAATTTAACCCTAATCATACTATTATCATCATCAAAGCAGTCAAGCCTAATCTACTGATAAAAGTACTTGTGAGTGATAGTGTCACAAAGAGAAGCAACAAAAGAAGAGATTTGATGGATAATATTAATAATTCCATACTTTAGCATCATCCTCAGTTAAAGTGATAAGAGTGTTCCAAACATTGAAATGAGTTCCTTCAAGATGAACCCTGAATAATAAAAGTTTACTGTTATTTAAAATTGTTATCAAAATAGTTGTTGTTTCTAAATAAACAACACTCATTGTGCTATGATGTTTATTAGCGTATTCTACCAGTTTTTCTTGATGTCTTGAGCCTTCCTCCTAAAGGCCACACAGATACTAGACAGTTGCTGACTGTGAGCTTTTTGAGCAGCTGATAACTTTTGAATGAACTCAGTTGCTAAAACAAAAAAGCAAAGCACAGGAACAAGAATAAACACACCAAATTAGTATCAACAGTACAGTACTTAATGAACTTAAAACAATGACACATTTACATATATACACATACAAATAAACTCAGTATTCTGATTAGCTATACTACCACACATGTAAGAGTAACAACTACATGTATATACTGTACTTTACTTTGCTATGGGAATCACTGAATCACACAAAACAATATACACCTACAATTTGTTTACTGTCATGAAATAATGTTTGCAAATAGAAGAATGCACTGTACTGGCAGGTCTAATTGAAAAACACTAATATAGAGAATGATAATTAATGCTAGCAATAACAATCATGAATGTATGTCAAAGTTGGAATTCATTTTTAATTTGCAAAGCAATTCATACAATCCATTTTTGTAGTTACATAACTTTATTCATGGACAGTATTCAGTAGAGGCTGTTAAGAGCCTTATATGAGACACATTGCATTAATCAAACAATTCATGGCCTAACAAAAGGACTATGGATATTCTTAGCAAGTGTTACATCTATTATGAACTCCAGCTGGCACAAAGCTAAAGAGGCTCACACCCTCTCTCTCCCCCTTACACATATATATACCCCATAGTAAGAATGGGACCACTGGAGGAGACAGCTGTAGTCTAATCTAGGTAGTAACTACAATCATTCTTATTATTATCAAGACATTTTTAGTACAAGACTTTTTACTACAATTGGTATAAGGAGTTGTATTAATGAACTGTGATTGAGAGATACAGCATAGTAGTGGTACTAACGGTACACATTATACATGTATATTACAAGTTTTGAAAAGCTAGCATCTCAAATTGAAATATAAGGATAACAAGAGATGGACCATACATGTATGGGAGAGAGAGACAAAACAACAAACGAACAAGATACACATTAATAAACAACTCATAGACAAATGAGAAGGAAAGGGCCAGAACCATAACCAGTCAGCCAAGCATTACTAACATAAACATTGTGACATTATATGAATATATATTATAACTTAAAAAGTACGGAATGCCTCAAATTTTAGCAACAGGTGTATGTCAAACAAAAACAGTGCAGGACTTGTGTGTAAACCAATATGAAGGGATGATAGACATTAGCTGAGGGCAAATTGTGCTGTAATTGGGATTGTAGACAAAACACTCCAGACCTCTATCTAATTTCTCTCTGCAGTAGTAGCAGTCATTATAACTCACTCATTTCAGAGATACGCACAGAAAGACTGGCGTATGCTTTGATGGTCTCGTTAGAGCTAGCTTGAGGCATATCACGGAAGCATTTGCCGCCGCCACCTCCTTGTGAAGCCTGTGGTGCTAGAGAGAGAGGGGACCCGTTCCTAATGGAAGCATTGCTCGGCGGTAGAACCAGTGGAGGAGAGGGAGAAGCAGCCATAATATCTTTGAGAGGACAGGAGAGGATACAGTTTACAGAATTTATACAACCAGAACAGCCTAAAAATCACAAAATGAAAATGGGCGTGGTACCAATAGATCTAAATGGGTGTGGCCAAGTTAATCATAAAATGGCGTTCATCTCATCACTTCTTTTTCCTCTTCATTATTTTAACTAGCAAGGCAAGGGATTGAGACAATGAGTAGACTCTACCAGGAAAGCCTTCTTCTTCAGATGCAGCCAGGACCACCAAACACGTCACAACCTACTAGACTGCTCCACCCTCCAAAGCCTCAGTCAATGTCAAGGGATGTGATGCCTCATCACATTACCATTACTGATGATGAAGGTGATGAGAGACGCCCCTCAAGGAGCATTAGTCGTTATGGTGTCCCGTTATACAACTACCAACAGATACCACCTTATTTGAAAGGGAACCCTTATATCTTTGGTGGATATAGAGCTCATATTCCTATAGGGCTCTGTATGAGGAGGTAAAACTCACACTGGGATTATGTCCATATGGGGTCTAATTAAACAAATTATATATATATATATATATTTTTTGAATTTAATTTTGTAGTTTGTTTATCTGGTCCAACGAGACAATGAATATCTGGACACATCTCTTAGGATTTCTTTACTTCTTTTATTTGCTCATTAATGACAATCTCTCACTCCTCGAAGACAGTCACAGTGACTTTGGCGACAATCTTACATTCACGCTAATGGACTCAGCATTCATGGTAAGGAGAGAGATTTATACCCTTTATTTATTGCTTTATCTCTCTCTCTCTCTCTCTCTCTCTCTTATTAGACTTGTATGTTTTGTTCTGCAGCATTTCATCTTTTTAATTGCATATCAGAATCAGCGAGTAAGATATGGCTCAGACTCGATTTAGGCGGGATATCTGTTGGTCTTTGCGGCTGTTACTTCCCCGGAGCTTATTATGCTTTCTATTGTCATGCAGTGAGTGATTCAGTGCTTGTGTATATGCATACAGTTTAATTATGGACACACTCTAGTATTGGCAGTTAGCATATCTAGTGGCACTGTTGATATTAGCTGTAGGAAGTATGGCAGTACAACTTCATCCTCAGTTTCTGTCATCACAATGGCACTATAGGTACTTGTACGTCATATATCTATGTGGAAAAAACTTTCTTTTGTAGGAGATTGTTTCTTTATTCTATTCTAATATTTGCTGGAATGATACCAGTAACTCATTGGGCACTTACTAATGGTGGATTTAACTCACCACTAGTCTTGGTCAGTTATCAGCTTTATAGACTCCAATCTTCATTATTCTTTTATGGTACTAGGTTTTTGTTCCAAAAATAGCAGTAATGTACCTATTGGCAATCATTGGTGGGACGTTTTATGTCACAAAGTTTCCAGAGTGTCAGTTTCCAGGTAAAACACTGTTCATTGTGTTCAAAAAGTCTTACTATAAACCAAGAACACAAGTGATTCTTAGTAGTTACTAACAAATCAATTTTCTTTCTCTTTTGCTTCTGATGTAGGTCGTGTAGATTTTCTTGGTTCTAGTCATCAATGGTGGCATCTATTTGTATTCCTTGGTTATGCATGGATTCATCATTGTACCATACTAATATATAATTATTGGATGGTTCATTCTTGTGAAGAGCATTTTCAAAAGCACCAGTCACTCTCCAGTATATTGGGAATAACTGATTGAGCCGGCAATTTTGAAGCTTTTAAGACTATTTTATTTCATTTTAATTTATTATTTATGCACAGGATTTAACCATGGATTGGCTTTTAAAGAATTTTAATAGATACAATAATAATAAATACAGACATAAAATATAAAAATGCAAGCACTCACATTTAAAAATTAGTCATTTTCATGAATGCTATAGTATGGTACATCAGTAAATTCTTCCATTTTTTCATGCTCTTCTCGTCTTAATATTTGTCTCTCAGTGTACTCAGTAATGATGAATTGTTGATCGACGTCTGATTTCTCATTCCTTGAGCGATATTTATACTTGTAGGCAATAGGTATATAAACAATCACTGATATACCTATAATCACAGACTTTGTCGCAAAGTATTCCCAATCACAACCCAGTGGTATGAGCAAACCAAGTGTAGTACAAGCTAGAAAATTTGTGAGGAGCAGCCAGATTCCAATTAACAGACTTTGCATGCTCAGTGGCCCTTGGGCCATAATGAATCTTAATCCGTTGACAAAGACCAAAAACAGACAAGCACCTTCAAATACCTGACTTATTATTAAAACATAAAACGGTATGGTGAAGTCATCATAGGTCCCAGCAATGAAACTCGAATCGTTTGGTATTTTGTGGCATCTGTTGTTTCCTAATGATATGTTATTAGCAATGGCCGATTCAATGTCTTTGCCCATCTGAAAAGTCAGTACACTTAGTAAAATTGTTTTCAAAAATGCTATCAGGACTCCAACCCACATCAACTTGAGCATGCTTGGATTATAGCGAGGAAAGAAAGGAGATATGATAAATTGAAAAACTAGCACGCATACACCAATAGTTGCATAAGGTATGACTGAAGAATAAAAGTTGATGATATTATCTAAGAGTGAAGAACTATCATGCTGATAATATTGCTCTGACAGCACTGTAGAGAACTCTTGAATGCTGTAACCAAACGTAGCAAGGAGGATGAATAATATATTCCAAAAACTCTTGACATCTTCAACTTCTTCAGTCGAGTATGGCCCACCATATCTACTCTTTGCCAAGTCAATTCTAGAGGGAAGTTCCTCTCCATATGTAAATGCACTCCTCCAAATTGGTGCTTTGTGCTGCTTAGCAAATCTTAATACTCCCCATATTAGTTTAATGGGATTGTTTCTTTGTGGTGGTTCATTTACTAAGTTCTTTTTAAAAATGATGATAAAAAATAACGGAGCGACCGTTAAAACAATCAGGAAACAAAACAGGACGGAGAAATTATAAATGTCCTTGTTCTCACCAGTGTACCTAGTAACGAGGGACTGGAGGAAGAAAAGGGTTGAGCCAATGGTGTAGAAAGAGAATGCAAACCAGTAGATGAGGTTTGGTAGGTCAGTCGAGGGTGCAAAATGGAGCTGGTCAGCACCAAACTGTATAACATTAGCAAGGCAGAGCACAAAACCAACAAGAGCAACCAAGTTCATTAGTATGAAGCAGATTATGAGTGGAACAGACTTGGTAGATAAGAAGCGCACAAGAATTAGGGACAGCAACATTCCAAGGGAGCCAACAGAGAGCAGGGCTGAACTGAGATATAGGACTCTGTGTCTCGTCCATCTTTCACCAACAAATGCAAAGGCTGGGAAAAACAGGAAGAAAACAGCCAGAGGTACTATGATGTACTTGAAAAAGCTTCCTCCTAAGATTGCAAAGACGATGGGGTTAGATATGAAAGGTTGAGCCGAGCTGAGGAACACTGTTGCTAATAAGAGACTCCACATCAGTACCAGGGTCCCTCCTTTTGAGTAAATGCAAGAATACTTGAGTCTCTTCAAATCCATTTTTGTTTACTGCAGAAAATGGGCGTTACCCTTAAAATTTTATTATTAATAATAATTAATGAAAAAATAATTATTGCTATTTTAAATATGAAAAAATAATAATATTAATGAAATGAAACAAAAAGAAAAAACCAATGCTACCACCAATTGACTGCCATTAGTTCCTCAACTCAAGTAGTGATCTTATCTTGACGTTTATTACGAAACAGACTCCTCAGTACCATTACTTGTGATACTCCAACAACTATCAGTAAGACACAATAAAACAATGACCACCACAACACTCGACTGTTGCTGCTCTCTAGAGTGTGACGATGGCGTGCTTCCCGTGCCCTGAAGAACTGCTGATAAAACTCAACCTTATTTAAATGATCAGTAACATTAGCAAGGAGCCTCTACAGACAAACATAAAGACACAAGGACAAAGGTTAAACATAATATACCATATAGTGGGTTATTTTTAAGGATAAAAAATTTCGCGAATTTTACGGATTTTTCAAGATTCGCGAAATTAAATTCCTTGAAAATCAATTTAATACGATACAAGATGGCAGAATAGTACAAATTCACGAAAATTAATTCTACGAACTTCCGGATATGGGTCATTCACGAAATTTATTATCCTCAAAATAAACCCGCTATACGGTATACACATCTTCACACAAGACAGCTGAAGACTCACTCTAATATCTAGTACTTTCATGTCATTCACTGTACTCTCAGGATCCATCATGATGTCATCACCAAAATCTTCATATTCTACTAAAAACGGTAAAAGAATAATATAATGACCCAGCAGATTTCCCAGGAAAAATTGAAATTAATGATTTTTTTTTTCGGAAAAATTATTTTACCAGCAAATTAAACGGGGAAAAATTCAAATTAATGATTTCTCAGGAAAAATAATTTTTCTCTGCAATTATCCAAAAAAATTAATTTCACACAGACATTGGCCTGATTTTTGAGCAACTTAAAAGTCTAAATTTGATCGGAATCTGTTCAAACAAAATTATTAAAATACAGAATTCTATGTACTAAGATAAAAGAAGTTTTGTCCAATATTTAAGCAATTTTAAAATTCATAAAAATCCAAATTTAATCGGAATCAGCTAAAAATGTATTGTGTATCAGAAAAAAATTATAAAATAAATTTCTCCAAGAAATTTTGCTATATGAAAATATCTATGTCCATATATTTAGCCAAACTTTCAACAAGTTATGACACTGTACCTGAGTTTGAGTCCATTAAAACATCCATAAAGATTGTTTTGTCTGATATGTGACTGAAACTATTATCGAAACACAAGCTATAGTCTCCCTCTTCAGAGACATCAAAAGAATGCAGTCCATCCATCTTCCTTTCCTCCTTTACAAGCATTTCATGACTAGGACTCAATAAATAGAAAGTAATATCTAACTCGCCACCTTCTATTACCTAAAGAAAAGTAAACAAAATGACAATGAAAAGTACAAAATTTATATATGCCTACATCTTAAATTTAGCATAATAATAAATTAATAATTAAAAAATAGTTTCCTACCTGATACTCCACTTCTAATGACACCCCAGACTTTAAAGGCTCGTAAAAACATTCCTGCCGACCCGCTCCTATCTTGAATGTTATGGCAAAGTCTTTAGCCTCAGAAGAGACGGACAATAGAATGGTCACCAACAATAAAAAGACGGCCATGTTTTAAAATTTAATCAATTTCAATTAATTAATAATTAACACCACACCCACTATTACTGCAGCAATAAAAAACTATAGTTTCTTGTGTGTGTGCGTGTTTACACAATACAAAAAATAACATTATGTATTCTTGGATCCATTTTAATTAGTTCATTGCACTTGAGCTACACAACCTGATAATTTCTGCTCTCTTTGCGTCCAGCAACAGCAACAAAGCAAGACACAATCACGCCAATGACCTAAATTAAAACTTTAAAATAATGTTTACATACATTTCAAAATACCTGAAGTAGACCAAATGTAATAGCGACCCCAGCTATAGCTTCAAGAACAGTGCTGACATTATCTGAAGCAACTTGTGTGCAACCCTACAATCAATACAAACATTACGTGAGGATCAGAGAGAATAGAATTGGGAGAAGAGAGAGAGAGAGAAAGAAGAGATATCTAAATATTCATACCCTTGTATATATATTGTTGGTCTCAGTAGTGTTACAGTTATGATTACTGCTTTTACAGCACGATGTTGGTGGGTTTATTCCTAGTATTTTAGTATAAGAAGTATAGTTGTAGGTGCCACAACATTTAAACTAAAAAACAGAACAATAAGTTAGTATTATAATCTTTTTATAATTATACTACAACTACAAATACTTGTACTTACTGATTTTTGTACAGTATCCCAAGTGTGCTTGATACTAGTGTCATTACTGTAACGAGTGAATGTATTATTGACACTTTTGTTGAATGCACCACCAAGCTATAAACAGCAATAATAAATAATAAAATAATAATAATAATAATAATAATAATAATAATAATAATAATAATAATAATAATAATAATAATAGTTTTATTAGTTGCATGCTTACATCGTCTTTCTTAACTGCAGCTGCAATACCACCAGCAATTTCAATGATCACCAACAAAGATAGCACAAACCCATACTAAGAGATAATGTCAATAATAATAATAATAATGATTACTTACCAATCCTAGCATGATTCGTCCACCAACAGTATTGGCAAACACACCTCCAACCACACCAACTAGTCCGAGCAGCAATACAAATATACCAATTACTATCAGAAGGACTGGTATCTGTTCATAAGTTGAGGGATTGTCAACAATTTGTATATAAGTATCGCCATGGACCTAATATATAGTGGAGGAAGAAACCATATGCATTTCCTTGTAATGACTAAGTACATAAACTCATTACAAATAGACCAATACGTGTAGCATTGTCACTATTGTGTGACTATTACTCTTACCTTAGACCAAATACCCACTATGAGGACAACAAGACCGCAAAGCTATTGAAAAGAAAGAAAGCAAAATACAGTAATTATTTTATCTTTTGGCATCATTTGGCACAAAGAGAAATGGAGAGATCATGATACCGTAGTATGGCATTGTTATTCTAAAATATTGGCAAAGAATAATGATACAAGTACATGTACATGTACTACACAGTGAGAAATGAGCCTTCCGATCTATGAAGTATAATAACAAGCATTCCTTTGAGCCATTAGGCTGTTTAATGACAATCACATGTTAAAGCTATGGCTGATCACATGCCAGAAGTCCAGAGTGACAGTTAGGATAATTTGAGTTATAGGTGAAAGTACAAGGAGGTTATAAGGTATAGGAATGGGCTCACATGATTACATTAGTATGTACAGTATGTTAATCTAAACCAATAACAATCCCAAGTAGTTTCACATGACATGCAGCTGTTGTTTGAGAGTGGACACAAAGGACATCACATGAACAATACACAATAAAACATGACAGCAAAGCACTCATTTACCCCTCAGAACACAATGGGTATATATTCTAGTTAAATGTACACAATACAGACAAAAGACAAAACAGACAGATTTGTGATAATCGTGATCAGTAAATTAGCACAATGAGTTCACACTAAACAATTTTTACAAGCTATCAACATAATCTACTATTAGTGTATTTAGTGTGGCCAGTAACTTGTTTTTTTACATAATATGAATTATATAGAATGGAATGCTATTATAAAAATAAACTATAATCTTTCATTTTGGTTCCCTTCTTCACTCACCACAACGAAGATATTGACAAAGATGAGGAGGAATCTCAAAAAGATTCTAAGAAAGTCCAAGCAACTTCTTTCGCCCATAACGACACTGGGAAAGATCTAGACACAGATGGATACAGTAAAACAGAGAGTAAAACGACAAGATGTAGATGAAGGTTGATATTGATATGGAGAAACGAGTCGAGATTAGAAGCACGCCCACTAATAACTTTTTAATCTGATGACGTATTAATGAGCCCCATAAAATTTTCTTTTTCTTAAACTATTTTTTGAACTTATCGACTGTATTTTAAATACGAATCAATAAAATTATAATAAAACACACAAAAAAAGAATTAACTCTACACAGCACGTAACTGTAATCCAAACATATTATGTGTACAATGTATCCAGCTATTAATAACTTGTGGTGTGTGTGCATGCATAGTAAGGTCGATAGAATCAGTCTTAAACAACTTCATAATTGTCTTTCTTATGAGCAACAATAGCTACATATAAAGAGAACACTACTCCAACCAACTAGTAGAGAGAGAAAACAAAACAGTAATTAAAATAAAGAATGGTGGAGGAAAGGAGAAATTGATGTTATGACGTTTACCTGTAGAAGAGCAAAAGTGATACCAATGCCTGCTACAACTCCCAATATGTATTTAATATCACTTTTAATCTGATCAGCACATCCCTACAATTTAGCAGTGACAATGCAAGCATGTATATAACTACACTACTTACTGTATTGTATAAGTTAGCATCAATAGTAGTATCACAGTTACTGTCTATTTTTTTATCACAGCAAGAAGTAGGTGGTTCCATGTTTAGTTTTTCACGATAGGAACTGGGCCCGTCAATACCACAGCATTTCAACTAAAGAAGGTTCATGAGAAAGTGGTTATTAAGGCAAGAGACTTTGTCCTTACTGATTCTTGCAACGAGTCCCAGGCCTGTTTGTTGTCAGTGCTGTTGTCAGTATATTTTGAAAAGCTATCATTAAATGCTTTACTGAAGGCATTACCAACCTACACAAACAAGAGGAGAGAGAGAGAGAGAGAGAGAGAGAGAGAGAGAGAGAGAGAGAGAGAGAGAGAGAGAGAGAGAGAGAGAGAGAGAGAGAGAGAGAGAGACATTTCTTTGCTAATAAAGTCATTTCTCTTACTTGTCCACTTTCCACACCGGCTGCAATACCACCAGCAAACTCAATGATGACAAATAGAGCCAGCACAAATCCATACTATAGCAGCAAAGAAAATGATGAAGGGAATTGTAAATCATATTCTTACCAGTCCTAGTATGATTCGTCCTCCAAGTGTGTGGGCGAATATTGCGCCAACAACACCAACAATTCCAAAAATAAATACAAAGAGACCGATGATGATCAGTAGTGTAGGGACTTGTGTGTAAGACTTGGTATCTTCAGTGACTTTCAAGTAATCATGGTTGGTTCCCTATATAGGGATATACTATAAAGACACATCTACCTACACACACACACACAGTCTCTGTCTTCTCTCATCACTCTGTTTGCTTACCGCACCCCAGGCACCAACTATCAGTACACTCAGTCCAAGTATCTAGAGAAAGAAAGAATAAAAGAATCAATAAATACAATCATTTGTAATATGTCATATGATCAAGGGAGTGGCAATGCCTATTGGTGTCGCTATTATTTAAGGTTAACATTAAACATTGTTAGGATTTCTATTATCTAATGTATCATGTGAGAATCACTGGATAATGAATATTGTTAACTTGAGCACATGACCATATTGCTTATCAGTCACTATGCAATCACATGCTCTTTTACTCTAATCATCAGTTCATCTTATGACTGTCACGTTTACAAAATTAATGATACCTTACTCATTGCAAACTCAAAGAATTCACTAACATTTAGAAAATATAGCAAAAGCAAATAAAAAATCCATTACATCTATCAATCCATAAATTTAAAAATTATTGCGACTGGGCCAAGTTTCGGCTAATTTGTAAATTTTGAGAGGAAGTTTAATATTAAAAATTTGGCTCCTTTCCAAGGTCCATTTGCCTAGCCATTGCAAAAATTGGGGCCATTGCAAATGTCTTTATATGGCAATGCTGTAGCTGCTGTGTGTATTTACATTTAAAAACATTGACATAGCATCTGCTACTGAAACTGAATGCAATATATATAAACTAACTAATCCACACAATCTACTACTTTTACGCAGAGTATTACTAGTACTGCATTACAAAGGTTGTAAGACTAAAACAAGAGTAAAATTAAAAGTCTGAAAGTGGGTGGTCATTATGCTGAACTTACACAAACGCCAATGTTGACTGCGGCCAGGATAAATCTAATAAAATTCCTGCAGCAGTTTGGGCATTCTTTTACACCCATGACTGTTAGGTAGGTAATAGGAGACTGCAAAGAGACTTAACGAGACAAACAGCAGAGAAGAAAGACTGTGAAGTTGAACAGCACAGGACAGTACACTACCCTGACCTTTTGTACGAAACGGCCACGCCTGTCACATGGTCACTCACACCCTAGATTACGTAATTATGACATTTAAACTAAAATAAAAATAAATCCTCTCATATGATTATCATGAGCATTTTGAGCAAACAAACGCTTCATTGAGAAAACAAATAAGAAGTTTCATCGTCTCTAACAACGTCATAATTATTTCTTCTTCCTCTGTTATCAACAAAAGAAATGAACAGGGCAACTACAACAGCAAAAATCTAAAAAAAATACAAAAACGCATTGCAATAATTTATAAAATTGAACTGTACCTGTAATATAGCGAAAGTGATAATGACTATTGAAGAAACGCTTAATATACCACTGACCCAGGCATTGATCATTGTTTCACAGTCGTCCTTTAATTTAAACAAAAATGGTATGTTTTGTAAAATTATAGATGTGAATCATCTCTCTTGATTTACCTGAAAAAAGTCCTTATCGCTGCTACAATTATCAACATCCATACAGCATGACGAGGGAGGATCTATTGTAAGATAATCTTCATAGCTTTTATATCCATTTAATCCACAACACTCAAGCTATAAGTAGTAAGAGCAATAGCAAGAACTTAAAAAGAATAATGACAACTAACAGTTTGCTGAATATAATCCCATGTATCCTTAACTTCGGTTTTATTGTTGTATTCCAGAAAAGATTTCTTAATCTTGCTATTAAGTTCTACCTGTAACAAACATCAATTGAAACTGAGTATGGACTAATACTTACTCTGTCACTTTCAATGGCAGCTGCAATCCCACAAATAATCTCAATAGTAACCAACAAAGCAAGCAAGCAAGCATACTAAAAACATAAAACGTACAACCACAATAAATATATCCTCTAATTTCCTTTCCCCTCTTTCCCTTCCTCATAGCTTACTATTCTCAATACAATCCGGCCACATAATAGCTGTACAAAGATCCCACCAATAGTTCCAAGGAATCCAATCAAACAGACTAAGACTCCCAACACAATAAACATTGCAGGTACCCCGTTATAGTAATGACCAATGATCTCAACATAATGCTTATTATCATGCTAGGAAATAAATGTAACCAATGACACCTTTTAGCTGCTAATTGGTGTCGAATAACATAAAGAAAAACCAACTTACTATTATTAGTCCACCGACAGTACATATTGTTATACCAAGGATCTATTAAAGAATAAAGAATATAAAGGAACAGTTTAATCAATACAATAGTAACATAGTACTGGCAATAATTGTTTAGTGTGGTCACATGATGAGTGACACTAATTATCCATGCACTTTTGACTGACACATGACACTAGACATCACTAAACAAAAATTTTGTGTCATGTGACAATACCAAGGAATTACTTCTTATCGTTAGTCATAATTATGAAACCTGATATATACATAGCCCAAGATATATGTACTTATCATAGACAAAAATTAAATTTATTGAATTCATAAACATTATGTATACAGTACAAGCGCATTTATATCCTTACCACTACTATCACGTTAGCAATGATGAGACATACTCTTAAAAAGATTTTGAACCATTCAGAACGAAGTCTACTTCTATCTCTTTGAGCATGCATGAGAAATTTTAGTCAGCCCAAACCACCGAGACTTCTGAATCAGGAATGAAAAATCCAGGTGTGGTTTACAATCTTTAGTCACACCCTATTAGAAAATTTATTATGTAGACCATTTAGGCATTGTTTTTTTTCTGTAATGCAGACAATTAATTAAGCATTTTCTATAATGATCTTTCAAATAAAATACATCATTGCAAGTCCAATTCATCAAAACTTGAAGAACTGTTTTTTCCCGCTCTTTGCTTTCTGTACTTTAAGGACATTAAATCTGACTGTCTTACTCAACGGACGACACTGACCCACAACAACCAAATCACCTAGCTCAACATCCCTAGAAATACAATTAAAAGAGGCATGGTCTCGTGAAACAATGTCTACCTAAAGCAAGGGGAGAGGTGAGCCGACAAGTTCTTGTGCCTCTTCTCAAAACGATTGTATTTCTTAATATAATGGAGATAGTCACGGCGTATTACAATGGTTCTCTTCATTTTCATACTCCTGACAGTCCCAGTAAGAATACGACCACGAATTGAGACATTGCCAGTAAAAGGACACTTCTTGTCAATGTAAGTGCCTTCTATAGCCTAAGATGGTATGTATTAGTCTCGTGTAGCCAGACTCCTCCCTTTTTGACGTTGGGGGTGACATCCAAATGTCAAAAAAGGGGGATGGGTCTGGCTACACGAGGCTAGGTATGTATAGATTAATTTTGATGCAATTATTGAATAAAATCAACTGGAAATATTGGCAAAAAGTAAAATTCTTATTTTGTCACCATAATATATGAACAAATAAAAAAAAATATGGCGGATTTAATTATTATCAATATAATTTTAATATTAAATTTTTTATAAACCATCAATTATTTATTCCCCAACAAATATAGTTCACTGATCCCCTTTTCCCTTTGCTTACCTCTTTTGGTGTCTTGAATCCCAGTCCAACATTACGAACGAATCTCTGACCCTTTCCTTTCTTCTTTCCAAGTCCAAGGAGGACAGCCTTGCTGTTCTGGAAAACTCCTTTTTGTTTTTGATAAGCTTTCTCAGTCTATTTAGAAATTAATAAATAAAGGGATCGCATATATATAATGAAAAGAAGGGAAATCATTACAAAGAAACCTACCTGATCAGCCATTTTATACTCAAAGCACGTGGTGGAGAACTTGCTTACACACTGCGCATGCGCCAAGTTTGAGCTTAAATGGGCGGAGCTGAAGAGCTGTTATTAGCCCCGCCCTTTAAGTAATTCTCTCAAATCTCAGTCCAAGTTGAAAATGTCCAAGTTCTTGAGGATTTCTTTTCTGAGGCCGATGATTTCACCCAAAAATAACGTAATTATACTTTAATTTAGCTGTGGATTTAATATAAATTAAATAGTAATGTTCTTGTCAAAATGCAATGCAAGAATAAATTTTAATGCTAATTGATAATTATTTATATTTTACTCTCATTTATGGTTCATTCGAGGTTCTGTTGAAAGGCTGTGTGCAAAAATTCCTGATATTGCCACCCAAAATGCCTCAATTTATTTGTTTTGATACCCTTATCCTTATAAAATAGTTTTGATTAATTTCACTAAATAATTTTATTTATTTTATATCTCATTAAATTTTCTAGTGTTTTAAACTATACAAAAATTATAAAAATAAAGAATTCTCTTCTAGTAATTTTGCTAAAATTTTGTGGAACTTTGTCTTTGGCCCAATTTTTAGCAAATTATAAAATTTATTAAAAAATCCAAGTTTGATTGGAATCAGCTCAAACTTTTTACACAACATCAGAGCAGGTATATGCATCAGAAAAAATTATAAAAATGAAGAATTCTCTCCTTTTAATTTTTGGTAAAATTTGGCTGGGACTTTGGGCCGATTTTAGAGTAACTTTAAAAATTCATAAAAATACATAAGAACATGTACATGTATCAGATAAAATTATAAAAATGGAAAATTCTCTCCTTGTCATTTTTGGTGAAATTTGGCCAAAATCCCTGTACTATAGTACAGGGACTTTGGGCCGATTTTAGAGTAACTTTAAAAATTCATAAAAAATCCAAACTTGATCGGAATCAGCTCAAACTTTCTACACAACATAAGAACATGTATATGCATCAAATAAAATTATAAAAATGAAGAATTCTCTCCTTTTAATTTTGGCAAAAATTTGACCTGAAACCATGTACAGGGACTTTGGCCCGATTTTTAAGCAACTTTAAAATTCATTGAAAATTATGATTTATAGTATTTTTAAATACTTTTATTTTTTAGTTTTCTGCAAGATGCTTTAATGGTCAAAGTTCTGATGGTAAAGACAGAAATGATGCAGAGACAGCAACTAAATGTAAGTATATACATATACATGTACATATAATATACATGTCCTTACTGTGATGTACATGCATCATAGATTTAGCCAATGATGTATAATGAGCTACATTTAATATGATTTTAGTTTTTACTTTACATTACGAGTTAATAGTAATAATAATAATAATAATAATTATAAATTGATAATAATAATCATCATTGATTGTTCTCAGTTATGGCGTTAGCACCTCCATTTGCACAGCTTCTCGTGGACCCGGCATTGCTCTGGTCCATAGAATGACCACCCAAGGCACCATGAGTGGTGGGTTGGGTTTTCTCTTGTTACACAGCAGGGGCACAGGCATGTCTTTGTATGCTCATTAAATCTGTATGGAATGAATAGGGAAAATATAATTAATTTTTTCTCTCATTTGGGGCCTTGATTAGATGTACATGTACGTATGTGCAAGACCTTCACTGTTTATTTTAGTGATGTACATGTAGCTTAGCAACATTCTGTTAGTTAAACTCACGTGCATTTTTTATCATATTGGTCACATGATGATTCATAGCACTCATTCTCATCTCTTGCATTCTGACAAGTCATCTTGAGACACTCACAGCTAGTGGTAACCCTGTATCCTCTCTTACAGTTTATATTGCACTTGCATTTGCATGTACTGGAGTCCAAGATATAGGGGGCCTTGCACTTTTTAGCACACTCGCATTTACAAGTATTGGGATTGACAGCATAGTCCTTTTGGCAGCGGATATGACTCGAGCAGCGACATTGACATGTTTTATCATCGACCTCTTGGTAGTCCCGACATTTGATATTAGGAGGACACTGACAGGAGCATTCTTTGTGACTGAAGAACTGAGGAGGGTCACATTTTTCTACCCAACCACATTGACAATCGCACGTCGTCTGATTATAATATTTAAGTTGTGGGCAGGCTTCAGTTTGGTGGCGACACTCACACCTACAAGTGTGTGGGTTGAGCCTTTGTCTTCGTGGGCAGTCCTTCCCTTTGCATATACATTGACAGGACTGGTCGTCAAACGTGAGACCATAGGGACAGGTCTCTTTGTGGCTGCATTTACATCTACACGTCTCGTCATCAAAGACCATGTTCCTTGGGCAAGAGTGAGTCTTCGGGCACTTACATTTACATGTTTTTGGGTCGAGAGACTGATTTGGTGGACATCGTTTAGGGAGACAGACACATTTGCATTCGTTGCGATCGAGAGCTGTATATGATGGGCAGTATGTATCTCTAGGACACTCGCATAGACAAGTGTGTTTATTATAAACTGATTTATTGGGACAGCCTACTATCACTGGGCACCTGCACTGACATGTCTGCGGATCGAATTCTTTGCCAGGAGGACACACAACGTTCAATGGACATACGCACTGGCACTTGTTGCTATCAAAGACCTGCTTGTAAGGACAATTAGTGACTTTCTCACACTCACACTGACAAGTGGTAGGATTGAGTGTTCTTGGGTAATCACAATAGAGGGACTTTGGACAACCACATTTACAGGTTTTTGGGTCCTTTACAAAGTGTGGAGGGCAAGGAGTGTTGCTGCAGCCACACTTACACGTGATAGGATCAAGGACTGATCCTGGAGGACATGATTTATCTCTTGGACACTGACACCTGCAATGATCATAATTGTATGTGAGGCCATATGAACACGGAGGAGAGGACGGGCACTCACAGCGACACGTTTGATCATTAAGGACCTTTGGAGCCAGGCAGTGCTTCTTCTTATCGCATATACATTTGCAAGTGTATGGATCGTAATAGTAATCATCAAGGCAACCTGGATTGGGCGAGCATTCACATTTACAGCTTTCCTTATTGAGGTAATAAGGATATTTGCATTGTATATCAGGACAGACACACTCGCATGTCTCTTTATCAAGGACTTGGTTTGGTGGGCAGTAAATATCTTTAGGGCAGATACACTCACATGTCTCCTCATCTCTTATCTGTGGCTTTGGACAGTATTTGTGATCAGAGCAGCTACATTGACATGTGTTCTTGTCTAGAGTTTTATATGGTGGACAGTGTGTCCCATAAGGACAGCCGCATTCACAGGTTTTATCATCAAGAACCAAAGGACGGGCACAGTATATGTTCTTATTGCATTTACAATCGCACCATTCAGGGTCTATTATTTTTGGTGGTGTGCAGTATATGTCACTAGAGCAGCCACACTGACAGGTTCTTTTATCCAGTACTTGTGGCGAGGGACAATACACGTAATCCTCTGAGCAAATACAGCGACACGTCCTGTAGTCGTAGATAAAGTTTCGTGGACATTTTGTGATATTTGTACACTGACATTCACATGTGGTTGGATTGAGGGTCTGGAGGGAAGAGCATCTTGTACGTGGATCACACACACAGTGACATAGCTGGCCATCAAATATGTATCCATCCCTGCAATCATCGATCAATGGACATTTACACAAGCAAGTGCGTGGATCTAGTATCTGGTTACCGGAACAGGAAAGTTTCTTTGGACACGAGCATTGGCAGTTCTCTGGGTCTACTACCTGTCCATAAGGACAGGTTAGTGTGTCTGGACATGCACATTTACATGTGTATGGATTCTGAAGTTTGGGTAAAGGACAGAATACTTCTGGACATGAGCATTCACAAGTGAAATCATCTAATTCCTTGCCAGGAGGGCAGCGTCTAGTGTGCGGTGGACAGACGCACTTACATGTCTTATCGTTTAAAACCTGTGGGCTTCTACAAGAGAGTTCAGCAGGACATGAGCACTCGCAGGTTTCTGGATTGATAGTCTTATGCCTGGGACAGTAGTCATCTTCTGGGCACTGGCAGTTGCAGTTTGTCTCACTGTACACTTTGGGATGGACACAGTTCCTTTCTCCTTTGCACTCACACTTGCATGTCTCATTGTTGAAAAACCTTGGCAGATGACAGTAAGCCTTTTCAGAGCAGATGCAGCCGCATTCTGTGTAGCTATATATTTTACCTGTTGGGCAGTGACTGTGGTGTTCTGGACAATGACATGCACACGTCCTTTCGTCAAAAGTAAGAGGAGGGAGACAATGTACGTTCTTGGGACATTCACATTTACATGCATCCTTGTTAAGGACACGTGGAGAGTGACATTTGATGTGAGGTGAGCAGCCACACTTGCAGGTTTCAGAGTTGAAGTACTGCCCGTGAGGACATTTTTGATGTTGTGGGCACTCACACCGACACGTACTGAAACTGTAGTGACTGTTGTCTGGGCAGGCTGTGGCAATGCATTTCTTACAGACGCACTTTACGGTATTGAACTTGTAGCCTCTGGGACATCTCTTGAATACGCACAGACCACTTCTTGTGGCTTCTGCATCCTATAGTGAGTGTGTTTTTATGAAAGAGGAGTCATTAGAGGCTTCCAAGAATGGGAACTATATTTCTTACTTGAATCTGATACAGTAGAGTCACTAGCAAGGCAGCTGCTGCATAGTAAGCGAATTTTCCTGTCATTGCTCAATTACAACTGGTTAGGATTACCCTATAAATAGAAACCATTACATGTATGCTGGAACTCTCCCTCTCTCTCTCTCTCTCTCTCTCTCTCTCTTCCTTACCCTTAACAACCTGCAGCTCGAGCAAACTGTGGATTCAATCCTTGTGTGCCCTTTCTTACCCTCTGGGTCCTTTGTTCCCAAGAACAATGTCTCTCTTGAAGTATTATTAAAACTGGCAGACATAGCAAACAGTTGATGCTTTGTTGAACAAATATGAGAATAAAGGAGTATGTCACATATTATCTTTAATTACTGAGTGGGAGAGAGATGTAGAGGGTAGAGTGGGATTGTTGGAGGAGAGGGAAGGTGAGGCGAGGAGGAGAGAGAGGATTGCTGTAGGAGGCTTAGCCTCAAAGAGGAGTGTGGTATTGCTATTTAAAGTACATTCTCATGTTACAAGTGGCCTCCTGTATTGTGGTCTTTGTGAAATAATGAGGCATGGACTGTATTGCATTGCTCCTTTATTGTTTAGCTATGGTTTAGTGGTCATTTTGAATAGGTCATCATTGTTTTTACTAGACTCCTCCAGACACTAACTGTTTTATGTGATTAGCTATTTATTTATATACGTTAATTATGTTGAATTTGTAAGGTGTTCTCACTGTTATACTATTTATAATTCAATTTATCAGTTGTATGTGCAAACGATTCAAGTAATGTACAAGAGTATTTGTGTACTAGTGCATTGTATTGTGTTTCCATATTGAATAGACATGACTTAGTTACTCGCCCATGCTTCCCTTTGTTCAATTTCCTTCCCACACCTACCAGCTACCCATCCTTGTTGGTTGCTAAGCATGATCAGTACCCCATGAATTATGTACATGTACGCGTTCATTCATGAGAATATACATGTACATGTACATGCACATGGCAGTATTCAGTTGCAGGCATGTGCATGGGAAAGAAACTATATTCTTATAATTTGATTATTTTGTTTATTGGGAAACATTTGATGGGATTTGTACTCTTTCCCTTTTTTTGATCATTGTACGTAAACTTAAGTGGTTTGTTGAATTGTTGACAATGTCAATTATGCCATATAATTTGAATTTAATTGGTTTGTAGTACCACATACACATACACATACACGTACCAATAGTCCTAGTTTTTTTACTTACAAGTAGCTTGTGTGGGCAGCCTGTGTACATTATTATTATTATTATTATCTTTGTGAGTTGTTTGTGCTATGTGTATATGCCACATAAACAAAATTCAATAATGATTTAATCTTATGTCTATCCTTCACCAGTTTCGTCTTTATAATGGGGTGAGGGGGCACCTGCCCTTTGGTTGTGACTTTCACCAATACAATAATTCTATCATTTTAATTGTGGGCCCTAGTGTGTGTCACTTTATTGTGTACCTATTGTCTCCTTTAATCTTATTTTTGTGCTGCCTGCTTTCTTTCAGGCGTTGGCCTTCATCAAAAATGCATACATGTACTTTGTCAGCCTTTAATTGTGTGGGGTGTTATTTAGTATATTTTTAAAAGAATTTTTCCTGTTATGACTCTCAAAAGTGTTTTTATTTAATAATAGTAAAGGTGAGATAATCTTAATGTGTTACTGTCTTTATTTGTAATTGTTCATTTGTCTCTCTTGTATTATAAGGGCTTCATGATAAGGTTATGTCATGCTGTTTCCTCCTTTCCTTAGAGTTTATGCTATGATTTTACTATCTCTCATTTGTTAAAATAATTCTTATTAGCACAATAATCATAAATAATAATAATAATAATAATAATAATAATAATAATAATAATAATAATAATAATAATAATAATAATAATAATAATAATAATAATAATAATAATAATAATAATAGCAATATTAATAACAATAATGTTAGCTAATGTGTAACGTCTAATGCAATGTATTATACATTTAGTAAAATTAGCAAGTCCAGTTGCAGCCACTTCTGTGTATCAGACAATCAGGTTGAGTAGTTTGTCTCAGGCAGAGCAAATTCACGGAGGTCAGTGAAGGCGTGTTGACTTGTCCCTTTGATTGACAGCAAGGACAGACACACTGGCGCTCTTTGTTGTCATACCTATGGAACACAAATGATTAAATCAGGGTGTGTCTCTGTGGTCGTACTAATTTACAACATCATTCGCTATTTGTTTACATAATATACACTTTTATATTTTATTTTAATATTCTTTTTTTAGTAAAGTTGTCTTATTAGTGAGCGAGATGTTAAACCATGGACTGTTGAGTGGTTGTGATGATGCTTTATTGTGGTACATGCCTCAAAGCCTTAAAAAGGTGATAACATAAACTTAAAGACATTGCAGTGCTTCTCACTAATGTAAATCTAGAGAAACTGTGTAACATGCTACATACTTAGAAATTGATTAATAAATCTGTGATAACTCACATGCAATATTTTGACTTGTCTTTACTGCATTTTGTACTCCTGCATTTTAATGGGTCGCCGTCCATCTTGCTGCAATCCTGTGGAGAGCCCTTTGTTTCCCTTTTCCTTAGCTTTCTCTGACACTGGCAGGTAGTGGCGTTTAGCATGTGGTCCTCATCACAGATTATGGGACACGTACAGCTACATTCAGTCTCATTGAAAAGGAATAGTAATGGGCAATTAAGTCGACACTCGCATTCGCATGTTTGTGTGTTTAGTATTTGCCCTGGAGGGCACACTTTGTTTGTGTTACACTGACATGAGCATGTTGGTATGTCTAGGGTAAATGGCGGCTGACAGATGGTACTACACTCACACTGGCAACTGTTGTTGATCTTGAAAGGATGCTGGCATTCCTTGCGACAGACACAGCTACATGAGTCTTTATCAAGCTCAAATGAAGGCTTGCATATCAAGAAATGGCAGCTACACTCACACGTGCTTGTGTTAAGGATGAATGGAAACTCACATCTCTTGTTACACTGGCATTGACAGTTGTTAGGATCCAGCTCGAACGACTCACTGCATTTCAATGGACAGTAGCAATCGCACGAAGTGGAATTGAGGATGAACGGAGGCCTACAGACAACTGGACATTGACATGTACATGTATTTTTATTGAGAAATTGCCTCAAAGTACATGTTCTGTTACATTGGCATTGACATGTTGTGGTATTGAGGAAGTAGTCTGGGGATTGGCAGTCCTGTTTAGGACATTCACAACTGCAAGACTCTGTGTTTAGTACGTAAGGTGGCTTGCATATCAGTGGACAGAAGCAGCTGCAAGATTTGGTGTCTAACATTTTTGGGAAGGGACACTTTAAATTACACTCGCAAGTACAATTATTTCTGTTTAGTTGATATGGTGGTTGACATTGTAGGGGACACCTGCACTCACAGTTTTCTTGATCAAGTGTAAATGGAGGCTGGCACCTTTTATTACAGCCGCAAGTACAAGTATTTTGATCCAGTGTCAAAGGGTAGGGACATTTCCTATTGCAGGAACAGGTGCAGTTGGCTTCATTACGTGTATAGGAGGGCATGCAGTTGATGTTGCAGTCACACGTACATTTTGCTGTATTGAGTGTTAAAGGATACTGGCATGCTTTTAAACAGACGCAACTTGCTGTTTTGTCCAGTTCAAAGTTTCTCTGACAACGTTTTGTGGCAGCAACACAGTCACACGTGTCGTTGTTGCTTTGTCCTCTTGGGCATTGATTAGTGCAGAGGCAGTGACAGCTATTTCCAGCACGCACTTTACCGGAAGGACAAGGAAGACACTGACACTCACAGGTCGTGGTATTAAGGAACTGCCCGGGCCTAGTGCACTGTAGAGTAGTGGATGGACACTCACACTTGCAAGTGTGGCGATTGTAGACATACGGTCTTTGACACTCAGAGTATGAATAAGGACACACGCACTGGCAAGTGAATGGATTGAAATGCTGCAATGGAGGGCAGCTCCCGATTGCATTGTGTGGACACTCACATCTGCAGGACGAGGCGTTGTATTTTGTTTTGCCAATGCAGTGCTTGCTCCCAGAGGAGCACTTGCATTCACAGGATGATGTGCTAAAGTATTGACCACTGGAACAAGTTGTGATACCAGCGCATTCACACTGGCAGGACTCCTGATTGAATATCTGACCTTCTCTGCAGTTTTGTATAGGACACGATCTGTTCTGCATTGATGCTGCTAGTACAACCTATAGGGTAAAAATACCTCTTTTTCATAGTTGCCATGGAGTCCAGTAAGCATGCATGTGGTTGCTATGCACACTGCACTTTTTGGTCATCTTATATTTTTTAATTAACCACTAGTGCTTAGATATTTTTCATATCTCCATAGAAATATATAGCTTTCAGGATCAATGTTCTTTTTGCATGAATTTCTAAGTGCATTAAGTAATTGTGCATGCTAGTACATGTCTTAATTGCTTAGCTTCTTTTAGTTGTAGTATATAGCTAATAAGATTAGCTCCAGTTCTTATTGGATATTTAATATTTACTAACATTCTTATTGGCATAATGAACTGCAATTTGTTATACGTGCTCTCATTACATTTAGGGGATAGCAACTCTTGTTCCAAAATTAGTGCTATACAGTGATGCATTAAGACTCTCTTATATTTCTCAGATATGTATATAGTCTTTTTATTATAGTAATACACAAATACTTTGATAAGATTGGTTTCTACCACTGCAATGATTGCATGCACATGCTGTTACATCACATGCATCATTATAGTTTACCTGAAATATGGTTGATGCCATTAGCAGTATACCCACCAGTTTTCTCATTATATCTCTTTGAAGTCTCAGTCTCACTATAATAATCAAGACAGATGTCTAGCTCTTCTTCTAGTATATCACAGTTTTGTTGCTTCCTATGTGTGCCTGGAAGTCTGGCCTTATATACTCTCTTGATATCATCCAGTTGTGGGTTGTACCGTTACTAATGAGTTTATGCCACTAGCTTCAGGCATGCATGTACATGTATATTGCATAATGAATGCTTACTAATGCTGTGGGACTGTTGCTCCTTTGACAATGGGTTGTTGTTGTTTAGTTTTTAATTATGAAATGAAAACTTATGTCTATTTGGTCTCTCGCTTCGTGTCAACATATCTCTGTCTTGCTTATCAATCATAATGTATCCCATGCATTTGACGTATGCCCTTATAATACATGTATGGCTTTATTTAACTTTGATTCATTCCTCCAGTATAATGGCACTTGTTGTTGATAGAGATAAAAGTAAATAGTAACCATAATATTATATTAGAAGGTGAGGGCTACATTGTGTTGGCTCAACCATCAATTATGACACATCATTGCATCTATATAAGCGTTATTGAGCAAAACAGATTAGTTTGACATTATCTCTATAAGCTGTTTGTACTTATTGATATTTAATTTATAATTAAGATATTTTGGTTCTCAACAGGTGTCCATAATTTGTTTAGTCTCATATACTTACCAATGTTATCAATGTGTGCTGTTACCTAAGTGCTGACAGCTGCCTTATGGTATATTTGCAGATGCTCCATATTAATTGCTTCACGACCACTTTAAAGGCTCCATTAGCCTCATATTATTACACCTGTTGCACTGTATATTTGTTAATATGTAATTTTACCTGCAGCTATAAATAAATTTATGAGTCGTGTGTGTGTGTGTGTGTGAGCATACCTGCCATATGTGTGATTCGTGTAGAGCACCACACATGACTTCATTTGAGCAATGTGTTTGAACAGGAGTAGTTTTAAAATAACATTAGTACCTCGCCCTTCATATCTCAACTATTTAATTCCTCATATAAATCCTATTAACAGTAATAATTATGCATACACCATACAGTCATGCACTTATGTACTTTGTAGTTTATGTAATGAGTCCTAGGATTAATTAGTTTTACATACCAATTGATTCATCATTATTTGCTAGGTTACACATTTGTGTTAGACAACTGGTTTGTTTTGATACATTATGTAATAACAGGTTAATTTTTGTCTCACTAGCAACAGTAGATATTAAAATGGCATTAATTATGGGAGATTGAGTTCAGTGAGCGCAATTGTGTATATTGTTGTTTTTGCAGGAATTTTTGACATGCCAATTCTCTATTTGCATGCCAGTGCGAATTAATGCCCTTGTCACACACATGCAGAAAGTTTGGATTGTTAATTTTGAGTTATGGAGGAAATAATAATTAGTAATGCGGTAGCATTGCTAAGCAGGATTCAGCCTCAAACAAAATGGCTGCCACGACTTTTGCAGCCTTGCTATATACAATTTAATGTTGTACCGGTTTTATGCTGGGAATGACATACATAGGGAAAGTGGTCTGCAGATGCCTTGTGACTTCCTTACAATGTCCATGATAAACCACACTGTCAGTCATATAATATAATTATGGGATTGTGGATTGTGAACATCTGTAGCCACTTTGTTTTATGCATGCATGCTTTTAAATTAAGTTTTTTTGTATAAATAAATCCAATAGTGATGAATCACATTATTGATCATAGACCACATTTTTAGTATTTGAGTGCTATTGAGTTATTTCTGCTATTTTTTTAATTTTTATGCAGCATCTTTAGATGTTTATCAAGCAGAAGAATATTACCAATATGATCCATACTCTTTCTATGATATACAGAATAAGATGGATAAGTATCGATTAGAGCAACCCAAGCCATCCACTCAAAATTGACTTAGATTTATCATTGACAATAATTAGTTATAATAATTATGTAGTATTTAGCATGATACATTTATTATATTCAGAGTCAAAAACATTCACATGTGTTTGGATTTGATCTCATTCCATTAGGACAGCCTCCAGGTACAATGCGTCTCTCTAGTACTGAAATTGTGCTATGACTTACTATTCTGCTTCTATTTCTTGATCTTGTCCTCGTCATTCGCTTTTGATGATTTTGTGATTTGTTTTCCTCTTCTTTAATAATGTCTCGCTTGCGTCTTCCAAAGAAGGATGGTGCTGGTACGAAGCCTCCATTTGTTATAATTCTAATGTTTCCTCTTCCTCTGGTGCCTCTAGTGCTAGTTGGTCCAAAGAATGTAAATGATGGTATTCCAAAATTTGTACTAGGTACTGATGGAGCTGGAGCAAATCCTGATGGAGAGAATGGTATTGTACCAAAGCTTGTTATTATCCTTGTTCCCCTTGTCCTTCCTCTCCCAGTTGATGGTCTAAAGAATCCTGATGGAGAGAATGGTACTGTGCCAAAATTTGTTACTATTCTTGTTCCCCTTGTCCTACCTCTTGTACCTCTAGTTGATGGCCTAAAGAATGATGGAGCAAATCCTGGTGAAGGAAATGGTACTGTACCAAAGTTTGTAATTATTCTTGTTCCCCTTGTCCTACCTCTTGTTCCTCTAGTTGATGGCCTAAAGAATGATGGAGCAAATCCTGGTGAAGGAAACGGTACTGTACCAAAGTTTGTAATTATTCTTGTTCCCCTTGTCCTAACTCTTGTCCCTCTAGTTGATGGTCTAAATGGTATTGTACCAAAATTTGTAATTATTCTTGTTCCCCTTGTTCGACCTCTTGTCCCTCTAGTTGATGGTGGCCCGAAGAATGATGGAGGTTGAGCTGGAACAAATCCTGGTGGAAAGAATATGCTTCTTGTCCTGCCTCTAGTGCCTCCCCTGAGTCTTCTTGTAGCTGGAAAAGTCCGTCCACCTCCTATGACCCTAACAGATCCTGTGCGCCCTGTGAAGGCCTGTCTTTTACCTCTTGAAGTCTGATATGGAACTTGTATTAGTAATATGGAATACTGACACTGGCAAGTACAAGTGTTTTGGTCGATTGTTTGTAAGCTTGAACAAGACAGAGCAGACCTACATTTGCAGGTGCAATCGTTGCTGTCATAATAATGATTCCGGCCACACACTTTCGCTGGACAATCACATTGGCATGAAGTGGTGTTTATTTGCTTTGGGATTCTACACTGAAACCTTGCATTAGCAGGGCAGTAGCATTTGCAAGTTTGAGGATTGAACTGCTCAAAGTTTCTGCAAAATGCACTGGCCTGAGGTGGACATCTCTGCTGTGGTATGATAGGATTGGGTATTGGCAGAGTTGGTCTTAAAGGAATAGGCCTTTGAGGAATAGGCCTTTGAGGAATAGGTCTTTGAGGAATAGGCCTTTGAGGAATAGGCCTTTGAGGAATAGGCCTTTGAGGAATAGGCCTTTGAGGAATAGGCCTGGGGAGGAAAGGACGGAAGAATCTAGCCATGCAGCCACACATATAAGGGTCAAAGTAATACCCTTGATTACAGAGACTAACAGCATTACACTTGCATCTACATGTGGTGTCATCAAAGACAGCATTGCCAGGACACAACCTTATCAATATGCAGAGACATTTGCATGTTTCTTTGTGAAATGCCTGCCCTGGTAAACAAGGTGTTTCTATGCATGTAGTATTTGTTGATGGCGGAGCTGTTGTCGTGTTTTTGTGATCAAACTCACACTTGCAACTTGTTTTGTTAAAGAATTCTCCTTCCAAGCACCTTGTAGTGCTGTGATCGATCGTACAAGCAGTTGGAGTAGGAGGTATGGGGGCTGGTGGTTGCACTGGCTGAGGATGCATGTAAAACCACTGGAACCATGGGTAATACTGGTGGTGTGGGAATTGAGCATTGGTTGACTAAAAGAAGAAATTAGTTCATAACATAAACCCACTTCATTATTATTAGACTAACTTACCACGACAAATAGAGCAGCAAAGACTAAGGGAAGAATAAAATTCTCCCTCATTCTTGATTTGTAGTTTTTTATTGAATGATGATTATTTGAGTGTCTTATATGTGAAGGCTATTCATTGGGTGAGGCAGTGTTTTGATTATGCAGAATTTGATGTGGCTCCATAAGCTTTGAATTGTTGCTAGGTTGGTTTATTCATCACTGGTGTTTTTCTCACAAAATTTGTGCACATAAGAACAATGCATATGTGAATGACAGACAGACAATAGTTCCTTGCCTACTCATGTGGGAGAAGGCCCAGAGGGTGAGACCAATAAGAACAATGCAGCATTTTGTCTTTGTGTGAATTCTGTTTTGACTAATATCTTGGCTGCAGTTAATGCCCTAGCATTGAATGTAACCCACACACATTATGTTTGTCAATATAGTAGTCACTAAACGTATCTGATTCAAACCGCAGAGCTTTGCATGCATGCATGAATGTGTTTGTCATAATGTGCAAGTATTGTTTAATTTGAAACTGCAAAAATTGCTCAAAGTGGTGCTTGCAATTGGTTCCAGTTTCATATGCTTGTACCATCTCTTAATTATTGATCTCATTTTTGCACTTAAATGTGCTAATCATTTTATTAATAACATTATTAAACAACAATTAATGAATGAAATAATTGTAGTCTATGGAGCAAAGTTTTCATTGAAAGCTGGAAACAGACACTCGCAAGTTGCTTGATTGAGGATATAGCCAACAGGACAAGGAGCTGGCTGCACTCTACGACTTGCTTGCTGGGTTTCTAAGCCTGATTTTGATTTAGACTTTGATTTTGATTTGGACGATTTCGATTTGGATTTGGATTTTGAAGCACGTCTTTTCTCAATTGCTTCCATTTCACTGGATCGTTTACTGCGACTACTGTGTGACCTTTGTCTTCCTCTACCACGCTGTCTTCCTCTACGTCTATCAGTAAGTGATGTTGGAAGCAAAACTTGTACACAAGAACAAGAGCAAGTACTAGGATTGAACATTTGCAATGAATTAGCACATGAGCCTGCTGTCTCAGGACATGCACTTGTACACTGGCAATTGTCAGTGTCTAATTTACGATTGGGGCCACAGCTTACTATTGCACATTGACATGTACACGTATTTGGATTTATTATTTGGGAACTGGAACAATGTCTGTTGGCATTTGTTGGACAGTAGCAGTTACAGGTGTTTTCATCTAGCATTTGGTGTCCTTGGCAACGAAGACGTACCTCATTTGAACAGCCAATAGAGGCTGTTGCTTGGTTACTGTCAATAGGTGTGCCTGTATTGGGTGACACTGGCCCTTGGGATATTGGCCTTTGATTAGTTGGTGGTTGTAGTGGTACTTGATTATTAGCTGGCGGTGCTGCTGTCCCTTGAGTACTTGGTGGGGGTACGTAAGGCCCTTGATTACCAGGTGGTCCTTGAGAACCAGGAGGATAATATGGTACTTGAATACCTGGTAGTGCATATGGCCCTTGAGTACCTGATGGAGGTACGTAAGGTCCTTGAGTACTTGGTGGTGGTACATATGGTCCTTGAGTACTTGGTGGTGGTACATATGGTCCTTGAGTACTTGGTGGGGGTACATATGGTCCTTGAGTACCAGGAGGATAATAAGGTCTTTGACTCCCTGGAGGTCTTTGATTACCTGGTGGTACATAAGGTCCTAGTTGATAACCAGGAGGATAATAATATGGTCCTTGATTACCAGGTGGTGCATAAGGCCCTCGAGTGCCTGGTGGTACGTAAGGTCCTTGAGTACCAGGTGGTGGTACGTAAGGTCCTTGAGTGCCTGGTGATACGTAAGGTCCTTGAGTACCAGGTGGTGGTATGTAAGGTCCTTGAGTGCCTGGTGGTATGTAAGGTCCTTGAGTACCAGGTGGTGGGGATGGTGCAAATGGAGAGTGAGGTTGATAGGGTTGGGATGGATGATAGGGATTATAGGGTGCCCCTTGATTAGGATTTTGTGGCTGAATTGGCTCTGGTAATCTGCTATTTGAAGAAATGCATGCACACCTAAATGGATCAAAAGTTTGATACTGTGGACAATTACTGAATTCCTGAGGACAATAACAAGTACAGCTTTGAGGCTCAAGGACTGTTAAACCTGGACACTGTAGCTCTGTGAGGCAAACACATTGGCACAAATGATCATCAAATACTTGAGCATTGTTGCATTGCTTTCTCTCACATAATCTTGTTACTGAGATGCTAACATTTTGAGAGAAAACTGTCACCTGTAAAGCAATAATCGCAAATAACACGTCAAATAGTAAATAGCAAACTTACTAGAAGAGTTATGAAGAATAAGAGCTTTGTTATGATAAACATAATGATTTGACCAATATCAAACTGAAGTTTTGACCTTTATTTTATAGCCTATGGCTCCCACTCTCTATTAATGCATACAGTATAGTCATCACTCATTGATTGCCTCCTTATCTCCTTTGACAATAACAGTATGTTACATGTGAATGTTGATATTGACACCTTTAGAGTTTTGACTTTATGCTTCTCATCATAAAGGTTGGCTAAACAACTTTGTGGGTGATTATTAAGCAATCTGTTTCCTTTACTTTGTCAAAGTAGAAAAGTGTTTATAATCAATAGTGCCAATTCCTTTGTAGCCTATTGTATGTTAGACTAAACAGATTGTTCAGTTTTAGTAATTAGTCTAATTGAATGCTTGCTATGGTGATTCATTTTGATGTTTCTTTTAATATTCATGAATCAGGAATTTGTAATAGAATCTGCTTGTAGTTTCTTGAAGTTACTCAAAAATCTGATCCGAGATCATGTACTATAGTACATGATTATAGTCTCGGGCCAAATTTTGCCAAAAATGAAAAGAAGAAAATTCCTGATTTTTGTAATTGTTTCTGATACATATACATGTTTATATGCTTTGTATCAAGTTTGAGCTGATTTCAATTAAATCTAGATTTTTATAATTTTTAAAGTTGCTCAAAAATCTGGTACAAGACCATGCATGTACTATAGTACATGGTTTTATTTTATAAACCTTTTTATTTCTTTATTTTATATTTTATTCTGATACATATACATAATCTAAATTAATGTATAATTTCAGTTAAATTTGAATTTTAAAATTACTTTAAAGACATGCATTGTAGTGCAGTGCTTGTCAGCTCATGAACTGTGCTCACTGTTGACCCCAAATCTGGTTCATACTTCATATTATTTTTGATTTCATCATAACATTGGCTATGGCAACTAAATTCTATTGCTCATTGATTTTTACCTATAGAGTTTGCTTTTAAAATTTTTATAGAAAATAGTTAATAATAATCATCATTACACTGTGGAAAGTAAAGCTTATTTAAACAGTACAGTTTATAGAGGCATTGGTCTTATAAGCATTCACATGATCGACTGTTTACAACTGTTCCAGCTGGGCAAGGAGCTGATACTAGCCTTCTTTCAGTCACGATTGTGGAAGGACCTGGAACAAATGGTCCAGGTATTGATGGTCCACGGACAGGAGGACCTCTTACTGGTGGAAGAATAGGAGGAAATATAAATCCAGGACCAGTACCAGGCCCAGTTGGACCTGTACGACGCTTCATAACACCTCGGACTTTAAATTCTCCATCAGGTCCCAAAACTTCACCATTTCTAGCTTCTCTCTTCTTAGCTCTGCGCTTGCTCCTAGTACCAGGAGTACCAGTCCTACCAGTTCTTGGTATAAATGGAGGGAAAGGAGCTGGAGGAGCTGGTATGAAAGGACCTGGTACAAAAGGACCTGGAATAGAAGGACCTCGGACTGGTGCACCGGGAATGGTTCTTTGAATAGTGACAAATACATTGATGCACTCACACTCACAGTTATCAAAATTGAACCTTTGGAGTTGTGAGTTACAACTGGCTGCAGTCGTTCTACTGCATTCACACTGACACGTGGTAGGATTGAGAGACTGTGGAAACCTACAACGAGATGCTGCTAATGGTGAGCACTCGCAGTTGCATGTACTGGGATTGAGGACCTGGAAACTATTGCAACGGAATTGGCTGGATGGGGGGCAGATAGGCCCTGCTGGTGGAAGTGGTGGAAGTGGACCTGGTGGAGCCGGAGCAGGAGGGAATACCACTACTGGTGGAAGGGGGGCTGGAGGAAGGGGAACTGTAGGAGGGGTAGATGGTTCACATACACACAGTAATGTATTGAACCGTTGGAATGAGAGACAGGCCTGTATTATTGTACACTCGCACTTGCACTGGCTTGGATTGTATGTTGTCCTACCTGGACATTGTGTGATTTGCACTGCACACACACACTGGCATCGACTCTCGTCAAAAACTTGTCCTACAGTGCAAGGGAAGATCCTTTGACATGGTGGTGGGCGAACTGCTGGAATTGGTACTGGTACAGGAACTGGGACTTTGACTTTTCTAGGTGTTTGACCTGTAGTCTCTGGTAGCTCATCTCCATCTTTGAAGCAACCGCAGAGCCTCCTATTAAAAGTATAGCCCTCGGGACATGTTTGTGTGTTTCCAGGGCATCTACGATGGCCATGGTGATTGTTGTGATGATTTAGTCCTCCATTATAACGATAGTTTATTGGGATATTGTATGGATAGTATCCATGGTATCCCTGTTGATATCCATAGTTGTATGGATGGACCAAGTGCCCTGCATGTTTGTTTGGTAGATATGCTTGTGCACCCTATAAAGCACAGAAGTAGTTAAAATTAATTATATATAGCTCCTTACTAGTGCTATCAAGAGCAAAGCACAACAGATCAGCTTCATTTTTGTGGCTCACTGGATCTATGTGTGAGCCAACCTATAATGCAATTCACAGTCCAAAATGACTCTCCTTTTATGCTTCTTCTTATCGCTCTAGTCTTTGTCCTGAGGGTGTTTAACAAAGAACTATTCTTTATAGCTCAAGTTTAGTCTTTCTCTTCTACCCCCTATTGTCACCTTTACCACACTCATGGGAGTCGGCTTTTTCGTGTTTGCCTCAGCCCATGCCCAATAAAGGGCTGATGTGTCTTTTTGTGACAGTTTCCTGGTTCTTTTGAATTGCAGTCACAATAGTGACAATAGTGGGAGGCTAAAAATTCAAAAACTACTCAGACTAAATAGCCGTATTCAATGCTAGATTTTGTTTGTTTTGACTTTCTAATTTTTCTCTGAGTAGGCATTACAGGGCTCGTTCAATGCAGTGATGGCACCTTCAAAGCAACTAATTTGTTTTTTTTTAATTTGTTTTTTAAAAATTTGTTTTTTAATAACTTAAGCTTGTTAATGGATTGGTTACTATCTATTGAAATTAAAAACTCTAATCTAATGCTCATATGAGCTGCTGCAGAATTATCTCCATTTAATCAAAAATAATTAAGAGAGAATTCTTCATTTTTATTATATTTCTGATGCTTAATACGTGTTCTTATGTTATGTTTTTAAGTTTGATCTGACTATATTTTTATAAATTTTAAAATTGCTCCAACGACCATGGACTATATAGTACAAAGTACAGGGCATTTGAACTTTTTCATTTTTCATTTTCTGATGTTACTATGTTATATGCATCAAATTTGAGCTGACTCTGAATTTTAGAAGCTGTAGTTATGGCATATCTTAATCACTTTTTATTATGTTTATGCCTGTGTCACATTTAGATTTGCTGCAAACATTCAGCTGCTTTGTTAGCAAGAAAGTTCAATTTTCAAAAGTTATCATTGACCAAATTATCAAAGTCAAACTGAAACATTATAGTATCATACATTATAATATCAAATGACACATTTAGTTACATGAGCATGTGGCACTATTAAGGAAAGTTCCTGCAGGGCATGGTGGTGAGACAAAACGAATCTCAGTACGGGTTGATGGTGGACTAGTAGCAGGAGGTCCTGTTGGTGCTGGAGGTAAGAATATGAAACCACCTCCTCCTGGTGATCTTGAAGTACGACGACGGTTTCTCTCATTGACAAGTGCTGCTCTTTTTCTTCTTCCTAAAAATTGAAACCCATTTCCAAAGGCTTGGGGAAAACCAGTATTGAAACCAGTATTGAAACCATTGAAACCATTGCCTCCAAAAATGAATCTATTAGTACCAGGACGTAATCTTCCACCAGGAGTTCTTGATCCTCCACCAATGAAGATAGGAGGTTGAGGACCCACAGCTGGTGGACCTGGTATTGGTATACCTGGCTCAGTGACTTCTACTGTCACTGATACTCTAGTACATTCACATTGACAAGTATCAGGATTAAACCTTTGGTTTTGAGGATTACAGCTAGATTGGCCATTACTGCACTCACATTGACATGTAGCTGGATTGAGGAACCTAGGACTGGGACAGAAACGTCTGCTGCATTCACACTGGCAGGTATCAGGATTGAGTACTTGAGGGAACCGACAGCTTCTCCTGTCACATTCACACCTACAGCTAAAAGGATCCCTAACCTGTCCTCTTGGACAAGCAATATCTTGTCTACATGTACACTGACATGTATTAGGATCTACAAACTGCAAATTGGTGCAGGCTCTGTTAGCAGGACACTGACACTGACAAGTGCTTGGATTGAATATCTGAGGAAAGCGACACTGGACTAAGTTACGACACTGGCATTGACATGTTTGGAAATTTGGAACTTGATTTACAAAGCACCTCAAACCTGGACAATTACTTGCTGGTGGATTGTTGTGTGGGTCACACCTGCAGGCTGCTTCATTAAGTACCTGAAACTGGTTGCATACAGCATTGCATCGACACTTGCAAGTGCCTTGATCAAATGTTGATCCTCCTGGACACTGTTGTATACGTACTGGACAGACACAGCGACAAACCCTCTCATCAAAAACCTGTCCAGGGAGACATTGTATTATGCGTCTGCATGCTGGACCAGGGAATGGACCAGGGAATGGACGAGGGCCTGGTAATGGTCCTGGCAATGGACCTCTCAATGGTAGAGGACCTTGAGCTGGTACTAAGGGAAAAGGGACTGGCAGTACATTACCTTTCTTTGGCTGTTGGTAATTGTGTCGGTATTTAATACCATCTACCACCTACAGCAAAAAATAGAGAAACATATAATATACCACTAATGTTTGGTAGCATGCCCTTACAAGTGTGATAGCAAGGAGACAAATAATGCAACTGAAGCACTTCATCATCTATGCCCACTGCTGGCAGCTTGTTACTGTTATCTGAATTTTGTCTTTTTATAAGAAATTTTCACAACAAAAGTTCTTTTAGTCTTTCATATTGTGTCTTGATGTTGCCCTCATGCCCACACAGGTGGGATCACACCTGGTGATACTTCTTTGTTTATTGGCCTAGCAATAGCTGGGCTTGGTTAGTTACTAAATTTATGTTTACATCAAGAACTTCCTTAGGTGGAAGTTAACTTTATTATCATTGTTGTTAGTTGTCTCTAAAATCATGTACTAAAAACTTCACTGATCGCTGGACTACTGAGCTATTAAAATACTTTCTACGTTAATGGTAGAAAATAACATTAAAATGTTGCTTAGTGTGTATTATAGAGCTTATAATAGCAGTTAAGTGGCAACTTTAGCAAAAAGAGTATCAGCACATGTACAATCACAGGCAGAGTGGAGCAAATGATTAAAATTTAAATTATTATTATGATAACCAAAAGCATTAATACAAAAATTAACCATCAAAGAATGTACTTGTTTGTAACAGTTCATGACACATTTTAGTTACATGAGCATGTGGCACTATTGAGGAAAGTTCCTGCAGGGCATGGTGGTGAGACAAAACGAATCTCAGTACGGGTTGATGGTGGACTAGTAGCAGGAGGTCCTACTGGTGCTGGAGGTAAGAATATAAAACCACCTCCTCCTGGAGATCTTGAAGTACGACGACGGTTTCTCTCATTGACAAGTGCTGCTCTTTTTCTTCTTCCTAAAAACTGAAACCCATTTCCAAAGGTTTGGGGAAAACCAGTATTGAAACCAGTATTGAAACCATTGAAACCATTGCCTCCAAAAATGAATCTATTAGTACCAGGACGTAATCTTCCACCAGGAGTTCTTGATCCTCCACCAATGAAGATAGGAGGTTGAGGACCCACAGCTGGTGGACCTGGTATTGGTATACCTGGCTCAGTGACTTCTACTGTCACTGATACTCTAGTACATTCACATTGACAAGTATCAGGATTAAACCTTTGGTTTTGAGGATTACAGCTAGATTGGCCATTGCTGCACTCACATTGACAAGTAGCTGGATTGAGGAACCTAGGACTGGGACAGAAACGTCTGCTGCATTCACACTGGCAGGTATCAGGATTGAGTACTTGAGGAAACCGACAGCTTCTCCTGTCACATTCACACCTACAGCTAAATGGATCCCTAACCTGTCCTCTTGGACAAGCAATATCTTGTCTACATACACACTGACATGTATTAGGATCTACAAACTGCAAATTGGTGCAGGCTCTGTTAGCAGGACACTGACACTGACAAGTGCTTGGATTGAATATCTGAGGAAAGCGACACTGGACTAAGTTACGACACTGGCATTGACATGTTTGGAAATTTGGAACTTGATTTACAAAGCACCTCAAACCTGGACAATTACTTGCTGGTGGATTGTTATGTGGGTCACACCTGCAGGCTGCTTCATTAAGTACCTGAAACTGGTTGCATACAGCATTGCATCGACACTTGCAAGTGCCTTGATCAAATGTTGATCCTCCTGGACACTGTTGTATACGTACTGGACAGACACAGCGACAAACCCTCTCATCAAAAACCTGTCCAGGGAGACATTGTATTATGCGTCTGCATGCTGGACCAGGGAATGGACCAGGGAATGGACGAG